ATCAGTCTCCCAGCTGCGATAAAACATCACATGTGTAGAATTCAGTGATCTTGTGCGCTGTCGCATACGATAATGTGTAAGATAATAAAGGTCATAACCCACACGCACAGATATCGCCTGCAATGTTCTCCATTCAATATTAGAATAGATAAGAATAATTGTGTGGCTGCAATTAGGTTAAGTTAGAATAGTTTTTGTAGGACTTAAAATTATTTCAAAAGAATTTTTCAAAAAATTCCGGACTAAGGAATCCAAATCGCGTAAATTGTATCATAGAGGGATTAAACTTGATTTGTATGGAGTTGGGCTTTCCCCAATACAGGGTGAGACGAAAATACAGCAACCAACTTCAGACTGCTGTCATTTCTACATTTCCATTCGTCCGACAGCTGTTAAAATTATTCCAGTGACAGCTCATTATATTGTTTACAAGCTTAAAAGTCATTTTGGTGGGAATTTTCCAGAAAAAAATTATTCGTGATGGAATTCAAGAGTGAAAGTATGATTTCGTTATATTTGGCTGGAAAATCACAAGTGGCCATCGTTAGAGCACTCCAGCATTTAAATGTGAATGAATATTTTGTGTCTCGTACCACGCGCGTTACCGTGATACTGGTAGCATAGCCCGACGTCAAGGAAGTGGACGGAAGAAAACACCAACATCAGCAAAAATGGTTCGAAAAGTAAAGAAGCGGCTGGATCGAAACCTGCGTCGCAGTGGCCGAAAAATGGCTCGTGAGCTAGACATATCGCAATATTCAATTCGGCAAGTATTAAAAAATGAGCTCGGGGTAAAGCCATTGAAATTCCAAAAAGTGCAAGAACTTACACCGCAACAGAAAGAAAATAGACTCAAAAGAGCTAAAGATTTGCTTCGCTTGGCCGAATGTGGTGAACTGCCGAATTTGGTTTTCTCCGTCTCCGATGAGAAAACATTCGTTGTCCACCAGTTTGTAAACAAATAAAATGATCGTGTTTACTTGCCAAAGAGGTCAGCTGAAAATGTGCATCTTCGGTTGGCCACCATAACTCAAACGCCGGCCATGATGATGGTGTGGGCCGCCATAACAGCCGATGATCGCTCTGCGCTCGCATTAATCGGCCGTGTCATCAGAATAAATGAAATAAATCGCGAAAATATTCTGGAGGGTGTATTAAAGCCTTGGGCACGCAAATGTTTTGGCCGCAGACCTTGGACATTCCAACAGGACTCAGCACAATCGCACTCAGCACGCGCCACACAAGAATGGTTACAAAATTAGGTTCCTCGCTTCATTTCCAGCGCACAATGGCAACCAAAATCTACGGATACCAATCCGTTGGACTATTGTGTCTGGAGTATTTTGGAAAGCAAGGTTGGCGCTAAAAAAATATCAAAATGTCGATCACCTCAAGCAAGCGCTTCGCCGGGAATGGACCAAAATACCGCAGAGCAACATTCGGGCAGCTTGTGACGGTTTTATTGGCCGTTTGAAGGACATAATTCGTGCCAAAGTTGACCAATTCGAACAAATCTAAACTTATTCTAAAATTTGATGCAATTTCCGAAATTTTTTGCTTTCATTGAATAAAATTTCAAAAAAAAATTAATAATTATGGCATTTGACTTTGTTGCAGTTTTCTTTTATCTCACCCTGTGAAATAAAAAAATATAAACATAAAGCAAATGTTGAACATAAATCAAAGCAAATATAAAAAAATATCCAAAAAATCCTTCTATTAAGGCCTCGAAAAAATCAACACTTTAAACACTCCAATTTTCAAAATAATGCTATTAATTAGTTATTATTTGTTTAAAAAATAAAGCAGTACGTTTCTCATATGCTGAGTACATCATTATATTATTATAATTATTATTTTTTTTTTTTTTTGTTTGGTTTTCTTGTATGTTGTTTTGTTGTAATTGCATAAATATTTTTTGATCGATTTCAACTAATCTTTAAGAGGTACTGAGGTGATGATGATGGTGTCACGTTTATTAAAAATGTTGAAATTTTAACTATTTCATATTAAATGCAATTTTGTTTTGTTAATTACTCCATTTTTCGGTTTCTCTTTGGTTTTAATTTAAAAAAATAAATAAACATAAAAACTTAGGTTTGTAATTGTTCTAAAAAAGGTACATATTGTTGTTGTTGTTTATTATTATTTTATATTTTTATCGTATAAATACTAGACTTCTTGATGTGGGGTGGAAAATCATTGTGGCTCATTATGATATGAACATGCCAAAGGCTTTGGGAAGGAACAAGTTTTAAATGGATTTATGAGATTTGGAAATTAATATTTTGAATTTTTCACCAACCAAATTGATGTTTAACAGTAAGGCATTTTCAAAAATGTTTAACGGTGAGACTATACGGCTCTAAGGAGCAGAACACTGCGAAGAAAAAAACAAGTAAAGACGCCAACATGGTGAGGGTACAAAAAAGACAAGGGATCGTAAGTTCAAAAATGTATGCTGACCACAAATACTACCTAAAAACGAAGAAATATTGATATTGAAGTAGTGCGGGATGAGAATCAGGAGCTAGATCAGAAATGGCGCCCAATTACACTTTTTATAGAAATATCAATATTTTTTAAGCCATAACTCTCCCCAAGCATTAGAGAATGCTATTCACATAATACCAGCAAACATGGACACAAAACGAATTCCATTCAGCACATCTTCATTTTTTTTTTTTTTTTTTTAATTCAAAAATTGCAATTCTTCAATTTTTTTTTTCAAACAATAAACTTTTTTAAAATCTCTGTCATGTTTTCGAATTTTAAGAACAACACGGCACTATTGGCCACAAAGCTAGCACAGTTCATCACAACTTTTCTTTTTTTCGAAATTTGCAATCCCAACAGACACCACATGTTTTATTTGCGGTCGATAACGAATCGGCTTCGAAAACAGGCCACCGACTTCTATCGGCTTCTAAAACGGGCCACCGTGACAGTTCTTAGTTTAGATTGTAATAGTCGTTTTTATACTCTCCACCATAGTATGAAGGGTATATTAAGTTTGTCATTCCGTTTGTAACTCCTCGAAATATACATTTTAGTCCCCTATGTCGATTCTATGTCGATTTAGCGATGTCCGTCCGTCTGTGGAAATCACTCAAACTTCCGAAAGAAATGAAGTAAGTTCATAAAAATTTACTCAAATGTATACTATGTCTGCAGGACTTTTGGTATTGAAAATGGACCATGTAGGTCCACGTCTTCGTATAGCCCCCATATAAAGGTACCTCCCGATATTCGGTATTTTGATGATTTTAGCGACATTATTTTACCCGAATTGTTTCAAATTTGGTATTTGAAGTTCGTAATGGATACTACAATCTGTGACATAAAATTGTCCATGCAGGTTCACGTCTTCGCATAGCCCACATATAACGGTACTCCTCGATATTCTGCATTGTGATGACTTTAGCAACAGTGTTCACCGGAATTGTTTCAAATTTCGTAATAATAGTTCGTAATAGGTACAGAAATTGTCTATGCAGGGCCAGGTCTTCGTATAGCCCCCAAATATCGGTACCTCCCGATATTCGATATTGTGATAATTTAAGCGACATTATTCAACGAAATTGTTTCAAATATTGTGTTTGAAGTTCTTAATGGGTACTAAAGCCTGCATATGGTGGAGGGTATTTAAAGTTCGCCCCGGCCGAACTTGCTTGGGCGCCACTTGTAAGTTGGCTTCAGAAACAAGAAGTGGAAAAGACGTACAGTATAATAGAAAGTACCCCAGGTTGGGGATGATATATCCAGAAAATACAAGCGGTTAACCCAGGTTGCCCATTTCGACAGACCATTTATTACGACCAGTAAATAAATAATCGTTTCTCTCCTAGGCAGCACTTTGGAAACTTTCAAAAGTTTTATATTTTTCAATACAAAAACAAATAAAAAACCTTTAGGCCGAACTTTAATACTCTCCATCATTGGGCAAAGAAAACATTTTCACATAAAAATATCTGAATTCAAACTACAAATACCAGTATGAGCTTTTAGATAATGCCGTTAAACTTTTCAAAAAAAACTATAAAGTGGGTGGGAACCTCTATAGACAATTATATGCTTCAAGGATTGTCATCTACCAAATCTTCTTAAATACCAAATTTGAAACAATTTCGTGGGTGACTAGGATTATCAAAATACCGAATATCGGTGGGCATCGTTATGTGTGTGCCATACGAAAACGTAGAGCTATAGTTACTTTATTCTGCCACCGAAGCTAGAACACATTACGAACTACAAATACTAATTTTTAGACAAATCCAAATTTGGCGAAAAATATCAAAACACCGAATATTGGGAGGTCTCATTATATAAGGGCTATACCAAAACGTATACTAAGTTCCGCCACCGGAGCTAGAACCCATTACGAACTGGAAATACCAATTTTTCGGGAATATCGGGAGGTAGCGTTATATGGGGGCTATACCAAAACGTATACCTAGATATATATATACTAAGTTCCGCCACCGGAGCTAGAACCCATTACGAACTGCAAATACCAATTTTTAGACAAGTTCGTGGAAAATTGTGGCGAAAATCATCAATGCACCGAATATCGGGGGGTATCGTTATATGTGGCTATACAAAAACGTGGACCTATACTTACAATGTTTCACCACCGAAGCTAGAATCTATTATGACCTACTAATGCCGATTTTTAATCAAATCTGTGGAAATATGTGGCGAAAATCATCAAAATACTGAATATCGGGAGGTACCTTTATATGGCAACTATACCAAAACGTGGAGCGATATATCTCATTTTCAATACCAACCATGCTAGACACAATCAAACTTGGTTTGCCAAATTTTAAAGCTTTACGTCAAATAATGTATCGTGATTTCAACAGACGAACATCGTTAAATCGATTTCGGGATGTTATAAAGAAATGACAAATTTAATATACCCTCCTTATCACGTGGGGGGTATAAACATTTGTAATTTGTCAAATATCAAATTTTTATATAAAAACTCTATTAAATGTTTATCATACCGGCCGACAATGATTTCCGTATGATTGTTTTTTTTTTCTCTCTTTATTTAGATTACACAATTAAATCTAAAAAAATTTAAGCTAAATCCATTTTATGTTTTTTTTTTTTTTTTTTGGTTTCTTAATTTTCATTTCATTTTAATATAATTTACAAAATGTTTGTCTTTGGTTTTTTTAATTTTAATTAAATGTTTTAGTTGTTTTTGTTTTCTATAAATATTCTTGTTTTGTTTTTTAAAGTTTTACGTTTAAGGTCCTTTGAGATTTCAGTTAGCTACACTATAAATTATTCAAAATAATGTTTAAACGATCTTTTTTTTTTGGTAAATTACAAAATGTACAATGCTTACATGTCATACACAAGTATTTTGGTTTGATTAAGAACTTCAACAAAAAAATATTGATTAGTTAACAAAAAACAATGGATTTCTTTTAAGGTTTTGCTTTGGTTTATCTTAGGTTTCTAATGCATTAATAAAGCTATGTTAGAGTAACGACCGGAACATAGGGCTATAATGAATAGGAAAATATTTATAAAAATACTAGAAGCACTGCCGCATAATTCAATATTGCTTTCCTGTAATGGGGGGAGGGAGGTAAATTTCGTTATTAATAGAATGTAAAAAATGATATTATTTTTTATTTAATATTTATTTTACACAAAAGGGATTTCCATGGATCAGAGTTTGCTCACGCCATCAAATACACACACATTTATTTTTAATTTAAGATTTATATAGGACTTACCTCTTTCAAGGGAAAAGAAATGTTAAAAATTGTTATAAATGCTCATGATTATAGATTATTATAAAATACATTGCTTAAGCTAATACAATTAGTTATAATTATTAAAAAATAAAGCATTTTAAATTAGCAGATATACATATATACAGCAATGAGGCTATTGTGAGTGGTCTGGTATGAAAATGTGTGTGAAATACATAATACATGGATACTTGGTGAGATGGCATCAGTAGCAATCAAAGAGAGAGAATGAACAAAACCACATATGTGTGTACAAAAGAGTTTTAGTAATGATACTCATACCTTCTCATTACTAATACTCTTTTGCACACAGTTGTTGCAGTTGTGAAATTTAGATAATTTCATTGAGCACTCAGTCTAGTTCAGCTCTTTTGTCTGAATTAGTTCATGCATAGACAAATAAGGTATAGACTAAAAAGTTGTCTCATCTGTAATCTTCGAAAAGAGAGCTTCAATAGATGTCGTTTATGCTGTGAGAGAGCATAGGTCTATTCACTCAATTCTCTCAAAATATAATATATTGGATATTTTATGATTTATTATTATTTATCAATTGAGAACGAAACAGTGACTTTGTTTAGATTGACATTTCCCACCTATGTGGTAAAATATAAAAATATATAACTTAAATAGCAGAAAAATTTGATGCTATTTCCGACATTTTTTGCTTTCATTCAATTAAATTAAAAAAAAAATGTAGAAATTATGGCTTTGGTTTTTATCTTACCCTGTATATCATCTTCACAACAGATCCTGCTTCAAAAAAAATATTTGGATGCTTGCCTCGTTACAATTTGCATCTGACCTAAGACTGATATAAATATCACAACGAGCCAAATCTGGACTATATCGACTACTTCCTATACTTTATGTGAGATATGTGTAAATAGTTGGAAAATGTGGAAATATACATGAGGTAAGAGATATTAATTTGAAGAAAATCGAATTTATATTCAATTTTATACGAAATCATAAATTTCGATATATTACATATTCATATCAGATTACGGGTTAAGAGAAATATTTAGAAGTTATAAAGAATCGCCGACCTAAATACAACTATTGGAAATTGTGACCTTTTGTGCGTGAGGTACCAGAAGGGTTTGGCAGATATACAGGTTGAGACGAAAAAACTGATACCAATTTCAGCCGGATGTCATTTCTAAGCCACTCGTCCGACAGCTGTTAAAATTATTCCAGTGACAGCTAATTATATTGTTTACAAGCGTACTAAAGCATTTTGGTGAGAATTTTCCAGAAAAAAAATTATTTGTAATGGAATTCAAGCATGATAGTGTGATTTCTTTACGTTTCGCTGGAAAACCACTAGTGGCTTTCGTTAGAGCACTCCAGCATTAAAATGTGAATAAATCCTTTGTGTCTCGTACCATCGCTCGTTGCCGTGATACTGGTAGCGTAGCCCCCCGACGTCAAGGAAGTGGACGGAAGAAAACAGCAACAGCAGAATGGTTTAAAAAGTAAAGCAGCGACTTGATCGAAACCCTCGTCGCAGTGGCCGAAAATGGCTCGTGAGCTGAACAAATCGCAATATTCCATTCGGCAATTATTGAAAATTTAAGCTAGGGGTAAAGCCATTGAAATTCCAAAAAGTGCAAGAACTTACACCGCAACCGAAAGAAAATAGACCCAAAAGAGTTAAAAAGTTGCTTCGCTTGGCCGAAAGTGGTGAACTGCCGAATGTGGTCTTCTCCGATGGGAAAACATTCGTTGTCCAGCAGCAGTTTGTAAACAAACAAAATGATCGTGTTTACTTGCCAAAGAGGTCAGCTGAAAATCTGCACCTACGGGTGGCCAGCAGAACTCAAGCACCGGTCGTGGTGATGGTGTGGGCCGCCATAACAGCCGATGGTCGCTCTCCGCTCATATTAAACGACCGTGGTATCAGAATAAATGTCGAATATTATCGGGAAAATATTCTGGAGGGTGTATGAAAAACTTGGGCACCCAAAACATTTTGACCGCATACCTTGGAATTTCCAACAGGACTCAGCACCATCGCACTCAGCAAGCGCCACACAAGAATGGTTACAAAATTATGTTCCTCACTTCATTTCCAGCGCACAATTCGTGGCCAATTCGAACATATCTATACATATTCTTAAATTTGATGCTATTTCCGACATTTTGTCGGATGTTAATTTCGTGTTTTATGAGCTTCATAGAGGTACCAGAAGGAGTGGACCGATATATTCTATCTTCACAGCAGACCTTGGGTTAATAAAAATATTGTGATATGCGTAATTTGATGAGAACCGGATGTTTTATTCGGATTTCATGTTCGTTTTTTGTTATTCAAAACTTTGGCCCTTTGTGGGGGAGGTACCAAAAGGAGTGTTCCGATCTCTACCATATTTATTAGAGATCTGGTGTTGATGGAAGCATTGAAATTATGCCAAGTCTGAATGGAATTGGATGTTAATTTCACGTCTTATGAGCTTCATGGAAAAAAATTTGACCCTTTGTGGGGGAGGTACCAGAAGGAGTGGACCGATATATTCCATATTCACAGCAGACATTTGGTTAATAAAAATCTTGTGATTTGTGATTCGAATTTTATGATCGTTCTGGTTATTCATAACTTTGACCCTTTGTGGGAGAGGTACCAGAAGAAATTATCCGATCTGTACCATTCTTACAACAGATTTTGTGTTGCTGGAAATATTGAGATGCGCCGCGTCTGAATGGAATCGGATGTTAATTTCGTGTTTTATGAGATTCACAAATTTTCAAAAGGTGGGGGAAGTACTAGAAGCAGTGGATCGATATATCCTACCTTTACACCAGACCTTGGGATAGTAAAAATATTGTTATGTGTGTAAATTGAAGACAATCGGACACTTACATCAATGTTGGAGTGGACCGATATTGTCCATTTTCTCACCTGACCTAGCACTCATGGAAATATTAGAATTTGCGAAGTTGGAGCAAAATCGGATTATCCTTTATCTTTCGGTGCAGTAAAATATTTTTTTAAAATTTTTTGTTTTGTGGGGTAGGTACCGGAGGTAGAGGACCGATATTGCCCATCTCCGAACTCAATCTAAGTTTAATAAAAATATTACGATATATCAAGCTTGGACCAAATCGGTTACTCCCTTCGAGAGTTATTGTGCGCACCAGCCAGCCAGCCAGACAGACGGACGGACATCGCAAGATCGACTCCAAATGTCCTGAAACGGATTTGGTCCAAAGAGATGTAGGGCCAAAAATAGTTATTTCGGTGAGGCACGTTTTGGTCATACCAAAAATGATATATACCCTATCTAGCCATATGACTGAGCGAATAACTAGCCATATAGGTGAGTGTATAAAAATGATATATCATTCAAAATTCTGGTCATATTGCTAAAGGCTTTTACTCTTCATATATAAAACGAATGTTTATTAAAAAATATGAATATAAATTACTGAAAATATTTAAATATATTACAAAATTGGTGCTGAGAATGTAAGGTGATCTACAAAGCGTTATAGAGTGATGTAATGCAAATGAACGATATAGGGATATGTAAAATGTTTGTTTTATATACACATATATTAAATATTATTTTCAAAAATATTACCAGCTCTATGAAAGCATTAACACAGATATATATTAATACACAATTAATATACATATATATATATACAGCATGTTTTTGTGTTATATCTGAAGTCAGAAAAACAGCATACCTTTCTTTATATACATAAGTATATATATTGGATGTATGGACATTAAATATTCATTATCTGACTTCAAGATATAACTGCGCGTATTGTTAAATACATGAGCTGAAAACTTGACAGATCATACTTATGAAAAAAACCCGTTTAACTTACGAAACGTTACGACGACGACGATGTTGTTGTTAGTTCTTCGTTTCGAGTAGACGTTAAAAGTTAAGTTAAGATGTGTAAAGTAAGAGATACGTGTATGCATGCATTTATGTTGTAGTATATAGTCAAGGCCCACACAGAATACACATTTAAAAGCGGACATTAAGCTATATTTATATTAGTTATCTTCACCTAATTCAATAATTGTTTTATTTTTATTTATTTCTACTTCCTCCATCTTCCCTGGAAGGTCTCTTCTCTATGTAAGATCTCCTAAAGGTATTATATACTTTAAGGTCTTTATTGCAAAGAAGTTCAACTGAATGTCTTCTAAGCACAGAAAAACTCCCGAGAAGGAGGCCTTCTACTATGGAAGACCTCAGGAAATTTTCTAGACATATCTATGGAAGATCTAAGGAAGGTCTTTTGTGTAATGAGGACCTCGCCAAGGTATTACTTGTATAAAGAAAGACCAGTTCATTTTCAGTGTAGAAATGACCGCCCTATTGGTCTTTTATTTATAAAATATCTCCTGAAGATTCTATATTTAAACAATCTCCAAAATGTCTTTCATGTTTAGTAGACTAGAAGGTCAGAAGTGTATCGAAGTTATCCTGAGATTTTTCTGAGAGAAAACACCCTTTGAAGGTCTTAGGACTTCTTTAAGGCTTTTCGTGTATAGAATACCATGTCTTCTATGTCTAAGGTAGGTTTTGAAGCTCTTCTATGTAAATATGATAACTTAAAGGGACCTGATAATCTTTCATGCATAAAGAAAATACTGAAGGCCATCCCTGCACTACCAACCACTTTTAAGGATGATTTCTTTATTTTGTAATAAGGTTCAAATCGCTATACAAAAACTAAAAGTTCGATATTTAAATATAAAATTTGGGGTATCCTACCGTTAAGTTTTGGATCCTATGATATACATTTTAATATTTCATTCCTAGTAATTGAATGGAGATTTAACCTTATCAAAAAAAATACAAAATCATTTAGCAAAAGTTAATAATCTGTCAGGAATCATCCAAAAACACTGTGCGACAAAATTCAAATTTTTTTCGATAATTAAAAGGGAAAATTCAGCAGATTATGAAAGTTCTATAAATAGAGGGACCAAGTTCCTCGCTCTTTCACATTTTTTTTTTAATTTTTCCCAAAATATATTTTTCCAAAGAAAACCCGAAAATATTTCCTTTTTTAATTGATCAAAACCTCGGACTTTTTTCGGGTTTGAGTCCAGAAAGTAACATTAAATCTCGTTATATGCAGAAGGTGTCAAAGGAAGAAATATTCTATCTCAGAATAAACTATATACCCAGATGCAATAGGTTTAAAAACGAAATACATTCAAAATTTCTGTAGCAAAAGTGCAAATTATGTCTTTACTTTGTTTACTGTTAAATTAACACTTTTCCAATCCAAGTCAAGTCGGATTCCAAGGAATCTTAATCCGAAAGTTTCCGAAAAATGTGGAATAGGGGGAATTTCCCCCTCTGCTTAGGTTACATTGCGAGAACAACTTTGAAAACGCCGATATAGGTGTTTTTTTATTTTTAGCTCTACTTTCATAATTTGCTGAATTTTAGCTGTAATTATTTTTTCTGTTGCACAGTGTAATCGATCATATGTTAGGGTTACTGACTAAAGTTTCAATTAGACGTGCCATAAACATAACCATGATTACTTGTGACATACCATAACGACATAGCCATAACTCTTGCCGTAGATATAAATCAATTGTTTTCTTTTTGCCGTTTCCATAAGAAAACCAGTAAAGAAAGTCTTAAAGTCGGGCGGGGCCGACTTTATGATACCCTACACCACTTTGCTAATTTAGTAGAGCTCCACATAACAATTGAAAGTTTGTATGGGAGAGTTCAATCATACACGCTATGATTATAATTATAATTTAAAGTTCAAAGGACTAAATATGCCGAAGCATTTGTATCTTTCGGACTTTTGTATTGCCCATTTGGTGCACAATTAATTTGAAATCCGATAAAGATATATATTGGAGCTATATCCAAATCGGAACCGATCTCGATAAAATTTGTCAAAGATATTTCTGAGCTGTATTTGATATATTTCCCTGAATATCGTTGTTACGGAGTTCATATTACGGTTGTGGGTAACAAATATAACAAATCGGATGAATAATATATATGGAAGCTATAGCTATATCTGAACCGATCTTCACCAAATTTGACATACTAGCTTCTAGACTCAATTCGGCCGTAAGTGTCAAATTCCATCCCATTTGGACAAATATTAGACATTTGTTGCACAACAAAAGGAAATCGGATGAAATTATATATGGGAGCTATATCCAAATCTGAGCTGTATTTGATATATTTCCCCAAATATTGTTGTTGCAGAGTGCATATTACGGCGGCGGTGGACAAAAATAAGAAGTCGGATGAACAATATATATGGGAGCTATACAATTCGGGCTGATATTACACGTTTGGTGCACAATAAAAGGTAAATCGGACGAAGATATATATGGGAGCTATATCTAAATTTTGACCGATTATCTCCAATTTCAATAGAGTTCGTCCTTGGGCCAAACAAATTATCTGGATCGGGAAATATATGCGACCTGTACATGGACAGACGGACGGATGGACATGCATAAATCGACTCAGAATGTGATTCTATGCAGATCATCAAAAGGAACTATGGGTCTATCTCGTTTCCTTTTGCCTGTTACAAACAAATGCACAAAGACATAATACCCTGACCACCTTGTGGTGTAGGGTATAAACAGTAAAGAAAATTTAAAAGTCGGGCGACGCCGACTTTAGTAGAGCTTCATATAATTAAAAAAAAATAGCCAATGTTCGATTATTTTAAAATATTTTGACTTCTGTTATGAATTTTCAAATTCTCGAATTTCGTATCTGACCTAAATAAATATGACATAAAATCGCTGAGTTGTTTTGCAATTTATGACATATAAAAGTATTCCAAAATTTTGTCACTTTGTAGGTGAGGTACCAGAAGGGGTTCGCAGATATATATCATCTTTACAACAGATCTTGTGTTAGCAAAAATGTTTGTCTGTGTAAAATTTGAAGAGAGTTGGATGCATATTTCGCTTTCTTTGACCGTTATGTTTTTTAAAGTTTTGAACCCTATGTGGGGCAGGTAGCAAAAGAAATGGTCCGATCTCAAAATGTTGACCATTTGTGGGGGAGTTTCTTGTTGGAGTGGAGCAATATTGTCCATTTTCATATCTGACCTAGCACTGAGGGAAATATTAGGATATGCAAAATTAGAGCAAAATTAGATTATTGCTTCCCTTCTGTGAAAAAAACATATTTTTGAAAATTTCGAACTTTTGTGGGGGAGGTACCAAAAGGAGTGGACCGATATTGTCCATCTTAACACCAGACCCTGGGATAATATAAATATTGGGATGTGTGAAATTTGAAGACAATCAGACTCTTACATAACATTTTTGGAGAGTGGTAATTATTCAAAATTTTGGCTATTTGTGGGGGAGGTACTTAATGGAGTAGACCGATATTGTCCACTTTTAACACCTGACCTAGCACTGACGCAAATATTAGGATAGGCAAAGTTAGAGCAAAATCGGATTATGCTTTCTCTTTTTGTGCAAAAAAAATATATTTTTTAAAAATTTCGACCTTTTGTGTGGGATGTACCAGAAGGAGTGGACCGATATTGTCCACCTTAACACCAGACCCTGGGTTAATATAAATATTGGGATGTGTGAAATTTGAAGACAATCAGACTCTTACATAACTTTTTATGAGAGTTGTAATTATTCAAAATTTTGACCATTTGTGGGGGAGGTACTTAATGGAGTAGACCGATATCGTCCATTTTCACACTTGACCTAGCACTGATGCAAATATTAGGATTTGCAAAGTTAGAGCAAAATCGGATTATTCTTTCTCTTTTTGTGCAAAAAAAATATATTTTTTTAAAATTTCGACCTTTTGTGTGGGAGGTACCAGAAGGAGTGGACCGATATTGTCCACCTTAACACCAGACCCTGGGTTAATATAAATATTGGGATGTGTGAAATTTGAAGACAATCAGACTCTTACATAACTTTTTATGAGAGTTGTAATTATTCAAAATGTTGACCATTTGTGGGGGAGGTACTTAATGGAGTAGACCGATATTGTCCATTTTCACACTTGACCTAGCACTGATGCAATTATTAGGATTTGCAAAGTTGGAGCAAAATCGGATTATCCTTTCTCTTTCTGTGCAAAAAAAATATTTCTTGAACATTTAGACCCCTTGTGGGGGAGGCACCAAAGTGGACCGATATTGTCCATCTCCGAACTCGATCTAAGTTTGACAAAAATATTACGATGTACCCAGTTTGGACCAAATCTTCGAGAGTTATCGTGCGCACCAGTCAGCCAGACAGACGGACGGACATCGCTAGATCGACTCCAAATGTTCTGAAACTGATTTGGTTTAAAGAGACCTAGGGTCTAAAACCGGTATTTCGACTAGGCACATTTTGACCGTATCAAATTGTATGTTTTGACCGTATCAAATTGTATATATACCCTCTGTAGCCATATGGCTGAGGGTATACATTTATATGGGAGCTATGGCTATATCTGAACCGATTTTCGCCAAATTTGCCATACTATGTTTCTATGCTTAATTTGGTTGTAAGTACCAAATTCCATCACATTTGAGTTAATATTAAACGTTTGGTGCTTCAGAGGACAAAAATATCAAATCGGATGAACAATATGTATGGAAGCTATAGCTATATCTGAACCGATTTTCACCAAATTTGACGTACTTATTTCTAGGCACAATTTGGTCGTAAGTGCAAAATTCCATACTATTCGGGCTGATATTACACGTTTGGTGCACAATAAAAGGCAAATCGGACGAAGATATATATGGGAGCTATATCTAAATTTTGACCGATTATCTCCAATTTCAATAGAGTTCGTCCTTGGGTTAAACATATGACTTGTGCCATATTTCATCTGGATCGGTCAATAAATGCGACCTGTACTTAATGTACATTTATTTAAATATATAACAGATGTATATAGTTATGGCACTGCTAATCGAAAATATTAAAATAAAAATATTATTGGCTAGTTTATGGCTATGTCACGTCTAATTGAACCTTAACGCCTTGCATTTCTTATTAACACTAATTAGAATAAATAATTAAAATTAAAAAAAAAATATATTTTTAGATAAAAGTCAATTTTATAAAAATTAGAGCCTAATTTAATAAAACAGGAAAAATCGCCTGATGCCGTTACATAGAGGACAACCAAAACGTGAAACCATGCCGATGTATGCCCAATTCAAAAGATATGTTTATTTAAAAAAAAAAAAAAAATTAAATGCAATAATTTAAATAAAATTAATATTTTTTTTACTTAAAGTCTTCTTTAGTTATTGAATGAGGCAAACCTAGTGCATTTACTCTGTTAATTTGTTAATTAATTGTTTATTACATTTTACAATGTGAAATGTAGTCTCCCTACGAAGTTTATTCTAAATTGTAAAACAGCTGGTTAATAATTTCAAACATAAAATACCAATCATACATAATTACAAAAATTACATAAACAAATATTGAAAGCATTTAAAAATAAATTCCCACATTTATTTTTACTCTCATCATTCTTGTTTTTTTTTTTTTCATTTCCATGGAAAAATCCCTTAATTTTTTTTTAAATAATTATTTTTCTTTGCTTTTATAGATTTCATTCGCATGCATTCTTTTCGTTTGACTATCGAGACAATCGACGTTCTACTTACATTTATATGCTTGTTTATGCAACTTGTCGGACGCACCCTCGAGAATTCATGATCCTTTTTAAAACATGCCAATGTTTGATTCTCATCCAACGGATAGTTAATATCCATCGGATTAACGGTGAGCACGTGCGCAGCATCGCGCGGACATATCTGATCGATGACCAGCAATATCAGATTGCTGGCCGGTATGGGCAGAACGACAAATGGTCTCTCGCAGCCGTGCGCCGTCATGTTGTAGGCAACATTGCCGGTCGCATTGAACAACGTGTAGAGGTCACGTTGCATGTCACACTGTTTCAGTCTGGTCCTCTGTAGCGTGACCAGACGTACCCATTCATTGTTTTTAACATTAACCATATAATCTGTCATATTTTCATCCACATAATGTTCGAAGAAGTCGGCGGCGACCCTACTAATTTCTAATAAGAATAGCACTAGTGTGGATAATAACCATCTAAAGGCTCTGAATACATGGACTAGAGGCTATAAAAATGGATAAATAAATTTAATGAAAAAACAAAGAAAAACAGATAACAGGGGAATCCCGCAAACGGGTGATGATAATGACAAAGAAAAAGAAAAAAAAAAATAAAACACACACACACAAGTACGGGTACATGTGAGAGGGAAATGATAAGTGTTGTTGTTGTTGTTATTGTTGTAAATTGTTAAATAAAATTAGAAAATAATGTGTTATATTGTGTTGACACTTGATCGGAGCATAAAATATTTTAATCGAAGTTCTCAGGTTTGAAGGTATCAGACACTTTGCTGACAGATATCTAGCATCATCCTATGATATCTATACATAATACAGGGTGAGATGAAACTGCAACCAATATCAGAATGCTGTCATTTCTAAGCCACTCGTCCGACAGCTGTTAAAATTCTTCTAGTGGCAGCTCATTATATTGTTTACAAGCGTACAAAAGTATTTTCGTGAGAATTTTCTAGAAAAAAAGTTATTCGTAATGGAATTCAAGCATGCTAGTGTGATTTCTTTATATTTGGCTGGAAAACCACAAGTGGCTATCGCTAGAGCACTCCAGCATTTAAATTCGAATAAATCTTTTGTGTCTCGTACCATCGTTACAGTGATACTGATAGCTTAGCCCAATGGCTAGGAAGTGGACGGAAGAAAACAGCAACATCAGCAGAAATGGTTCGAAAAGTAAAGAGCGACTTGATCGAAACCCGCGTCGCAGTGGCCGAAAATGGCTCGTGAGCTAGACATATCGCAATATTCAATTCGGCAAATATTAAAAAATGAGATCGGGGTAATGCCATTGAAATTCCATAAAGTGCAAGGACTTACACCGCTGCAGAAAGAAAATAGACTCAAAAGAGCTAAAGAGTTGCCTCGCTTGGCCGAAAGTGGTAAACTGTCGAATTTGGTTTTCTCCGTCTCCGAAGAGAAAATATTCCAGCAACATGACCAGCAGTTTGTAAATAAACAAAATGATCGTATTTACCTGCCAAAGAGGTCAGCTGAAAATGTGCACCTTCGGTTGGCCACCAGAACTCAAGCGCCGGCCATGGTGATGGTGTAGGCCGAGCGCTCTGCGTTTGTATTAATCGACCGTGGCATCAGAATAAATGCCGAAAATATTCTGGAGAGTGTATTATAGCCTTGGGTACGCAAATATTTTGGCCGCACACCTTAGACATGCCAACAAGACTCAGCAGCATCACATTCAACACGCGCCACCTAAGGATGGTTACAAAATGAGGTTCCTTGCTTCATTTCCAGCGCATAATGGCCACCAAAATCTCCGGATAACAATCCGTTGGATTATTGTGTCTGGAGTATTTTGGAAAGCAAGGTTGGCACTACAAAATACCAAAGAGTCGATCATCTCAAGCAAGCGATTCGCCGGGAATGGACCAAAATACCGCAGAGCAACATTCGGTCAGCGTGTGATGGTTTCATTGGCCGTTTGAAGGCCATAATTCGTGCCAAAAGTGACCAATTCGAACAAATTTAAACTTATTCTAAAATTTAATGTTATTTCCGACATATTTGGCTTTCATTCAAAAAAAAATTTTTAAAAAAATGTAAAAATTATGGCGTTTGACTTTGTTGTAGTTTTTTATGTCACCCTGTAGTGTTGAAAAATTTGGTATGAATTAACAACATTTCGACCATTTATAGGAAAAGTACCGGAAGGAAGAAGCCGATGATATCCGTTTTGGAATCAGATCAAAAAGCCGATACACGTGTCTTTTTATTTTGTGCTCTACTTTCATAATCTCTTGGCTTTTTTCTGCAATTATTGAAGAACAAAATCGAATTTCTAAGAGAGAGAGAGAGAAAGAGAGCGAGCCTCTCTCCTTCTATCTCTCTCTGCCCGTCTACGACTCTCTCCCCGTCTATATTTCTCCCCCTCTATCTTATCTCCCTCTCTCTTTCCCTCTCGCCTTTCTTCTCTCTCTTTCTCTCTCTCATTCCCTCTTTTTTTCCCTCTCTCTCTGATGTCATAGAGTCATTGACCCCATGCCAGGGGTCATTGACCAGATTTCAATTAACTTTTGACATGTAGTTGATAAAGTATTAACCAGGGGCAATGGCCTGTTTTAAAATGGGTGAGAATTGATCTTCTTATGACCACGTAAAATAATTCACTAATCAAATGGTGGTTGATGGGGCTATTTCACGTTGGCCAGTTTTGTGTTTTCCTCATCGTACACCAAGTTATACCAAAATGTCTAACCCTGCAACATTTAATCTGGCGTAAATCGAGACCAAAATTTAATTTTATGTCTCGTACAGTCATTATTTTATAGGTGGCTGACGTCATTTTTTTTTTCTAACATTGGGGGGTCAATAGGTCAATGGCCGCTTGACATGAATGAAACATGTCAAGGAACCATTGATCCCATGTCAATAAGTCATTGACCCCATTTCAAGAGGTCATTGACCTATTAACCCCATGTCAAGGGGTCAATGAGAGGGAGAGGGAAAATACACGTACATACAAATTCAACAACGGTATGACAAAAATTAGAAGAATACTCAGCAAGAGTAGAATCTGCTCATTTTGGAGAGAATTTCAGTTTTTTTTTTTTCTCTTCCCAAAATAGAGTTCGACTCTTCGATTCTAAGCGAGTTTTTCGGGGTTTTTTCGACTTTTGGCAGGGAAGTAATCGACATTCAGCTGACTGGTCTGATAGGTCAAGTTTTTTATTGAAAGGCAAACCTTAAAGAGTATAAATTAACAAATCTAAAATCCTATCCGATTATAGTGAACTTTAGGTTCAGAAGGATAATTAATAAAAGGTTATTAGATCGGTAGGATCAAAAAGGCAATTTTTTTTATTAAAAACAAATATTCAAATCCTTTTTTAATTTTAAAAGCCGACATTTCCTCCGGATCACGTATCTGGTCAAAATTAAGCGACTGCTTAAACTTGACCAACATAATATCGCGTTTGTGCTATTGAAGGTTAAAGCGCTAAATCGAATGGACTAACTTTGTATGTACGAATCTAGTCCATATTAACGCGCTAAAATACTAAATAGATTCCTTCCTCTAATCTAAACAAGTCATTTAAAATATCTCCAATCAAGTGTTAACAATTTTTAATGAAAAGAAAAAGAAAAACATCAAAAACAAATCAAAACTCAAATCCGACATTGACATATTTACCGCTAACATATTCGGCGATGAATTCATATCGCCATCCGGTACAAAACAAATGGCCTGATAATCATAGACCGTAACTTTTTTATAAACATTCTCTTCGACCAAACGATGCATGATGGCACCGTTTATTTCGCCAAAGAAACGACCGGTTTCGTGGCGATTCAAAGATACGATAATAAAGCCATTATTATCTAAGACATAGCAGGCCTTGTCGTCGGCGGCACAGGCCTAGAAAAAATGAACAGAATTTTAATTAAACGATTTGAAGAGAGAATTTGGCGGTTACTTACATTTCCCGTAATGTTGCGGAAAAGTTTATGCAAAGCACTGTACTGAAACTGGAAGCCAACAACGGCAGCGGGCGCTGACTTGCCACCTTCGGTGTGAAAGATCGCATGACTCGCCGTAACAATCGGGTCCACTGTCGTCTCGCCCGCATCAAAAGGCACCGAATAGACGAAACTCTCCTCACGCACAAAATGTTGATCGACGGCTCGTTTATACCAGATCTCATCGATGGCCTTGTTGTTGGTTTCACTGAAGGTTTCCCTAAAGGGATTTTGAAAAGAAAATTAATTAAATCAATAATATTTTGTAAATGGGAAATAAAAACCTCATAAATTAAAAAAAAATATGTCAAATTAAAAAAAATACAAAAGCTTTCTTCCAGAAGCTGCAAGAGTCTACTACACCTTTTTCAATGGAATTCGAATTATTTTATATTTAATTCGTAAAATTTCATTTGCAATTCGAGTATTGCGCTTCTTATTCGAATTATTTCAGTTGTATGTAATTCGAGAATTGCAATTCGATTTATCCGTTTGTATTTTGAATTATTCCATTTGTAATTCAAATCATTCCAATTGTAAAGCGAAGCAAATTAAAGTTATTCGAATTACCATTGAAATAGATCGAATGTCAAATAGGATAATTTGAATATAGTAATAATAATAATTCGGCCGGGCCGAAATTTGAATATCCTCCACCATTTGGAACGAATTTGGAAATTTAAAGAAATAAATAAAATCCGTTAAAAATTCTATTGGATTCTTAAAAATAGCGAATATAGCCGTTATATTAGGGTCTATACGACGTGGACCTACATAGGCATTGTTTGCCATAAGCCGTTACCATATTCAAATTCGAAACTTGAAATAAAAGGTGAATAATGTAGATAAAATCATCAAAATACCCTATATGGGGAGGTACCATTATATCGGAACTATACGAAGACCTGGACCTGCATAGACAATTTTCTGTCACAGACTCGAGCATCCATTACGAACTTCAAATACGACATCTCAAACAATTTCGGTGAGTATTGTACCTAAAATCGTCAAAATACCGAATATAGAAAGGTACAGTTATATGGGGGCTATACGAAGCCGTGGACCTGCACAGACAATTTTCTGTCACAGGCTGTAGTATCTATTACGAACTTCAAATGCGAAATTTGAAACACTTCCGGTAAATAATGTCGCTAAAATCAATAAAATACCGAATATCGGGGGGTACCTTTATATGGAGGCTATACAAAGACGTAAATCTGCACAGATAATTTTCTGGCATAGGCTGTAGTATCCATTACGAACTTCAAGTATAAAATTTGAAATAATTCCGGTGAATAATGCCGCTAAAATCATCAAAATACCGAATATCGGGAGGTACCGTTGTGTGGGGGGCTTTACGAAGACGTGGACCTGCATACACAATTTTCTGCCTTAGGCTGTAGTATCTATTACAAACTTCAAATATTAAATTTGAAACAATTCCGGTGAATAATGTCGCTAAAATCATAAAAATACCGAATACCGGGAGGTACCGTTAAATGGGGTTTATATGAAGACCTGGACCTGCATACACAATTTTCTGTGTTAGGCTGTAGTATCCATTACGAACTTCAAATACCAAATTTAGTTCCGGTAAATAATGTCTCTAAAATCATCAAAATACCGAATATCGGGAGGTACCGTTGTGTGGGGGGCTGTACGAAGACGTGGACCTGCATACACAATTTTCTGCCTTAGGCTGTAGTATCTATTACAAACTTCAAATATTAAATTTGAAACAATTCCGGTGAATAATGTCGCTAAAATCATCAAAATACTGAATATCGGGAGGTACAGTTATATGGGGGCCATATGAAAACGTGGACCTACATGCCCATGACCCAATTCCAAAAGTCCTGCAGCCATAATAGACATTTGAGTAAAATTTTATTAACCTACTTCATTTCGTTCGGAAGCTAGAGTGATTTCCATTGATTTTATGCTGATCAAGAATATATATACTTTGTGGGGCCTAAAATGTATATTTCGAGATGTTACACAACGGAATGACAAACTTAATATACCCCCCATACTAAGGTGGAGGGTATAAAAAGCCGTCTTCCAGAACCTGCAAGAGTCTTCTACACCTTTTCCAATTGAAATTCGAATAATTTTTTTTTTTTAATTCGTTACATTTCATTTGTAGTTCGAGTATTCCCTTTGTAATTCGAATTATTTCATTTGTAATTCGAGAATTTAATTCGAATTTTTTCATTTATATTTTAAATTAATATTATTGTAATTCAAATTATTCCAATTGTAAAGCGAATTATACCAATTATAATTAGATTGATTCCAATTGTAATTCGAATTACAATTGGACTAATTCGAATTACATCTAGAATAATTCGAATTACAACTGAAATAATTCGAATGTCAAATAGCATAATTCGAATTACAATTGGAATTCTCAAATGCGAATGCGAATTACAAATAAAAAGGCTCGAATTACTTCTGGTATAATTCGAATTACAATTGGAACTATTCGAATTTCAACTGATATAATTCGAATTACAATTGGAATTTTCGAATTATAATTGGAATTTCCGAATTACAATTGAAATAATTCCAATGATAAATAGAACAACGCGAATTACCATTGGAATTCTCGAATTACAACTGAAATAGTTCTCAAATTACATTTAAAATATTTCGAATTACATATGAAAAGGGTACTACACCATTTTGGATTTTATGGAAAATCGGTTATCGTGGTTTATTTTTTTACAGTTTTGAAATAGAGCAAAATAAAATATTTTCCATTCAAATTTTTTTTCAGAACAAGATTTCAATTTAATGTTTCCAACTTACCCAGCTCCCACTTCTTCAGCCATATTCGAATGAAATTCTTGCCATCTCGTTAGGCCACTGTGGGTGGCCAAAAATGCCACATTGATGCCAAAACGTTGTTTAAACTCATTTCTATTAAAATTGAGATAATAAAAAAATACATATTAATTTTTTTCCAAATTAAATAAATTTTAATTAGTTTTTTCTTTGAAAAAAATATTATTTTTAAACATTTTTGTTACCTTGGCAACAAACCCATCAAAACAGAAATGGGATTTGATGCACTTGATCTATGCAATTCCGAAAAAAAAAAAACAAATGAATATTGGACAACACAAATGTTGTTGGTGTTGTGTGTTTTTCAAAAGAGTTACGGAAATAGTTTTTACACAGATTGTCATTATGATTTTAAAATTATAACAAAAAAATCCAGCAAGAGAGACAAAAGACAAAATAAATGCAGAAAAGTAAAAACAAATGCAGGTGCGAAAGGGATATTCATGTTTTAGGTTATTTTGTGGTTTTTTTTATTGTTATAATGTTTATAAAATATGTTATTATATGTTTAATATACATATTTTTGTGCATAAAAAAATATTTAAATTATCATAAAATAAACATAAGTAATAATATAAAAAAAAATTAGCCGAAAGGCCGGTCTTAAGATTTACAAGTTTTGTTGGGTTTTCAAAACATCTTAAATCTGAGGAGAACTTAATGAGGACGATATCACAGATTATAATCGAAAATGATCTTCCATACAACATTTTAACAAAATATGTCAGAATCTCATGGCCACTATTATGGCAAGCAAGAAAAAAAGCTGTAAGTTCGGCCGGTCCGAACTTTGAATAACTTCCACCGTTATGGAACGAATTTGGCAAATCTCAAAAACAATAATATCCGTTAAAAAAATCTGTTAAAATCTTAAAAATACCGAATGTAGCTGTTACGAAGACGTGAACTTGCACAGACAATTTTCTGTCTTAGTCTGTAGTACCCTTTATGAACTTCAAATACCTATACCAAAACGTTGACCCACATGGCCCATTTTCAATACCAAAAGTCCTGCAGACATAATATACATTTGAGTAAAATTTTATTAATCTACTTCAATTCGTTCGGAAACTAGAGTGATTTCCACAGACGGACGGACTAAATCGATATAGAAATTTATGCTGATCAAGAATATATATACTTTGTGGGGTCTAAAATGTATATTTCGAGGTTTTACAAACGGAATGACAAACTTAATATACCCTCCATACTATGGTGGAGGGTATAAAAACATCGGAAGTCTACTTTTGCGCCACCTTGTACATGCATATCTACTTGACAGACAATCCGATATTTTTTATACCCTTCGATTTTGCTTCAACTTTGCAAATCCTAATATGTGCGACAGTTCTAGGCCAGGTGCAAAAATGGATAATATCAGTCCACTCCATGAAGTACCTGTCCCACAAAGGCCACAAATTTTTAATAATTATAATTCTTATAAAATGTGATGTACGAGCCCGATTGTCTTCAAATATCACATATCACAATATTTTTATAAACCCAAGGTCTTGTTTTAAGATGGAATATATCGGTCCATTCCTTTTGGTACCTCACCCACAAAGGGTCAAAATTTTGAATATCTATGAAGCTCCTAAAATGCGAAATTAACATTGCATTTCATTCGGACTTGGCAAATCTCAATATCTACATCAACACAAGATTTGTAATAAAGATGGTAGAGATCGGCCTATTCCTTCTGGTACCTCCCTCACAAGGGTTAAAGTCTCAAATAACCAAAACGATTATAGAATGGGATATGTTGGTCTACTCCTTCTGCTACCTTCCCCACAAAGGATCAAAATTTTGAATATCTATGAAGCTACTAAAATGCGAAATTAACATTGGATTTCATTCGAACTTGGCAAATCTCAATATTTCTATCAGCACAAGATCTGTTATAAAGATGGTAGAAATCGGTCTATTCCTTCTGGTACCTCCCCCACAATGGTCAATGTTTTGAATAACCCAAAGGATTATAGAATCCGAAATAAACACCCGGTTCTTATTTTATATTTCACACATCCTAGTATTTCTATTAAAACAAGATCTGCTGTAAAGATGGGATATGTTGGTGTACTCCTTCTGGTACATCCCCCCCCCAAAGGGTCAAAATTTTGAATATCCCCTAAGCTCCTAAAATGCGAAATTAACATTCGATTTCATTCAGACTTGGCACATCTCAATATTTCTTTTAGCACAAAATCTGTTATAAAGATGGTAGAGATCGGTCTATTCCTTTTGGTACCTCCTCCACAATGGTCAATGTTTTGAATAACCCAAAGGATTATAGTATCCGAAATAAACACCCAGTTCTTATTTCATATTTCACACATCCCAGTATTTCTACTAAAACAAGATCTGCTGTAAAGATGGGATATGTTAGTCTACTCCTTCTGGTACATCCCCCACAAAGGGTTAAAATTTTGAATATCCATGAAGCTCCTAAAATGCGAAATTAACATTCGATTTCATTCAGACTTGGCAAATCACAATATTTTTATCAACACAAGATCTGTTATTCCCTCCCCCACAAAGGATCAAAATTTCGAATAATCAAAACGATCATAAAAACGGTTCTCTTATCCGGTCTCTTTATATTTCACATATCCCATTATCTCTACTAACAAAACATCTTCTGTGAAGATGCGATATATCGGTCCACTCCCTCTAGTACCTCCCCCACAAAGGGTCAAAATTTTGAATATCCATGAAGCTAATAAAACGCGAAATTCCGAAATCGTTTTGGTACAATTCAATATTTCCATCAACACAAGTTCTGTTATAAAGTTGGAGTTATGGCTACGGCAACGTCGTATGTCACGTCTAATAGAACCTTTAGCACCAAGCTACTATAGAAACATCCAAACAAACAATAAAAAAATCCACCCACCTAACAACAGTTATTTGATTTAAACGTCAAATTTTCCTAAAATTATTTTTGTTTTGTGTTATCAAACAATTCTGAAAGAGATTTGAAAAAGTTTTTTTCATCACAATCATACCAAATTGCTAAGTATCAACCATCGTCAATTCCCCGCACCACCAATAGCCAATGGGTTCTCGACAATTGTACAATTGCGATTTTGAGGTATTCGGTAAGGTGCAGGGCGTATTCTTTCGTAAATACACCCAAAAGAAGGCCAAAGAATTGGGTATCCATGGCTGGATTATGAACACGCCGGAGGGAACGGTCAAAGGACAAATGGAAGGAACCCAAACGGAGCTAAACGAAATGAAAACATGGCTAACGCACAAGGGCAGTCCCAAGTCACAAATTGACAAGGCATTTTTCGGTGATATGAGACCCATGGAAATGTATTCACACAAATCGTTTGCAATAAATAAATAAAAGAGATGTGAAAAAATATTTATGCACATATTTTGGATTTCTGTGGAATTTGATGTCGATGGAGGTAAATCTGGAGTTATTATTACATGGGCGATTGTGAAACATTCAAAAAAAAATCGAAATTTAGGAGTTGCCGTTGTGAGGCGTCTGCATTAAAGGGTTGGCCGATGTTGAACGTTTATTTTTGCAATATTGCCGTTGAAATCATCAAATTACGAAAAGTCTGAAAGGTTAGATTCCTAACAGATTCTAAATTTAGTTTCGAATTGCTTAGCCTTAGTTTTGAAAAATAAAGGAAATTAAGAGGTTATTTCGTCTGGGTTAGCTTTTTCAATATTATGGACCTCTATTGAAAATTTTCTGCAGTAAGGTATATATATCACTTGAGAATCTGAATCAGCATTTGAAATCGGTTATATACTCAAAATTAATAATTTATTTGCCAAAAGCGTTGTGAACCTGAAATATCAAATATCAGCTTATGCCTCTGGATATTGTTACTTTATAACAGATTTTGTGGTGATGAAAATATTGAGATATACCAAGTTTGAATGAAATCGGATGTTAATTTTGTGTTTTATGAACTTCATGATGATTCAAAATGTTGATCCTTTGTGGGGGACATACCAGAAGGAGTGAACCGATATATTCCATTTTCACACCAGACCTTGGATTAATAAAAATATTGTGATGTGTGAAATTGGAAAAGAACCGGATGTTTTTTTTTTCGGATTTTATAAACGTTTTGGTTATTTAAAATTTTGCCCCGTGGTGGAGGAGGTACCAGAAGGAATGATGCGATCTCTACCGTTATATAAAAGATCCTGTGTTGATAGAAATATTCAGATGTGCCAAGTCTAAATGGAATCGGATGTTAATTTCGCGTTTTATGAGCTTTACGATTATTCAAAGTTTTGACCCTTTGTGGGGGACGTACCAGATGGAGTGGACCGATATTGTCCATTTTCCCACCTCATCTTCAAATGACGCAAATATTAGGTTTTGCAAAGTTTGAGCAAAATCGGATTATCCTTTCTCTTTCTGTGCAAAAAATATTTCTTTGAAAGTTTCGATATTTTGTGAGGTAGGTACCCGAAGAAGTGGACCAATATATTCCATATTAACACCAGACCTTGGGTTGATAACCGATATTGTCCATTTTCAATCCTGACCTAGCACTGATGCAAATATTAGGATTTCCAAAGTTGGAGGAAAATCGAATTATCCTTTCTCTTCCTGTGCAGTAAATTATTTTCTTTGAAAATGTTAACATTTTGTGAGGGAGGTACCAGAAGGAGTAGACCGATTTTGCCCATCTCCGAACTCTATCTAAATTTGACGATAATATTACGTTGTACCAAGTTTGGACCAAATCGTTTATTCACTTCGAGAGTTACCGTGCGCACCAGCCAACCACACAGACAGACGGACATCGCTAGATCGACTCCAAATCTCTTGAAATGGATTTGTTCCAAAGAGACCTAGGTTCTAAAACCGTTATTTCGATGAGGCACGTTTTGGCCGTATCAAATGATATATACCCTCCCTACCCATATGGCTACGGGTATAAAAAACTCATAAATGTTGCCTTTAAAAATACTTTTTTTGCTTTCGAAAAATTCAGCACTTTTTTCGAATTCGCTTCAAATTTTCTTAAAACTTCAGTATCCTACCTCAGCTGTAGAAGTAGCTTTTGATAGTACTCGTTTTATGACCAAAACCGCAAAAGAGTTTCGCGTTCCTATGCCAGATGTGAATGCTTTTATGTAGCCTTAACCATATATAATGGGACGAAAATATTTTGGGATATAATGTAAGCGAAAAATGTCGGAAGTAGCATTAAATTTTAGAATAAGTTTAGATTTGTTCGAATTGGTCACCTTTGGCACGAATTATGATCTTCAAACGGCTAATGAAACCGTCACACGCTACCTGAATGTTGCTCTGCGGTATTTTGGCCCATTCCCGGCGAAGCGCTTGCTTGAGGTTATCGACACTTTGGTATTTTTTAGTGCCAACCTTCTGTTCCAAAATTCTCCAGACACAATAGTCCAACGGATTGGTATCCGGAGATTTGGTGGCCATTGTGCGCTTGAAATGAAGAGAGCAACCTCGTTTTGTAACCATTCTTGGGTGGTGCGTGCTGAGTGCGATGGTGCTGAGACCTGTTGGAATGTCCAAGGTCTGCGGCCAAAGTACACCATCCCAAGGCTTTAATACACCCTCCAGAATATTTTCGCAATAATATTCGGCATTTATTCTGATGCCTCGGTCGATTAATACGAGCGGAGAGCAACCATTGGCTGTTATGACGGCCCACACCATCACCATAGCTGGCGCTTGAGTTCTGGTGGCCAACCGAAGATGCACATTTTCAGCTGACCTCTTTGGCAAGTAAACACGATCATTTTGTTTGACTACAAACAGCTGGACATCGATTGTTTTGTCATCGGAGACGGAGAAAACCAAATTCGGTAGATCACCACTTTCGACCAAGCAAAGCAACTCTTTAGCTCTTTTGAGTCTATTTTCTTTCTATTGCGGTGTAAGTTCTTACACTTTTTGGAATTTCAAAATTTGCTGAATGGAATATTGCGATATGTTTAGCTCACGAGCTATTTTTCGGCCACTGCGACGCGGGTTTCGATCAAATCGCTTCTTTACTTTGCGAACCATTTCTGCTGATGTTGTTGTTTTCCTCCGTCCACTTCCTTGACATTGGGCTACGCTACCAGTATCACGGTAATGATGGTACGAGATACCAAAGATTTATTCACATTGAAATGCTGGAGTGCTCTAGCGATAGCCACTTGTGGTTTTTCAGCCAAATATAAAGAAATCACACTATCACGGCTGAATTCCTTTACGAATAACTTTTTTCTGGAAAATTCTCACTAAAATGCTTTTGTGCGCTTGTAAACAATATAATCAGCTCTCACTGGAATAATTTTAACAGCTGTCGGAAAAGTGGCTTAGAAATGACAGCAGTCTGAAGTTGGTTGCAGTTTATTCACCTCACCCTGGCCGTTTGAAGGCCATAAATCGTGTCAAAGGTGACCAACTCAAACAAATCCAAACTTATTCTAAAATTTTATGCTATTTCCGACATTTTTTGCTTTCATTCAATATGATTTTGAAAAAAAAAATTATGGCGTTTGGCTTTGTTGCAGTTTTTTTATATTACCCTTTATTTTATGCATTTCGATGAGTTTAACTACATTTCAAGCCATAATAAATGTTATTTTATATCTTGATATGCTATTTTCTGTAAAAAAACTACCTCCAAACAGGAGGTCTGCATCAATATTGTAAATTTTCGAGTACTCCTCTAAGGCAGTTTATTTTTTCCACTTTGAATATTTGTGTAGCTCAACTGAAATTCATATTACATGTTGGAATATTGGGATGGAATTTAAAGAAAATCGGTCGATTTTTTCATATTTTTATGATTATTCCAAAATTTGACTCATTTGTGGGGGTGGTACCAAACGGAGTGGGCTTTATATGAAATTGGAATTTTACGATATTTTAATTTTTTTTTTTGCTAGGCCACCCCTGAAATAGATTCGAAAGATATTTCTGACAACGTAGATGTCTGTGGCGATAAGGGTATAATAATTATTTCGAAGGTCGTAGGCAAAGTTTCGAAATGTATGCGCTTTAATTTTTTATTTCGAGGACCGTAGGCAATGTTTCGAACTGTATGCGCTTTAATATGGCATTTCCTGCTCGTTAGTTGAAAATCTCAGTGAAAAAGTATTTCATACTGGTGCATGTTTTAGCACCAGTCACTTTATGGTCATTTTTAAAAAAGGCCTTTCCCGAATTCAAATTTACTTCAATTTATAAAAGTGCTTCCCCCCAAAAAATTTAAAAATGCTTTAATGCTAATTTATTTATATTCAAAATTTGTTCTCCCCAAAGCCGCTCTCTCATACCACTAACCAACTGTTGGTAATTTACGAGTCTGCAATCCATTAACTTACCCCTTGTCATCCTTTGAATTAAAGCTGGTATTTTTCGAAAACCATTCCGTAACTCGGGCATCAAACACCAACGACTGCATCAGCTGCCGATCACCTAAAAAAATGCAATTATCAAAATTTTTCGATTATTTACACGAATTTCCGATTATTTACAGGATATAAATAAATTAAAAAATACATTCAATTATCAAAGAAAAAAGTTCAAATGGAAGTGCCGATAAGTGTGAGAAATAAGAAATGCATTCGTATGCCAGTGTCGGCGATCGGTGATCGATCTATTTTGGCATGCAAGAGTGTAACACGTTCTTTGGTAGTTGGGTGGGGGCGAGGTTTATATATTTGTCGGAAAGTTGGGTGGAATTTAAAAAAAAAAACAATTAATTGTGCAATTCCTCAGCTAACAGTGCATTTGTTGTTATTTGTTATTGATTGCTATTATTATTATTATTTTGGTTATTCTAAGCTGTTTGGTGAGTATTTTTATATTTGCGTTTATTGATTACGTGATGAAATACATACAATTACAATTATCAAAAAAAAAAAAAAAAAAAAAAAAAAAACAACTAAAGCAATTAAGAAAATAGGTAATTTCTCACCCAACACCAGGGTAAAAAAAAATCGCTTCAAAATATTTCGAAAAAAAATTCCAAAAAACGATGTAGTAACCCAACAAAAAATTGGAGGCCGTTTGAGGCGTATAACTTATTACAAGAAAATTTAAACAACATATCTTTGTGGATTAACAGTTGTTTGTAAAAAATGAGTTATAAAAAATATGAACTCAAATTTTCCCATTGCCACCGAATGATTAACGGGCATCCGTCTGCGATGCTTCTTTTTCGTTTTTATTTTTTGAAGTTACCGACTTAGAACCCCTAAAGTCAAATGTTAGGAGCTTCTAAATATTATTAATAAGAAAAACAAAAAAATCCTACGTTGGGCGCCATTTACAAAAATTTTACTAATTTTAATTAAATTGCATATTTAGGTAAAAATTGGAGAAACTCAGTGAAATTTGGGAAATTCTGCGATTTTTCGCAACAACATCATATCCATGATATCAAAAATATAGCTTTAACTTGGGCGCCAAAAGTAAAATTTAAGGAATTTCTGTTAAAAAAAATAAATAAATAAGTGGCACAACTTCACCTCAAATGGAGGCATCATTCTTCTGGAACGTACTAAAGAAAAAATACAACTAAAGAAAAAATACAATTTGAGGAAAAATTCGTTAAAATAAGCCAAATTTTCGAATAAATATCATTAATAAGAAAAACAACCTACGTTGGGTGCCATTTACGAAAAATATACAAAATAAATTAAATCGCATATTTTGTTTAAAATTAGAGAAACTAAATGAAATTTTGGGAAATTGTGCGATTTTTCGCAACTAATTCCAATTTTAAAAAATTTGCCTATGTGAATAAAATTTGAGAAAAAATGCGATATTTTGATCAAAGTTTTTAAAACAGCCCATATCTTTGAATAAATATCATTAATAAAAAAAAACAAAAAAACCATATGTTGGGCGCCATTTACAAAACACGTACCAGCATTAATTAAATCGCATATTTAGTTCAAAACAAAATGAAATTTGGGAAATTCTGCGATTTTTCGCAAATACAGGGTGGGAAAAATAAATGCAACAAAGTCAAATGCCGTCATTTTTACATTTTTTTTTATTTTATTGAATGAAAGCAAAAAATCAAGTTTAGATTTGCAGTATGAATTTGGTTCCAGTTTTTCAGGAATATCCCAATGTTCCATTCGGCAAATATTAAAAAATGATCTCGGGGAAAAGCCATTGACATTCCAAAAAGTGCAAGAACTTACACCGCCACAGAAAGAAAACAGACTAAGAATAGCTAAAGAGTTGCTTCGTGTGGCCGAAAGTGGTGAACTGCCGAATTTGGTTTTCTCCGAACCACGTGTTATCTTTTATCATTCAAATTAATAAATCAACCAAATCAAATTAATAATCATTCAAATTAATAATAATTTTGAAAATGCTAGAAATGTATTAAAGCTACAAGAAAACGTAGATTTATTTCGACAAAATTTCATCCAAGCGATTCTTCTTATTTTTTAGAACTTAGAACCCTTAAAGTTTAATTTTAGGCACTTCTGTTGAAAAAAAAATAAAATGCTTCAAATCTCTGGGGGTATCAGACTGAAGAAAAACGACAACTTCCTATTTCAATACCTTTGGATGCGAAAATGTGAAAACCCCCATTATGTGAATAAAAGCTGAGAAAAATATGAGATATTTAAATCGAACTTGTTAAAATAACCCATATCTTTGAATAAATATCATTTATAAGAAAATTCCACGTTGGGCGCCATTTACAAAAAATGTTGTAAAATAATTAAATTTATGAAAAACCCCATTATGTGGCAAAGGTAAATTTATTTACAACGGTTCCCAGTATCCATTTATGTTATTTTTTTAAAATTGGAAAATATTTGGGGTAGGGGAGATTTTTCAAAAAAGAAAAAAAATGCTTCAAAAAATAAATGGTTTTGCAATTTTTTCGATACCATAAAGGGAAGATCGGTTACCGAAGATCTGTTAAAAAAATAAACATAAAATGCTTCAAACCTCTGGGGGTATCAATCTGAAGAAAAACGACAACTTCCTATTTCAATACCTTTGGATGCGAAAATGTGCAAACCCCCATTATGTGAATTAAAGCTGAGAACAAAATTAGATATTTAAATCGAACTTGTTAAAATAACCCATTTCTTCGAATAAATATCATTAATAAGAAAAATAGAAAAAAAAAACTCCTTCGTTGGGCGCCATTTACAAAAAATGTACTAAAATAATTAAATTTATCAGAGACCCCATTATGTGGCAATGGTAAATTTATTAACAACAGTTCCCAGTATCCATTTATGTTTTTTTTTTAATTGAAAAATATTTAGGGTAGGGGAGATTATTCAAAATAGAAAAAAATGCTTCGAAAAAAATTGCTCTATTCCAAAAATCTGCAAGAATCTACAGGTTTTGGATTTTTTCGATATCATAAAGGGAAGATCGATTACCGAAGATCTGTTGAAAAAAAAAACATAAAATGATTCTAACCTCTGGAGGTATCAGACTGTAGAAAAACGACAACTTCCTATTCCAATACCTTTGGATGCGAAAATGTGAAAAACTCCATTATGTGAGTAAAACTTGAAAAAACATGACATATTTAAATCGAACTTGTTAAATAACCCATATCTTCGAATAAATATCGTTAATAAGAAAAACAAAAAAAAACCCACGTTGGGCGCCATTTACAAAAAATGTACTAAAGTAATTAAATTTATGAAAAACCCCATTATTTGGCTGAGTTAAATTTATTTACAACGGTTCCCAGTATTCATTTATTTTATTTTATAAAATTGAAAAATATTTAGGGTAGGGGAGATTATTCAAAAAAAAGAAAAAAAATGGCTTCGGAAAATAATTGCTCTGTTCCAAAATCTGCAAGAATCTACTGGTTTTACAATTTTTTTTTTTTTTTTGATATCATAAACGGAAAATTGGTTATGGTGGCATAGATTTTTACATTCTTGCAGTTCTGGAACAGACCAGATGTTAGTAACATTGATGTAACTATATTGTGCTTTTTAATAAATAAAATTATAAATGATAAAATAAAAAAAAATAAATAAAATTATTTCATATTGATATATGTCTATTGTATGTATAATACATATGTATGCATGTATTTAATTGCATGTGAATAATTTTGCTATTTTTTTTTAAAAAAAATTGTTCTTACAGTGCAGTTAACACGAAATCGAATTTGAAAAAAAATGTTTTGAACAAATATATGTAAATAAATATGAAAATGATTTCATTTCCAATTATTTTTGTTTGAGAACTAAGACACAATGACATTATTACTCACAATAGTAATTTTCGAATGATGGAATGCGTCCAGCAGATGTGTTAGCTGTGGATTTGCAGGTCATTTAATTTCATGAATGATAACGTAACGATTTGAGATATATATAAAAAAAACAAACTAATTGGAGAACACATTAAGACGATAACAGTAGGATGTGCGTGAACTTGTTGTTTTTTGTTGTAATTTAAATTTTTTTTAAGAAACAAAAAACCAACAAGCCTCACCCTTTTGAAGACACAGTATATATGATTGTTTGTAAGTGTAGGCAAATATGTTTGTATGTGGTGTTAAGAGATTTAAATATTTACACTATGCAATATTTTGGTAGCAGGTTGTTGTTGGCTAATATCGAAAAATTGCGGAACAGTTTAGCGGATTTTAATTACCAATTTAAATGCAGATACCTCAAACAAAGCCTCATAAGGGGGAAATCTCCGGCTAAACTCTAGTTTAGTAAAACTGTCGAATTTTTGGCATTTTTTAATATTTTTCCTGAGATAGGTTTTTGTAACCCGATTCCGGGAAAGTATTTGTTTCTTGACGAACGGAACCGGATGCTCGGATATTTGCCCTGGAAACCTGGGATTCTCTAAGTCGGATCTACTAAACCGATATGGACAATATAGGTATCAAGCTAATGAAAATACATATCCAACAAGTGGACACAGGATAAGGTTGGGGAGACGTATCAATATTATAGATTTTGTAGACCCTGATCCCCCAATAGACCATAAGGGCACCATTTTGAGAACCACAAAATATATGCAAAATTATAATTGAAAACATAACCTTTCCAAAATGCTACAATATGTACCAATGGCCGGCCACCTAAAACAATATCAAATTTTGAAGAAAAAACTTGGTTCGCCTAGACTGTGTTCAACATATCCAGAGGAGAAAATCTCAAGCCCCAAAAGAAGGCCTGCTTACTAAAATAGTATTAAATTTAGATAGACTACGGTTTGCGTAGCCGATGGTGGATATCTCAAGCCCCCAGCCGAGGACCGAGTACCTAAAAGAAGTAATAAATTTAGGAAAATTTTGGTTCGATGTACTGACCAAAATCAGGTTGTCTCGAAAAGATCTCACGTTGTAGGATTTAAGAAAAGCTGCAGTGTAAACTTCCATTTGGCCTACAATTTAAGGGCTCCCATTTTGAGCCCTTTCTCGACTTTTTGGGGGTTCTATCTCGCCGAGCTGAGCCGTCCGTCTGTCCATGTTAATTTGTAATGTAAAATGGAGGTGGGGTTGTGGTTAGAATAGAACTCTATTGTTTTTGGAGATGATTGCACAATATTTAAACCGCGAATATTTTTGATCCCAGTCAACCCACAAAAAGGTCTCTCCTGACCATATAAGTGATGCTGAAGAAATCGGATATATAGCAAAATAGGTACAATAAATATGTAAAAGAATAGATATTATTTATTCTGCTTATAAGTCAAGAACCGCTGGGCCGATTTTCACAATTCCCATCAATTTGGAATGGAAAATTCGCGGAAAGATATAGCAATAAAAAAGTGAACATCTTTTGTTCCATTTTTTTTTTCATTTTTTTCATATTTTTTATCGCTTTCAATTTTTTCAATTTGACTTACAATTTTGAATTGTAAATTTTTACACCCCTTTTGAGGGTATTATATGCATGTCGCAATTATCGTCCGATCCTAACGAAATTTTATATGTCGGTAGGGTTAGGGTCAGAATTAAAGCCTATTGTTCTTAAGATGTACATTCAAGGGTTCTAATGGACTAAAAATTAAACATTTTCTAATTTTGTAGTCGCGTTATAGACCACAATTGAAAACTAATCGACACGGAATTTAGCATCAGAAGAGAGTTAAGGACAGGGGCATGGCTTTTACTCAAGCTAAAATTGGCATTAAAATTTATTTCGATCGAAATTTTTTCGATATCAAATGAGAGAATTTGGCCCTACAGACATGACGGAATTGAAAATCTCACATCCGTCCGATTTCCGCATAAATGGAACCAACAAAATGTTGCATAGTGTAATATAGTAATATGTGTGTTTATGTACATTTGAATGTATGTATGAGTTTCTTAATGATGTCATATTGTTGTTAAATAACTATTAATGTTTAATTATAATAACTATTAATGTTTAATTTACAGTTTATGTTGATATTCTAATAAAATTTTAAAAGAATCTTATCTTTGGTTTTGTAAACCAAATTAACTATTTCTTTCTTAAAGACTAGACCCGTTTCTTCTTTTTCCGATTTTTTTCGGGAAGTTGACATTTATATCCTGATTAAGAGAAAATATTTATCGTAGGGTACAAAGCCGGGTACCCGTATATTTGGCCTAAAAGTCCGACTACAAAACCTTTCGTAAATGGGCCATATCGGTCCACGTTTTCGTATATCCCCCCATATAACGGTACCTCCCAATATTCGATATTTTAATGATTTTAGCGATATTATTTACCGGAACTATTTCAAATTTAGTATTTGAAGTTTGTAATGAATACTACAGCCTATGACAGAAAATAGTCTGTGCAGGTCCACATCTTCGTATAGCCCCCATATAACGGTACCTCCCGATATTCGGTACTTTGTTGATTTTAGCGACATTATTAACCGGAATTGTTTCAGATTAGGTATTTGATTTTCCTAATGGATACTACAGCCTAAGGCAAAAAATTGTCCGTGCAGGTCCACGTGTTCGCATAACCTTCATATAACGGTACCTCCTGATATTCGGTACTTAGTTAATTTTAGCGACATTATTTACCGGAATTGTTTCAAATTTGGTATTTGAAGTTCGTAATAGATATTACAACCTATGAGAGAAAGTTGTCAGTGCAGGTCCACGTATTCGTATAGCCCTCATACAACGGTACCTCCCGATATTCGGTATTTTGATGATTGTAGCGTCATTATTCACCGGAGTAGTTTCAAATTACGTATTTAGAGTTCGTAATGGGAACTACAGGTTGTGACAGAAAATTGTCTATGCAGGTCCAGGTCTTCGCATAGGCCCCATATATCAGTACCCCCCTATATTCGGTATTTTGACGAGTTTAGGTTCATTACTCACAGAAATTGTTTGAGATTTCGTATTTGAAGTTCGTAATGGATGCTACAGACTGTGACAGAAAATTGTTGATGCAGGTCCAGGTCTTCGTATAGCTCCGATATAACGATACCTCCCGATATTCGGTATTTTGATGATATTAGCTACATTATTACCGATTTTTTTTAAGTTTCGCATTTGAATATTGTAATGGCTTATGACAAAAGTTACCTGTGCAGGTCCATGTCGTCTTATAAACCCTAATATAACAGCTACATTCGGTATTTTTATTTTAAAATTCTAACAGAATATTTTATCTGATTTTTTTTTTTTTTTTTTTTTTTTTTTTGAATATTTTCAACTTCATTCCAAATGGTAGAGGGTAATCAAAGTTCGGCCCGGCCGAACTTACTGAATTTTAACTTGTTTCACATTACAACACTATGTTTTGGAAGTATTATATTCAAGTCGCAATTATCGTCGGATATTCCATAAATTTTGTATATCTACCAACTCGACATAGAACAACAAATGGCATTACTTCAAACAATCGACTAAAATGTGTTTGGACATAAGGAGGTTTTCCAATATATATATAATAGTGTTGTATGTTATCACATGGTCGGCTCCGCACGACTATAGCCTCTGCTTAATGGTTTTTAAATAAAATTTTTGGATATTTTTATTTACAACTTAGCTGATTGCTTGCAGGTTTTAATAGGGATGCTGCTTGTTTACTTTACAATTTTCTGAGAAAGGAGTCTCTAAGAATGAAGTTGCCGAACAACTCTCGCAGGAAAAGTAACCAGCACAGTCTTATTAATCACTTCTCGTAGGCTGAAAAGTTTATTTTAAAGGCTTGGCATCTTATTTGGACGTTTTTAGTAGCTTTACATTCCCGCACTTTCTAATCAAAATAGCTCTCTCAATGTATTCTCTTCTATTTCTCTCTCCCTCCCTATCTGTTACGTATTTTCCCATCAAACAAGTACCCGAACACAGCAAATAATATAATTTAATCTATAATTATATAAAAAAAAATTAATACTTACAAAACATGGCTGCTGTATGCTCTGGAGGCAGTGAACTACGCGTTGATGGCCATTTCCATCCTGGCTGTGACATTTTACCCAAAAACCATAAAAGTTCTTCTTCGGGTGAGTCGAATGTCATGTTGCTGTGTTTGCAATAAAGCCTAAAAAAAAACACCAAATTACAATATGTCAAAATCATATCGGGCAGAATTGTTATGCCTACCATTTGGGATGGATTTTCCAACGTTTGCCATTGAAAAAGCTCAGCGTGTTACTGCCTTTAATGTTCATACGATGTATTTCGTCTTCGGTGCGTATTTGAAGACGATTGACACCGTACAGCTCGGGATAGGTTATCACCAAAGTGAAGGGTGTATTTTTAATAGCTGTCCAATAATATTGGCGCTTAACCCGAGCCACCCTTTTCTGGAGAGAGAGAGAGAATACATTGTTAATAATGTATTAAAAAACTATTACATTATATATTTACCATTTCATCGAAATGATTTTTGACCAACATCCATTTGCTACCGGTCGATTGATTTATAATCGAATCGCGTATCTGAAATTATAAATAATTTATAATAATATATATTAGTACTAAAAATAATAATAATAATAATAATAATTATAATAATAATAAAAATAATAATAATAATTAATAATAATATTAATTGAATATTTAACGGATAGTTTTCTGCTTACCGTCAGTAGCACTGGATTAAAATCTCTTGGCGGTCGATCATCATCCAATAGTTCAACTTCTATCATATCCACACTATTATAGGCCGGCTTCAGTATATACCCTTGAAACTAAATCCGAAAGAATGTTATTGTTGTTGCCATGACAATTCTACGTTTCTATATCAAATACTTACAATTGGACGAAAATCTGGATGGAACAATATGTAGCCATTGTTGGTGACAATGAAGGCATAACCGTTTACACCAAGCTTGATTTGAAGAAAAGTGAAGAACAATTATTTGGTTAAAGTTATCAGTTGTGTTTTAAGCTAAGCCTATTTTTATCTCAACTATTACAAAATTTTCAACATGTCTCGTATGATAATGCATCGAGTAACATCGAAAAACACTCAGTGTAAACACAGTAAAGTGTTAAATTTTCATAAAGCACATCGGCATCATGCATTCATTGAAACTTGGCAGCATTGTTAAAATAATGAGACCACTCCACCAATAGACACAAACACGATAGACGCATCGACACAGCTGCTGGGACAATAAACTGTCAAATCAATTTTGGAATTGAAAATGTTAAATGAAAAAATATTTAAATTTGTAAAAATTTAAAAAAACGCATATTATAATAACCTCCGAATGACGTCGTATAAGAAAACATATAAAAATCTCCTTATATTTGAAAAAAAAACATTTAAATTTTTTTGACATATCAATGTTTCCAAACGCTGATGCATGGTAGAAGAATACAGGTAGTCGCATCGACACAGCTGCTAGGACAATGAACTGTCAAACCGATTTTAGAATTGAAAATGTTGAATAAAAATTATTAAAATTTGTAAAAAAAAATCTTGGAAAATTCAATTATAACAACTTTTGATTTGCGTCGTATAAAAAACATTGAAAATCCATTTATTTTTCATAAAACATTTTAAAAATTTTGACATATCAATGTTCCCAAGCGGTGATGCATCTACCTATATTCTTCTACCATGCGCTGATGCATCTACCTGTATTCTTTTACCATGGACACAAGGTAGATCTACTAGGTAGTCGCATCATCCCAGCTGACGGCACCTTTAAATGTCAAAACAAGTTGTTGTAATTTTGAATTCGCCCTAAATAAATGCAACACAAAAACTAAGTTTGTTTATGTCTTTTTCACAAAAAGTATTTTTTCTTGATATGTCAAAATTTAAGAGCAAATTTAGAGTGAATTACTAGTAAAAAATTAAAAAGTGTTCTATTTGCAATAAGAAATACCGTGAGTCACGAGATCTATGACTCAGTTGGTCTTATCCAAACTTCTACTAGCCCCAGCCCTCTGAGGTATGTGAAAACTCTTTGTATGGTTCGGGGAATTTGCATCGGCTCTGCTACCAAGAGAGCTTTTACTGGTGGCGATATTGGTGATATGTTCTTTCTTTAAAACCATTTGATCGGCAACACTTGTTTTAGTTGTGCCATGTGCTGGAGTCGGTGTAACCTCCGGTTTCCAACATTGGCTGGAATATTAGTGGTATTTGTCGATTACAGTTTTGGGGTTGTATAAACATTTCGGGTCTAACTATCAACTTGGGGCTGTTACAATGGTCCTCGAGAGTCGTATTATTACTTGGCTTTATTTCCACACACAACATAAAATGTAAACAAAAGCCCGGTTTCTGATTGGTTGAAACAAATTTGCCGCAAACTTTAAATGTCATGGCGATTGTATGTTTTTCGCCTTAGATGCCAATTTTGACATGTGAGGGTACCACAAAAGTTGTAGCAATTCGCCGTTGCGATTACCTGTTAAATCTACCTTGAATAGACATATAAAGGCCATAGAAAAATGAACATGTCGAACCATTTTACACGTTATATAATATCGATAAGCTCAGGAGATCAGTAATGCGATTCTCTAACTCATTTCTTTGAGTTTCCGACAAAAATCGTTAACTTTGAAACCCAAAATTTTAATATAAAAAATAAGTTAAGGTTGAAAACACTGGTATCTATCGGTAGGTCTTAGCGACTACTTTGTTTTTGTCGCTAACTTACCGATAAATTTCGTTATTTACCGAAATTATAAGCATTTTAACTTTCCACTACAGTAGTGCGATTCTCTAACTCATTTTTTGAGTTACCGAAAAAAATCGTTAACTTTCAAATGCAAAATTTTGATATACAAAAGAAAAAATAGTTGAGTGCATTGGTATCTATCGGTAGACCCATTGTAGAAGAATATAGGTAAATCAACGCTTGGGAACATTGATATATCAAAAATATGTCGGTTTTTATATGTTATTTATACGACGCAAATCGGAGGTTGTAATGATATGTATTTTTCAACAATTTTTACAAATTTCAATAATTTTTCATTTACGATTTTCAATATCAAAATCGGTTTGACAGTTCATTGTACCAGCAGCTGTGTCGATGCGACCTGTATTCTTCTACCATGGGTAGGCCTTAGCGACTAATTTAATCTCGTCGCTAACTTACCGACAAATATCGTTAGTTACCGAAATTATAATGTAACGCCGAAAGTCGGCTCCACATCCCGATGCTGTGCATCGACATAATTAATTATTATTATTAAGATTTTATTATTGTTGGCGAGAATTACTGCCACAACAGTTATCAGCAGGCAAAATTGTCAACAACTTGTTTACGTCTATGATCCAAATGTCTCGCTTAGTAAAAACAAGTACTAACAACATGCATGCGTAAGGCATTCTCCAGCGATGTGAAGGAGTAAACAACTTGTTTATGCAAGTGATCGCGAGAAAAACAAGTATCAACAACAGGCGTAGGTGTAGCCCTTTGAAGCACCGTTAAGGTGTAAACAACTTGTTTATACGAAGGAACCGCGAGTAAAAGGGTAGCAACAACATACGTCGATAGGGCACCTTTAAGCACACGAAGATGTAAACAACTTGTTTACACCAAGAAGGTAACAGCGACCTATAGCAACAACAAAGCGAAGGTATGTGAAAGCACACCGATCCCTATAAAAGTAGTGGCTCGCTGTGAGTGGGGATCAATCAAGTCAAAACCGGTAACACGAGTGCGGGAGTTTCCCTAAGCCACTCCGAGAAAGGGTTACAATTCCTAGAAGCCCCAGGATGCTCCGCAGAAGAGTGAGTTGAAAAAACCCACTCTTGAAAGGACGAACGACACTAGAGAAAGCTATTCCCGCAAGTTGGACAGCCACGGGAAATCGCCATGGTCCCAGAACCTAACATAGGAGCCCACTAACATAGGAACATAGAAATTGAGCCAGCGAATTTTCCAAGCCGCTGGAAGCCAGAACCCCGAGATGCAGTCTCCCATCAGGACCATTCCAGGACACGTCGCCGGACGATTGTCGAGTTTGTCATATAAGTAAACCAGCCTAAATTTACGAATAAAATAAGTGGAATAAAGCGAGGTATCTCTCCCAAGACAATATATGAAAACATTCTCCTTACTCAAGTCGCTGAAATAAACAAATTTCTGTGACGCATCTTGGCCACCGTGACCTTATCCCAGCACCGGCGGAAATCGTGTCGTTACAATAAGAATTTTAATTTTACCGATTTTTGTCGGTAACTCGAAAAAATGAGTTAAAGTGAGTCAAGCCAGCTTGTTGGTTTGACAGAAATGAGATACCTATATACAGGCGGATCAAAGATGGAAAAAGGCACGGGAGCCGGTGTCTTCGGTGAGCAACTAGGAATGGCCTACTCCTTCAAATTGAGTTGAAAGTGCAGTGTTTTCTGGCAGAGATACATGCGATCGTGAAAACGGCGATATTGATTAAAACTATGGAGAGAAAGATAGCTGAACCGTTGAGTATTTATGTGGATATTTAAAAAGGGTTTGTAGACGTCGATTAGTAAAGTAAAGCTGTGTAATAAGTATAAATAAGTTGTGTCTGAACTGTGTAACCCTAGCATTATTTAGTACAAATTGCATCGGAGAATAAAACGGAATTTTCACGAGTTTAGGTTAAACCCGAATTCCGTAACATGTGTGGTTTTATGCCATATTTATGTTAGAGCTTTTTGGTTTGGTTAACCTATTTTAAGAAGATTTTTTGAAGTATATGTAATGGATATGACAATTTTAATCCAAATCCAGTGGGTTAACCTCGTACTGTAAGATTGGTTATTCTTCTTATATCGAACAAAATTATTTGATTATGTTAATGTTTTTAAATATTCTGTAAAATATATATTTCTTGACTTACCATAAATGGTGATAGCAATCTTTTGATATCCCTAATTGGCACGTCGGTACCGGCGACTCCCAGTAAATTGGCAACTTTGGTCTAGATGTAAATACAAGACATTAATTTTAATAATATTCAAAATAAAAATTGATGTGGCTAAAGTTATTTTGAGATATTCTAAAACCAATTGGAATTAATAAATATTTTGTAAAATAAAATTGTACGAAAGCAACAACTATAGACAAATTAGAATCAGAAATACATAAAATTTAAATATTTTATAAACCTAAAACGATATATGTTGGATAAAAGCTCTAAAAAAATAAAGTAAGCCATCTATGGAATACAAAATATAGGCATAAAAGTACGTTTACACACAATATTTTATGCGGATGAAGCCCTGATAATTCACCAATCACAATAAAAATACGTTTACATACACAATCTCTAGCAGGATGAACCCTGATAATTGACCAATCACAATAAATTTGACCATAGAAAACATACAAGGTGGCGCAAAAGTAAACTTCCGATGTTTGTGGCTGTAATTTAAAATAAAAACGTTGATTCTTCTCTTTTGGTCCTTTAGGGGTTTTTTCATCAAGTCGGGAACGTGATATCCTGTAAATGGCCGCCGCCACAGTTTATTGTCATTTGAGCCCTTTTTATGGTATATTCCCTCACTTTGGTCCAAACTTCCGGCGATAGGTCTTAAAATTCTTAACGGATATTGTATTTAAGAGCTGAAAGAATATAAAGCTTGTTGACATTAGACCGCGACTTCAAAAAGCCCCACAAAAAGAAGTCTGGAGCGGTCAAACCAGGCGATTTTGCTGGCCAGTGCAAATCTCCAAAACGGGAGATTAGGCGCCCGGGAAATGCATCTTTCAGCATATTGATTGTGGCGCGTCTAGTGTGTGCCATTGCACCGTCCTGTTGGGACCATATGTTTTCCAATCCCAAATCATAAAGTTCCGACAAAAATAAGTCGTTGATTATGGTAAGTATTGGATTTGGAGAACCCTATTTCTTTTACAACACACAACATACATTTCTAACCAACAGCGATTAGTTCGCACACACAAGTACCAATATGTAAATATTAGCATTAAGTTTTTCTTTGTTAGCGTCTAAGTTGTAATTTGATCACTCAGAATAAAGAACTTGAACTGAACACAACTGTCTTTCAATTGGAACATCGGCAGCAGCACGCATAAACTATTCAACATTGATCATTGCTTTGAAGCGCTCACCATTCACAGTAACATTTTGGCCCGCGACGTCTTCGAAGGAAAAAAGTCCGATGACTGCTCCAGGGAAAACAGCAAACCATACATTGACTTTGAGCGGGTGTAATGGCTCTTCAGAGCCCCGAAGCGTAAATTTTGCTTATTTACGTACCCCCTAAGACGAAAATGGACCTCATCACTTATGATTATTTTGGATGAAAAATCTTCTTCTTCTAGGTGGTGATTTAGGATGGCTTGAGCGTATATTAGACGCGATTGGCGGTCAGCACCTAACAGCTGATGCGTCATTTGGACTTTGTGGGGAAACATCTTCAAATCTTCCACCAAATTTCGCTATAAAGATCACCGAATGATACCAATTTGCGTGGCACGTGGCCTGGTCGATGTTGACGCCGCTTCCATGACATTCTCGGCTACAGCAGCAATATTCTCTGCAAAACGGATACTCAGGGGTCTGCCACGCCTGGCAGCATCTCTTGTTGTGCCAATCTCTTCGAGGCCAGCTGTTATACATCGCAGTGTTTCACCAGTAAGATGGCCAGAAAATCTGAGACGAAATTCACATTGTGCCGAAGTCACCGACCGATTATTGGTCAAATACAGGGTGAGATGAAAAAACTGCAACCCATTTCAGGCTGCTCTCATTTCTAAGCCACTTGTCCGCGAGCTGTTAAAATTATTCCAGTGATAGCTCAATATGTTGTTTACAAGCGTCCAAAAGCATTTTGGTGAGAATTTTCCAGAAAAAAGTTATTCGTTATTCGGCAAATATTGAAAAATGAGCTCGGGGTAAAGCCATTGAAATTCGAAAAAGTGCAAGAACTTACACCGCAAAAGAAAGAAAATAGACTCAAAAGAGCTAAAGAGTTGCTGCGCTTGGCCGAAAGTGGTGAACTGCCGAATTTGGTTTTATCCGATGAGAAAACATTCGTTGTCCAGCAGTTGGTAAACAAACAAAATTATCGTGTTTACTTGCCAAAGAGGTCAGCTGAAAATGTGAACCTTCGGTTGGCCACCAGAACTCAAGCGCCGGCCATGGTGATGGTGTGGGCCGCCATAACAGCCGATGGTCGCTCTCCGCTCGTATTAATCGACCATGACATCGGAATAAATGCCGAATATTATCGCGAAAATATTCAGGAGGGTGTAGTAAAGCCTTTGGCCGCAGACTTTGGACATTCCAACAGGACTCAGCACCATCGATCTCAGCACGCGTCACCCAAGAATGGTTACAAAATGAGGTTCCTCGCTTCATTGTCAGCGCAAAATGGCCACGAAAATCTCCGGATACCAATCCGTTGGACTATTGCGTCTGGATTATTTTAAAAAACATGGTTGGCACTTAAAATACCAAAGTGTTGATCACCTCAAGCAAGCGCTTCGCCGGGAATCGGCCAAAATACCGCAGAACAACATTCGGGCACGGTTTCATTGACCGTTTGAAGGCTATAATTCGTGCCAAAGATGACCAATTCGAACCAATCTAAAATTTGATGCTATTTCCGACATTTTTACGCTTTCATTCAATAAAATTTAAAAATTATGGCGTTTGACTTTGTTGCAGTTTTTATACCCTCCACCAAAGTATGGAGAGTATATTGTTTGTCATCTAAAATGTATATTTCAAGGTGTTACAAACGGATTGACAAACGTAATATACAAACTTAGACCCCACAAAGTATATTAATTCGTGATCAGCATAAAATTCTATGGCGATTTAGCAATGTCCGTTCGTCTATCACTCTGTCCGTCTGTGGAAATCACGCTAGCTTCCGAACGAAATGAAGTAAGTTGATAAAAAATTACTCAAATGTGTATTATGTCTGCAGGAAAATTGTCCACGTAGGTCCACATATTCGTATAGCCCCCATATAACTGTACCCCCCGATATTCGGTATTTTGATGATTTAAGCGATATTATTTACCGGAATTGTTTTAAATTTGGTATTTGAAGTTCGTAATGAATACTACAGCCTATGTTAGAAAATTGTCTGTGCAGGTCCACGTCTTCGTATAGCCCCTATATAACGGTACCACCCGATATTCGGTATTTTGATGATTTTAGCGTCATTATTCGTCAGAATTGTTTCAAATTACGTTTTTAGAGTTCGTAATGGGAACTACAGTCTCTGACGGAAAATTATCTATGCAGGTTCAGGTCTTCGTATAGGCCCCATATATCAGTACCTCCCTATGTTCGGTATTTTGACGAGTTTAGGTACAATACCCACCAAAATTATTTGAGCTGTCGTATTTGAAATTCGTAATGGATGCTTCAGCCTATGACAGAATATTGTCTATGCTGATCCAGTATTTTCTGATAGCAGGATTACTTTTGTGCCACCTTGTACATTCGAATGATAGTGATTGGTAAATTATCAGCTCTAACCCGGGTGGAGACATTGTATGTAAACGTACTAGAAATTTGGCTATAGTAAGCATATGTATGTAAACACACCATAAGTAGATTTTTAAACCTGGTAATTTGCATAGTACAATAAGAAGGTAGAACAGCTTCGTAAAACTACAGAAATACATCCCTGAGGCTATGTCCGCTTCCTGCCAGAATTATTTAAAATTATATGTATAAGTAAAGCGAAGAATGAATGAAGTGCCTGGATTTTCGTTCAAAAAGATTATCCAGGGTCAAATCTTTCAATTCATGGCAAATCTGTTTAATATCTTCAAACGTTTCTTCCAATCATTGATTTTGAAAATGTTTTGTTTTTATTTTTCAAAACAATAAATACATACACAAAATTGGCAGAAGTCGTGCACACCCAGAAAAAAATTGTAATCAGCTGGTAGCTCTACCATACCTTTTTATTGTACCATGGTAATTGGTCGTCAATTTAAAAACACCTAAACATGTAAAACTACATAAAAAAAATTTTATTTTAATTATTTAACACAACTCTAAATACTCCAATTGCAAATATGTAATCAAAAGTATTTTCTTTTATTTCTAGCTAAGTCAATATCGTCTTATGGTGTCCAGGACTTTACGTTTGTTCTCTTACCAGGTTTAAATGCATTTGGAAAACTATAATGATTAGTAGTAACATAAAAAATAGCAACTAAAATATTATTTATTTTTTCAAAATTTCCAAAAAAGCTTTGTATGTGTATTGTTGTATACTGTGGACTATATATGTATATTGATACTATATAATTTATAACTAATAAAATGTAAACACAATTATTCAATGAACATGAGATACATCGGATTGTAATTTCTTTTAATTATTTCTGTAGGTTATTTGAACATAATGTATGGTTAGGTTTTTTTAATAATTTAGATCTAATTTTATTTTGAAAAATTATTTCAATACTATGATTACATTTAAAACATTTATGTAATGAGGAAAAACAACACTTATAACATTTTTTTTTAATAATAGCATATAAGGCGACTTATTTCACAAGCAAGCTTTTGTTGAAATTTTGCATTGCTTTGGCATAGCTGAATTCCATCATCATCATCCACATTTTTCGATTTATTTTTGAAGACATATGTATGTATGTATTTATGTATTGGATATATGTATGTATGGGATTCTTACAGTATTACAGTTGGGCCACACAACTTCTTCGGGTTTACGCTTTAATCCATAATCCGGACTAACTTCAATACACTGTGGTAATTAAACGTTGGGAAAGGTTTCGGATTTTATAAAAACGACTTATTTTCGAGAGAAACACAAGAGGCAATTTAAGCAAATAAATTAAGATCAAATTTTACTGGGCCACACCAAAAAATTTTTCAGTCCTCTTTAAAAATCCATTGTTATGGTTCTAGTAGTCCTTACAAAAATATTATATAACAAGTTAAAAAGTATGAGTCGTTTTGTCCGCCGATGCTCTGCTATCGATGTATTTAAAGTAGCAGTGAAGTAACTGACTGACTGACTGACTGACTTAGAATCAACGCCCCGACGAAACGGCTGAAGCTAGAATATTAAAGTTTTGTACGAGAGCCAGTTTTGATGAGTAGGCGTGTAAAAAGGCTGGTTTTTTGGAAATTCATACTAAAAGGGTACGAATTGTACTAAAAATTGAATACTTTTTATTGGTAAAGCGGAGTGAGCTGGAATTCTGAATTCTTAAAAAGAGAACCACTAATGGAGTGCAGAATAGATACACCAAAGAATTTTTGGAAATTCGTGGTTGGTAAATGCGTCCTGTTCGGTATTGGGTTAAGAAATAGAATTGGAATCCTCAAAGTTGATATTGAGGTCTCGGTTTGTCTGATTGGAGATATGGACTAAATAGCACTAAATTTGCTATTAAATGAAGGAAAAGAGTTGAAGTTCTGAAATTGATATTGAAGTCACTATTTGTGTCTGTGGTTGAGAGAAGGAGCTGGTTTTGGATATGCGTACTATAATTGTACCAAATGATACAAAATTTGATAAAGAGCAAAATTAAAGAGCGGAAATATGAAATCCTAAAATTGGATATTAAGATCACTCCTGGTATCTGAGGTTGATATATGGAAGTTATTGTGAAAATTAGTACTATAATTGTTCAAAAAGTACTATATCTGGTTTTGGGTGAAGGAATAGAGCTAAAATCCGGAATTTTGATATATATTGTTTGAGATTTGGCGGTTATTTGAAACTGTGTACTATAGTTATTCAAAAAGTACTGAAAGGTACTTAATTTGGTGTTGGGTGAAGGGCTTAGCCATATGGCTTAGGTTATAAAAAAAATCTACTATTACAGCTCTAGAAAATTTTTTATTTTTAAAAATTCAAAGATTTTAGCTCTGAGAACCCTTGAAAAAATCTACTTTAAAAATCCATGATTATAGCTTTAAAAGACGTCACCAAATTATTCTTTTTCCACAATTCTAGCACTGATAGTACCAGGGTAAATATTTTTTTTTAAATCCATGATTATGGCTCTGATAATCCTTGAAAAAAAAAACATTTTTAAGAATCTACGATTTTAGCTCTGAGATTCCTTAAAGACACATTCTTTAAAAATCCACGATTATTGCTGTGATAGTCCTTAAAAAGATATTCTTTAGAATTCCACAATTGTAGCTCTGAAAAAATCTTGTTTAGAAATCCACGATTATAGCTCTTTTAGACCTTACAAAAACATTCTTCGGAATTCCACGATTTTAGCTCTGAAAGTCCTTGAAGAAATAATCTTTAAAAACCCACGATTAAAAATCTGATAGTCGTTGAAAAAATCTTCTTTAAAAATCCGCGATAATTGCTCTGATGTTCCTTGATATAATATTCTTTAAAAATTTGCAATGATAGCTCTGATAGACTTTGAAAATTTCTTCTTTAAAAAGCCATGATTTTAGTTCTGATAGATCTTGAAAAAATATTCTTCGAAAAGCCATGATTTTAGCTCTGATCTTCTTTGAAAAAATATTCATTACAAATCCACGATTACAGCTCTGATAGTCCTTTTAAAAATATTCTTTAAAAATCCGCGATTAAAACTCTAATGATCCTATAAAAATTGATGATTATAGATCTGATAGCTCTTGAAGAAATCTTTTTAAAAAATCCACGATTACAGCTCCGGCAATCCTTACAAAAATATTTTTTTTAAAAATTTACGATTATAGCTCTGAGAGTGCTTGGAAAAGTTTTTTTTTTTAATCCACGATTATAACTCTGAAAGTCCTTATAAATGTAATCCTTATATTTCACAGCTATCTTTGGATATGGTCCTTGAAAAATATTTCGTAAAAATCCAAGCTTGTAGCTGGATTTATATTTATTTAAAATCTACGAATATAGCTACGATAGTCCTTAAAAATCTTCTTTAAAATCCAAGCTTTCGACACAGATAGTCCTTGATATTAAATATTCTTCAAATATACACTTTTATGATCTGATATTCTTTGAAAAACTATGCACAATTATGGGTCCGAAAGCCTGGCAAATATCCTTTAAAATATACCAATATAGCCCTGATAGTCCTTAAAAATCGTATTTAAAAATCTTTGCTTTTAGCTCTGATGATGTTAAAAATAATGTTGAAATCCACGATTACAGGTCTGATAGTCATAGAGAATATCTTCTTTAATATCAGCGAATAAAGTTCTCATGGTCCTTGAGCAAGTATTCTCTAAAAAATCACGAATATAAGTCAAATAATTTTTGAGAAATGCCTTTTAAAAATTTGCGATTATGATTTTTGAAAATTTTGTGTATTTCGAATGTATTACTCACACTAGAGGACAAAATTGTTACAACTTTTAGTATATAGATAAATATTGACTTGGGACAAATAAAATCGAAATTGGTTAGTAATTTTCTTCAATTCTACATTTTTAAATGATATGCCATTCACTCTTAAATGGTTTGGGTATTTGGGGAAATTATTCAATTCTTAAAACTAGCTAATCGACAAAAAAATACAAATACACAGATATATATCCTGCAACAATATATAATGACTCTATATTTTTGGACTAAATACACTCTAATTAATACAATATGATATTTTCTAAATATTTTATTTCAAATGTGTAAAATCGACCAGCTAGGGTTTTCCAAAATGTCTAAAAAAATGGAATATTCATTTATGATTCGTTACTCTAGGCTCTGTTTTGGATTTCGTTTATATTCCAAAATGTACGATATACGTTTATGTTTTACGAGTTTCTCTTCGGATTATTTTACTGGAACAATTCTAGAACAACTGGTTTACGCTAAATATATTGTTTATTTTTTACGAATTTCTATTTAAAAAAAAAAGTTGATCGATTATAGCTGACAAACTTTTGGTATTTGTTTGAGATTTTTTTTTTTTTGATCTATGGAATACCTCTCGAGTTTGTAATTCCCAAAGGGCTTCGTTTATTAAAACCAGTTCGGTGATATTCTGTTCGAAATATTGTTGTTGTAGTTTTTAGTTTTTTTAATATTAGTATTGAAAAAGAAAATTGAAGTTAATAATGCTTATATTAAATAGTGTATTTTCATGGTGTTAGTGTTTAGTATTTGAAAAATAAATTAAAAAAAACAATTATTGAAATATTAATTTCTGTTACTTTGTCAGTAGTGGCTGTTTGAGTGTCGGTGCATTAGTATTGGTTTTTTTTTTGGCGTGTCTTAAGGCTTAAATATTTCGGAATTATAAACATGTTTTAATTCCAAAAAAAAAGAAAATTAAAAATATTTTTCTTATTTTTTCATGGCAACAAAGCGTGTTTTGTTACAAAAAAGATCAATACTTACAGCATTCTCGCGACGATCATAGACAGGCATTGAAACGGTGGTCATAAACTTATAAATATCGGAGTCGGTTGGTTGGTCCCAGGCCTAAAGGGAATAAAATTATATTGTTCATTTACATATAAAAAAATTCGAATTGGATTTAATTGATTCAATTTGAAATATTTGACTCAATTTGAAATGTACAGGTTGAGATAAAAAAACTGCAACAAAGTCAAACATCATAATTTTTATATTTTTTTTTATACCCTCTACCATACCTCTGCTATATAGTATGAAGGGTATATTAAGTTCGTCATTCCGTTTGTAACTCATCGAAAAAATAATTTTAAACCCAAAAGCGTAAAATTCTAAGACGATTTATAGATAGCGATAGCCACTTGTGGTTTTCCAGCCACTATCACGCTTCAATTCCATCGAATAACTAATAACTTTTTTCTGGAAAATGCTCACCAAAATGCTTTTGTACGCTTGCAAACAATACAATGAGCTGTCACTGGAATAATTTTAACAGCTGTCGGACGAGTGGCTTAGAAATGACAGCCGGCTGAAGTGGGTTGCAGTTTTTTCACCCTCTCCCTGTATATTTTTTTCAACTTACCTTTCTCATTCTGCGATATTCACGACGTCGCACCTCATCCGGATCCAGCATGCGAAAGCTAACACGTCGGTATTCCAGAATATTTTCTTTTTGATCGTTATTTTGTTCATTTTGCCACAGATAATCGGACATTTCTGTGTCCTACAATTGCAATGAAATCCCCAAAAAAGAAAAAAATATTAATAAAATTGAAATGAATTAGAAGGGTGTTGTTTTCAGTTTTTATACCAAAACAGTATTTTTCTGAAAAAGAGAAAATATTGTCGAATGAAATCCAGAGTCATAAGGATTTTTTATTTCAATACTAGATTTAAATATTAAAACATCGCAGAACATATTCTTTAAATGGCAGGGATAAAATAATAATCGTGCTTGTTTCTTAAGTCTTTTGTTTTCAATGAGAAAAAGTATTCCTTTGAAAAACTACATTTTCTGTCGAAATTCCCTTAAATGGACCATAATGTGTTGAAAAATATTCTTTAAAAATTGTCAACATTTCATTCTTAAAAAATCCATGTCTAGAGCTCTGATGGTGTTGATAAAAGTATTCGTAAAACAAATTTCATATATGAGGGACTTAAACACCAAATCGGATGAAACATATATATATGAGATATAGCTATATCTGAACTGATTTTCACCACACTTGGTGTACTTGCTTCTAGGCTGAATTCGGTCGGATTCGCCAAAATTCAGGTCATTTGGACTTATATTTGGTGCACAATTAACCCGAAATCAGATAAATATATATATATGGGAGCTATATCCAAATTTGAACCGATATTGATAAAATTTGGCTGAGGTATTTCTGGGATATATCAGACATTTGGTACCAAATATCAATATTGAGGAGTGCATATTACGCATTTGAGGACTTAAAACCCCTAATCGGATGAAACATATATATGGGAGCTATAGCTATATATGAACCGATTTTCCCCAAATTCGATTTTCTTGCTTCTAGACTGAATTCGGTCGGATGTGCCAAAATACAAGTCATTAGGATTCATATTGGCCATTTGGTGCACAATTAACCGAAATCGGTTTAAAATATATATGACAGCTTTATCTGAATCTGATCCGATTATCACCAATTTCAATAGGGGTCGTCCTTGGGCCAAACCAATATTGTTCGTTAAAAAATTGAAAAAAAATATTCGTTAAAAAAATTGAAAACAATTTTCGTTAAAAATTTAAAAATTTTATTCTTAAAAAACCCTCGCCTATAGCTCTGATGGTGTTGAAAAAAAATATTCTTTGAAAAAATTGAAAAAAATATTCATTAAAAAATTGAAAAAAATGTTCGTTAAAAAATTGAAAAAAAATATTCGTTAAAAATTTCATTCTTAAAAAATCCACGCCTACAGCTCTGATGGTATTGTTAAAAATATTCGTTAACAAATTTCAAAATTTTATTCTTTAAAAATCCAGGCCTATAGCTCTGATGGTATTGTTAAAAATATTCGTTAACAAATTTCAAAATTTTATTCTTAAAAAATCCACGCCTATAGCTCTGATGGTGTTGAAAAAAATATTCGTTAAAAAATTGAATAAAATTTCGTTAAAAATTTCATTCTTAAACAATCCACGCCTATTGCTCTGATGGTTTTGTTAAAAATATTTGTTAAAAAATGTCAAAATTTCATTCTTTAAAAAATCTACGCCTATAGCTCTGATGGTATTGTTAAAAATATTCGTTAAAAATTTTCAAAATTTCATTCTTTAAAAAATCTGCGCCTATAGCTCTGATGGTATTGTTAAAAAGTAATCTTTAAAAATCCACGCCTACAGCTCTGATGCAGTTGTTAAAAATATTCTTATAAATCCACACCTACTTCTCCTTCCTTTTACCCCTTCAAATATATTTTCAAATCCAATCCTGAATCCTGCCATTCTACAGATTTTCTCTATATTTTATTTTAAGAGGAACAATATATCTCAATTTTTAAGCCAGGTTAAAAATTACACACTTGTTACTCACAACGCTCACGTTCACACATTTGAATTTCCCCTCCCCCCACCCTCCCTTTTTCACTTACCTCCACATCAGCATACACCTGTGTCCATATTACCGGATGATCGTGTCGACCCAAAACCAACGGTCGCGCCATTACCGGTATATAATTCAAGACCATTTCACGAACTTCCGCCGTATCGGCCAGATGCACGTAGTAGCCCTGATTGGCGCACGCCATCCACTTGATGTCCTTGACGTCGGCCACTTCTTTGCCAATTAAATAGGTGAAGACCCTCACCGGTTTGTAGGGTAGACTTTGCCAATTGTAAAGTTCAAAAATTTCTTCATAGCTAAACGGTGCCCCATCACTAACAATCATGATTGCCTGATTGCATTGAGCCCCGTGATTTTCGGTCCTAAATTGTTCCAAAACCTCAAAGGCTTTTGTCAATGCAGCGGTGAAGTTGGCGATCGACACGGTTTTAACTGTCTCAATTCCCTCTTTGAGCTCTCGAATGTTGCCAAGATTTGCCTTATACATCGTCGGTGTATGCACACGAATACGTATACGCACATAGATATGTGTTTCATTGTTTGAGGGTGTACATATGTATGCATGTGTATGTGTATATCGTTTGTACAGATATATATGTATGCGATGATACATATATAGGTATGGAAATATATCATTGTGGTGCCAATGTATTTGTTGAGTGTGTGTTGGTTTGTTGGTTTGTATAAGGCCATAACACAGTACAATTGCAAATTAAATAAAGAAGTGATTTTGTTGTTGTTGTTGTTGGTATTGTTGAGATGCAGGAAGTTGTTTTTTGGTAATATGGCGTTGGAGCATAAGAAAAGTTCCAAATCAAAAATTAAAAATAAAAAACGTTGTAAAAAAATGAAGTGAGATTAAATAGGCGGCATACATCATGGTTGGGCATTAAACAATAAATTGATAAATATATAATAGATAAACAAATAAATAGTTTAGTAATAATAACAATAACAAACACAAACATAATAATAGTAAATAACACAATCCATCGTCATAGTTGAAATTCAAATACATCCAATTGTGACATCATTTGTTTACATTTCGTTACAACCTTGTTTCTGTTTTATAACTCCTCAGTTTGGATGCTTTTCGTTGTTGTAGAGTTTGTCTATCTTGATGAGATCCTTTGGCGAGATGGAGCTTGAATCATCCTAGCTTCAGCATTTTTTATTCAGACTGCTGCTTTTGCTGGTATATATCTCAATAATCCTGTCGAAAAACAACACAGCAACGAATATCTATGGTTTGCCGACAGAGATTTATCAGGGCGGAAGCAATATGCTGCGAAAGCACATGTATTAAATTGCCACTTGTCGTGTCTGGTATTCTAGAGTGGTTGTTTTTTTTTTTTTTTTTTTTTTTTTTTTTTTTTTTATTAAAAAAATGGCAACATACACATACTTAAATATTGCCGTTGGGCCATTTGGCACGTATTATTGCCCGACAGTTACCAAGTTTCTTTCAATCCATCCAACAAATATACAAAAATAAGCCGTTAAGGTGCTGTTTACTCGAGCGAACCTACTGGGTGCATTGCTGTTTTTAATTTTTTCTAGAAACTGTTTTTTTCCTAATTTTTAAAGCTTTCAAAACATAATTATGTTTCACTTTAGCTGTAAAATATATACAAATTATAAAATACGGTGCAGATATATACACATACATTTATATCATATGGGTGGTGCAAGTGCGTGCTAGCCAAATATACATACATACATTGTATTTATGTAAGGAGCTAAAGGTACGTTTACATACAAGCCTAGCTAACATTTTTGTTATTTAATGTTGGGCAGTCTCCATGATAGAAGAATACAGGTAGATGCAACAACGTTTGGAAACATTGATATGTCAAACAATTTTAAATGTCTTTTCAAATATAAGTAGATTCTTATATGTTATCTTATACGGCGCCATTCGGGGGCGTTTTCCAACAATTTTTACTAATTTAAATAATTTTTTATTCAACATTTTCAATTCCAAAATTAGTTTGACAGTTCATTGTCCCAGCAGCTGTGTCGATGCGTCTACCTATATTCTTCTACCATGACAGTCTCTCTTTCTTTCCCATACTCTTGCTCAAATGGAAAATTCCTTTTTTCCCTTCAGTGCAGTTGCTAATGTGACTGGCATAATGTAAACATTGTATAAGATCACATAATGGTTATCGAGTGATTCAATTACTATCGATAAGAAGTTATATATTGATTGTATTCCCGCACTTGTTTTTTTATGGTAAACGATAAACTAAATTTTGTATAGGTACAAAAAAGCTCTCTCTTCTGCTATCAACGGGAAAATTCAATGTCGCTCATGCCGCCCATAGGGAACTAAAAACATTAGTATTATAAATAATATTGATATTATAAATAAGTAACTGGTATTCCCAGCATTTTTCACAGTAACATCTACATTTCAGTTAAAAAGTAAACAAAACAAGTTAAAACATATCAGTCGACAGATGTATGTACAGGGTTGCCCATATTCGACGGACCTTTGGGCCCATTCCAATCGACGAGGCTTGTCCGCAGGCAACATTCTTTGCGTCAATTGAATTTTGTACGGGAACAAATGCAAATCAATGCGAATAATCCGTTGTAAAGTGGACCGAGCTAAGAACGGCGTTTTTGGGATGTTCTTGGGGACCTCTCAACACTGGCTCGTACGACAGCGATATTCTCGGCCGATCGCCTTGGTCGACTTTTATATGGCCTCTTCGGATTAGAAAGAGCCTTACCAGTCGAAAATTTTTCGTATAAACGCTTAATGGTGTTCTTAGAAGGCACACTTCTCACATTTTTTAATGTTTTAAAAGCACGTTGAGTTTTCACAATTGACTTCTTCTGTTGAATGTAAATTTCAACTATTTCAGAGCGCGTGTATTGGTTCATGGTAAAAATCTGCTTGGACTGACGCTTCAAACGCGGTATGTCATTAAGCGATGTGACATCCCTGTCAAAAGTTATGGCGTTGCCAGTTGGGCCCGTCGAATATGGGCAACCCTGTATACCCTTAGCCAATGATCGACTATTTAAATATATTTTGACATCAGTTATGACTATATTGATCCTCTATAGAGTCGGTTTCGAAGAAATGGCCCATTATTGTTCATTTCGTATCGGACCTAAATAAATATGATATATAAATTTTGCGACGTGTCTGGTTTGGACTATAGTACCTCTATCTATACCTCCTTCAATTTATATGAGATAAGTGAAAATTTTTAGAAAATGTTAAAATGTGCGTGAGGTTCCACATATAGTCGACCATCATCATACTTCATCTAATACAGATACAAATGTTGTATGTGTGAAATTTAAAAAGAGTTGGATGCTTATTTCGCTTTCTTTGAGCGTTTTGTTTCTCAAAACCTTGAACCCTATGTAGGGGGAGGTACCCGAAGAAATATTTCCATCTCTACCATCTTTAGATCTTGTGTTGAGTAAATATTAAATATTAATATGTGCCAAGTCTGAATGGAATTGGATGTTAATTTCGAGTTTTATTAGCTTCATGGGTACTCAAGATTTTGACCCTTTGTGGGGTAGGTATGAGAAAGAGTGAACCGATATATTCCATCTTCACACCAGACCTTGGGTTAATAAAAATATTTTGATGTGTGTAATTTGAAGATAATCGGACGCTTTTATCACATTTTGTAAGAGTTATAATTATTCAAAATTTTCAACATGTTTTCCAAATTTGTAAAAAATTGCATTGTTATTTTTTTACTTAACTTAACGGAAAGAAACGCCTGTTAAGAAAGGCCATTAACAAATGGGTGTTGTAATTTGCGGATTCTGTCAGGGTTCTATTATCCAATATTCTTTTTTTTTATGGTTTCATATGGAAAGGAAAGAATATACGTGTTATGTCGTCATTGTATAATAGGTGGTTCATACTAGCAGCTTCAAGGATTTAAACTGTCATTATTTACAAGGAACAATAAAGATCCTGAAACAGATTTTAAAAATGTCTCAAATCTTCAATTGACCTACATGTTTTACCAGATTTATGGTACGTGAAAGGGTTTTAGGAGAAAATTGTTCGAATGGTAAAACTAATAAATTCTTCACGTTCTGGTTCTGAGAACTGCTTTAAGGTACGACATCAAATTGACATAACATTTTTAATTTAGAGTGCAAATAAGCGCATTTAGTTTTTATAAACCGTGGTACAATAAGTATTAGAATAACATTTCTATAAGGTTTTAACCAAGAGCTCTGAACGTTAGCAATCTTTTGACATCATCTCATAATAGATATACAACAACAAACGAGTAAATATCCTGAGAACTGTCAAAAATCTACACCTTTTAGACGGATTTCTGACAGTTTTGTCATTTAATACATTTCATGAAATTAGTTGTGTATGGAAGCCGATTAATATTACATACATGGCCTATAGAGTAAGTGGGCCTAAGTTCGGCATGTCCCAGTAGTCGACAGTTTTGAAATTTAAACTTAAATAATAAATAAATAAATTATCAAATAATGAAATAATTTATTATAAGAGAATAACAGTACTTGTTTGTAAAGAAACAAGTAAAATAGCATCAGTCGGTTTTGCCGACAGATGTATACCCCCAGATGTATGTTTCGCAAGTTATGACAGTTATAAGTTGGCAGATGTTTATTATCTTCACAACAGATCTTGTGTTACAAATAATGTCGGTATGTGGGAAATTTGAGGAGATGGATGGATGTATTTGGATGCTATTTTCGAATTCCTTGAGCGCTTTGTTTTTTAAAATCTTGAACCCTATGTGAGGAGGTACCAGAAAAAATGGTCCGATCTCTACCATTTTTATAACAGATCTTGTATTGATGAAAATATTGAGAAGCTCCAAGTCTGAATGAGCTTCATGAATACTCAAAATTTTGCCATTTTGTGGGGGAGGTACCAAAAGGAGTGGACCGATATATCCCATCTTCACACCAGATCTTGAGTTATTAGAAATAATGGGACGTGTGTAATATGAAGAGAACCGGATGTTTATTTCGGATTCTTTGCTCGTTTTCATTATTCAAAACTTAGGTCCATTGTGAGGGAGGTACCAGAACGAATGGTCTGATCTCTACCATGTTTATAAAAGATCTTGCGTTTATGAAAATATTGAGATGTGCCAAGTCTGAATGGAATCGGATGATAATTTAGTGTTTTAAGAGCTTGATGGACATTCAAAATTTCGACCTTTTGTGGGAAGGTACTTGATTGAGTGGACCGATATTATCCATTTTTGTACCTGACCTAGAACTGACGTAAATATCAGGATTTGCAAAGTTGGAACCAAATCGGATTATCGATTCTCTTTCTGTGCAGAAAAAATATATTTTTTGAAAATCTCGATCATTTGTGTGGGAGGTATCAGAAGGAGTGGACCGATGTATTCCATTTTAACACCAGATCTTGGGTTAATATAAATATTGGGATTTGTGAAATTTGAAGACAATCGGACTCTTACATCACATTTTATGAGAGTTGTTATTATTTAAAATTTTTACCCTTTGTGAGGGAGGTACCAGAAGGAGTGGACCGATATTGTCCATTTTCACACTTGACCTAGTACTTACGCAAATATTAAGATTCGCAAAGTTTGAGCAAAATCGGATTATCGTTTCTCTTTCTGCGCAAAAAATATTTTTTTTTTTTTGAAAATTTCGACCTTTTGAGAGGAAGTTGCCAGAAGGTGTGGACCGATATATTCCATCTTAACACCAGACCTCGGGTTAATATAAATATTGGCATGTGTGAAATTTGAAGACAATCGGACTCTTATATCACATTTTATAAGAGTTGTAATTATTCAAAATTTTGACCTTTTGTGGGGAAGGTACTTGAGGGAGTGGACCGATATTGTCCATTTTCACACTTGACCTAGCACTGACGCAAATATTAAGATTCGCAACGTTAGAGCAAAATCGGGTTATCGTTTCTCTTTCTGTGCAAAAAATATATTTTTTTTGAAAATTTCAACCTTTTGTGGGGGAGGTGCCAGAAGGAGTGGACCGATATTACCCATCTCCGAACTCGATCTAAGTTTGACAAAAATATTACAGTGTACCAAGTTTGGACCAAATCGGATACTCCCTTCGAGAGTTATCGTGCCCACCAGCAAGACAGACAGACGGACGGACCTCGCTAGATCGACTCCAAATGTTCTGAAACGGATTTGGTCCAAAGAGACATAGAGTCAAAAAACCGTTATTTCGACTAGGCACGTTTTGACCGTATATGATATATACTTTCTGCAGCCATATGGCTGAGGGTATAATTAATACGTTTATTTTCAAAAGTAGTATTTTTGGCCGAGCTTATATAGGCCTTGATTACATATGTACATAATGTCAAAAGATTTATTGTACCACGATTTTAAAATAAGTTCGGCAAACTAAAGATGTGTGTATTGGCATTGTGGTTTCTTTTTTGTTTTTTTATATATAAAATACAATAAATATAGCAATACTTTACTTCGCTTCGCATTACATTTCAACTACAACGATGATTTTTCTTTTTTTTAGAATAGGATAGAGATGGGTTAGTTACTTAGATTGGATCTGAATACCAATGGGAATCTTATTTACTTAGTATGTTAAGTTTTTTGGTTTTTTTTTCGTACTAAACGCGTGTGTGTACAAATTAAAAAAATAAAACAAACAAAAAATCATTGAAAATACAAAAATAAAATCAAAATCATAAATAAGTAAATACTAATATATAAGGATTGAAATAAGAAAGAAAATTGATATATACTTGAACGAGTGTATCCTCGAAACATCCAACAACAGGCTTGACTTTATCGCTAAAGGTGAAGATGTTCACAAAGTCATTTGTACCTAATGTATCAAGTATTGTATATACAACATGCTTTGCGATATCTAGCCTCTGCCCCATCATAGAGCCTGAACTGTCCAACAGGATGATGACATCCTTTGGACTGGTCGCCGCTTCCATATACCATGGTCTTAAACGGCAATCGTACAAATCGACCGGTTCCATTTTCCATTTCGATGCCGGGAATTGACGCATAAAGCCGGTCGAACTACCAAAAAATTGCCACGACAGCGTCGGATCGTTTTTGTAATTATCACGAAATATTTGATCCAAATTTTCAGACCATTCAATGGCTTTTATGGTGTCCGATGCTATAATATTTATATATAAAAAATATGGATGATAAGAAAATAAACAAAAAAAAAGAGATGGCCAATTAATTTTTGAGAATTTTCCTTTTTTAAATTCAGTTTCGTTTCATTTGATTTGCTTTTTTAGTTTTTTTGATTGATGGATGTCTTTGATAATACATACAATAATAACAACAACAAAAAATATATTTCAATTCCAAATTAATACATTTTTTTAATTTTACAAATTTACAGAAAAATCAAAATAAATTTTTTAAATCTTAAAAATGTCCATAGAAGTGGTGTGCGTTAATGTAAAGACAATTGTCCATTAGAAGTATATGCGTCCTCTTGTTGAAATTCAAGCTGATACATTTTTTTGGCCCATAATCAACGGAATCTAAATTACTTGTTTTATAAAAATTCCAAAAGATTTACAAATTCGATAACCCAGCTCTTCAGTAAATGAGAGCGAATGAAGATAATAATTCCAAAACCAGTCTCATCTTTTGGGAAATAAGAGAGAGTTTCTACTCTTGCGAAAATTAAACTCAGTAAGGAAAAGTCAAAAGACGGGAGGGGCCGACTATATGATACCCTATACCACTGTGCATATTTAGTAGAGTTCCCGTAACAAAATAACTAATTTGAAGTAGATCATACCACCTATCAACATTTGGCTTAAGAGCAGTTATAGTTTGGTTTCGGAAGGAACAAATGTATGGGAGACCATCTAATATTAGGGGGTCATCCAATTCTTAATCGATTTCAACTAGAGTTTCACAAAATGGAAACGTGCGTCCCAAAATTCACTCCATTTGGGCTGATATTAGCCATTACTTGCACAATAAACCTAAAATCGGATTAAGGTTATATGTGGGAGCTATCCTAGCAAAGGTATTTCCGAGCTCTATAAGATAGCTGGTACCAAATACCATTGTTGTCGAATGCATATTACGAATGGGACTTAAACACCAAATGGGATGAAACATATATATCTCCCATATATCTCTATAGCTATATCTGTACCTAGACTGAATTCGGTCGGATGTACCAAAATTCAGGAATTTTGGACTAATATTGGCCATTTGGTGCACAATTAACCCGAAGATATATTTTGAAGATATATATGGGAGCTATATTCAAATCTGAACCGATCTTGACAAAATTTGGCAGAGGTATTTGTGGGCTGTATCGAATGCATATTACGAATGTGAGGGACTTAAACATATATATGGAAGCTATAGCTATATCTGAACCGATTTTCACCAAATTTGACGTACTCGCTTCTAGACTGAAATCGGTCGGACTTTTGGACTGATATTCTCCATTTCTCAATAAAATTTTGCAAAGGTATTTCCGTGATCTATAAGATAGCTGGTACCGAATATCATTGTTGCCGAATGCATATTACGAATGTGAGTGACTTAAACACCAAATCGGATGAGACCTATATATGGAAGCTATGGCTATATCATCGAATTTGATGAACTTGCTTCTGGACTGAATTCGGTCGGAAATACCAAAATTTAGCCCTTTATGGAGGAGGTTCGGAAGCAGTTGGCCGATATTGACCAATTCGTATCTGACCTAAGACTGATACAGGGTTGTACAGGGAGATGTCACATCGCTTGATGACATACCACGTTTGAAGCGTCAGTCCAAGCAGATTTTTACCATGAACCAATACACTCCACGCGAGCGCTCTGAAATAGTTGAAATTTACATTCAACAGAAGAAGTCAATTGTGAAAACTCAACGTGTTTTTAAAACATTAAAAAATGTGAGAAGTGCGCCTTCTAAGAACACCATTAAGCGTTTATACGAAAAATTTTCGACTGGTAAGGCTCTTTCTAATCCGAAGAGGCCATATAAAAGTCGACCAAGGCGATCGGCCGAGAATATCGCTGCCGTACGAGCCAGTGTTGAGAGGTCCCCAAGAACATCCCAAAAACGCCGTTCTCAGCAGTTGGGCATGACTCGGTCCACTTTACAACGGATTGTTCGCATTGATTTGCATTTGTTCCCGTACAAAATTCAATTGACGCAAAGAATGTTGCCTGCGGACAAGCCTCGTCGATTGGAATGGGCCCAAAGGGCAACCCTGTACTTGCTTCTGGACTAAATTCGGTCGGATGTACCAAAATTTAGGACTTCTGGACTGATATTGGCCATTTGGTCTATAATTAACCCGAATTCGGTTAAAGATATATATAGGAGCTATATTCAAATCTGAACCGATTTCGATAAAATTTAGCAAAAGTATTTCTGGGCTGAATTTGATCCCAAATATCGTTGTTACAGAGTGCATATTACGGCTGCGGAGGACAAAAACAACAAATCGGATGAACAGTCTATATGGGAGCAATAGCTGTATCTGAACCAATTTCGATCAAATTTGGCATACTTATTTTGAGGCCTTATTTGGTCGTATGTTCAAAATTCCATAATATTTGGGCTGCTTTTATACGTTTGGTGCACAATAAAAGTCAAATCGGAAGAAGATATACACATATGGGGTCTATATCTAAATTTTGATCGATTATCTCCAATTTCGATAGGGTTCGTATTTTATTTACAAAAATACATGGACCGACGGACGGAATTTGATTCTATGCAGATCATCAAAAGGAACTATTGGTCTATTTTTTTCCTTTTCCTACCTAGTGTGGAAGAGAGATTTCTGTTAAACGGGGATTTTTTTAATACTGTCCACATTAAATAGAATAAGATATTGTGGTGAAAAGTCATTCGAGTCATTAGAAGTAAATAATATAGAATTTTCCGATCCCACATGTAGTATATTTACGAGATATAATCTAGACTTCAAACCGATAAGAATGTGTAGGCATCTTTCTTGCCACATATAATATAACTATGTCTGTTTATGACCTCTCCATAAGTTTTATGGTGGTGTGGTGCATTGGCATGTGTACTTTAGCTCTGTCTCTCTCTCTCTTTATTTTACACATTATACCAAGATAGGTTAAGAGTTTATGAAGTATATGGAGTAGAATGGTGAGAACTCGGTTTTAAAAAAAGAACGATTTTATGACTGCTAAAACCAGTCAGCAAAAACTAAAATGAAAGAAATAGCCTTAATATGGACTTGCGAATAATTCTCAAGCGGAATGAGTATAAAAAATATATAGATAAAATAAATATAACAATCATTTCAAAATACAAGGACGCATATTCTGCGCTGAATGACGCTCACCCTATGGACCTTTGACTTTACATGTCTGCATTGATGTTTGTCTTATTTTAGTTTTGAATAAAATGCACAGTGTCGAAAAGAAGCGTTTTCTTAAAAGCCATTCAATATGAATTTCCATTAAAATAATTTCCACAATCGTAACCATGATATTGCATATGTATGCGCAAGTGTGTGTGTGTGGGTGTGTCAAATGTGAACGATATTAGGTACATTCCGGTCATAGGTTACGTTTGCGGAATAATTTCCAATGGAAATTCTCTTTTATCGGATATGAATCAGTTGTAGTTAATTAATAGGTGCTTTTCGAAAAAAAATCAAAAAAAAATGTAACTGCCAAAAGCGGTGCATATTTTGAAAAGAAAATAGGAAATAAAAAACAAATTTTGTGTATGTATGTTAGTATGTAACTTTTTGTTTTTTTTTTTTTTCAATATATAAGTACACTAGTTTATATTAAGTTGAAGACTAATGTCTACTACAATGGAGAACTAACTAATATATAGCATACAAAAATTATTGCTTGAAAGAGAAGACATTTAGTTATCTCTGGGATTTGGGAATTTCAGGGGAGGTATTTTATCATAATTTAAGTCTTAAGAAAAAAAATAAAAAAATTCGTCTAGTCCTGAAAAATTATTTTTTTTAATTCGCTATATCTGCTGTAATGTACCTTACATAATATTCCTCCCTTAGATATATAAAAACATTCATAGAAATGCACGATTACTTGGAAATCCTAGAATACTTGAAAATCCCTGCACAAAAATTACTTAAAAGTCCTGTCCAAGTCATAAGCCAGTAAGGAAAGGTCAAAAGTCGGGCGAGACCGACTATATGATACCCTACACCACTATGCTTATTTAGTTAGAGCTCTCAACAACTCTAAACCAAATAATATTGCTATATAGAGTATATATATTGCTATAAATATATATATATATATATATATATATATATATATATATATATATATATATATATATATATCTGAAAAATTCAGGTCATTTTGGATTGATATTAGCCATATGGTGCACAAAAAACCTGAAATCGGATAAAGATATATATGGGAGCTATAACCAAATCTGAACCGATCTTGACAAAATTTGAAACACTTATTTCTGAGCTATATCTGATTTCTTGTACCGAAGATTATTGTTGTGCAGTGCATATTGCGAATGTGAGGGACTTAAAACCCCAAATCGGATGAATATATATATGGGAGCTATATCTATATCTGAACCGATTTTCTCCAAATTTGATGTACTTGCTTCTACAATGAATTCGATCGGATGTAGCAAAATTCAGGTCATTTGGACTGATATTTGGCATTTAGTGTACAATTAACCCGAAATCGGTTGAGCATATATATGGGAGCTATATTCAAATGTGAACCGATCTTGATAAAATTTCACAGATGCATTTCTGGGCTGTATCTGATATCTGGTACCAAATACCTTTTTTTGGGTGCATATTGCAAATGTGAGGGACTTAAAACCCCAAATCGGATGAAACATATATATGGGAGCTATAGCTATATCTGAACCTATTTTCACCAAATTCGAAGTATATGCTTTTAGGCTGAATTCGGCAAGAAGTGCCAAAATTCAGTCCATTTTGGCTGATATTAGCCATTTGGTGCACAAAAAACCTGAAATCGTATAAAGATTTATATGGGAGCTATAACTAAATCTGAACCGATCTTGATATAATTTGAAACGCTTATTTCTGAGTTGTATCCGATATTTTGTACGGAAGATTATTGTTGTGGGTTGATATTGCGAATGTGGCGGATTTAAAACCCCAAATCGGATGAAACATACATATGTGGGAGCTATAGCTATATCTGAACCGATTTTCTCCAAGTTTGATATACTTGCTTCTAGACAGAATTCGGATGGATGTGCCAAAATTCAGATCATTTGGACTGATATTGGCCATTTAATGTACAATGGCTTTCTCTTCGTAAGTTGTAATTTTTCAAAATTTTGACCCTGTGTGCGAGAGGTACCTGATGGAGTGGACCTATGTTAAAAATTATTGCACCTGACCTAGTATTGACGAAAATATTAGGATTCGCAAAGACGGAGCAAATTCGGATTATCCTTTCTCTTTCTGTGCAATAAATTGTTTTCTTTGAAAATTTCGACATTTTGTGTGGGAGGTACCAGAAGGAGTGGACCGATAGTGCCCATCTCCGAACTCGATCTTAGTTTGACAATAATATTACGATGTACCAACTTCGGATCAAATCGGATACTTATCGTGCGCACCAGCCAGCCAGACAGACAGACGGATGGACGGGCAGACATCACTAGATCAACTCCAAATGTTGAAACGGATTTTGTCCAAAGAGACGTAGGGTATAAAACCGTTATTTCGACTAGACACATTTAGGCCGTATCATATTATATATATCCTCTGTAGTCATATGGCTGAGGGTATAAAAAAGCGACCGCGTGCTCAAAATTGAAGCATAAAAATGGAAGGATATCAATGTTCGCCCCATAACTATATGGCATTTGTATAAAATGCAAAGTAGGCGTTGAGAAATTAAAAAATCCCCGATTTAAAGTTTGAAAGATATTCATAAAAAATCTCGATCAAAGTCTTTCAAATTATCTTCCTAAGTGGCCCAGAATTTAAAATTGGGAAGTCTTTAAAAATAATTTGAAAACGTACGTATCTTAAGACTTGAAAACTAAGGCTTCAATGTTCGTAAAACAACTACCTGTAAGTCCACGATTAAAAATCTTGGAAGAGCTTAAAAACATTATTTAAAGCTGTAAGGCTCAAGGCTTATTAGATTCTTAAATAATCCCTAAAGTCTCTACAATTTAATGCATGAAAGTCCTCAAAAGTATTTTTGAAAAATTCATCATTGCAAGCCCTTGAAAAATATATGAAAATTGTCGACTATTAAAGGATTGGAAGTCCTCGAAGTCAAAGTCTAGATGTTTGGATCTCCCCCAAAATCTTTAAGAAGTCCATACCTAAGAAGTTGGATGTAATTGAAAAATATTCTATAGAGGTCATAGATTAAAGGCTTAAGAGTCTTAAAAAAGGTCCACAACTAAAGGATGAAAAATGACTCAAAAATATTCGTAAAACTCCTTTGTTAGAGTTTTGGAAGTCTATATAAAATATATATTTATTTAAAGAATATATTTCAAAATTAAATAATTTCGGAATTCATTAAAAAATATCCAGATAATTTTCACGATAAATGACTTGCATGTCCTTGAACAAATATTCTTAAAAATTCGGTAGGAAAAACTTTGAAAGTCCATGAAAAATAGTCTTAAAAATTCAAAAGAGTCAATAATAAAATTCTACAATGTAATTGAAGGAATATTATTATGAAGGGCAAGTTTAAAAGCTTCAAAGTCCCTATAAACAATTAAAAAAAACATTCCATACAAAACAAAAAACTTATTAAAAACGTTCCTAAGAATCTACGATTATGGGCCTAATTTTTTACAAAAATTAATTTTTTTTTTCTCTTTTCCCCAAAAACTAGTGTACTTTTGTTTTTCAAAATAGTTTTCATCTAATTTTTAACGTGTTAGTAGTAACTCTCGGTGACGACAATCGAAACACAAAAAAAACGAAAAATAAAACAACAAATAACTCGAACCTCTATCGTAAACATTCGTCGGCACATGCACTGAGCTGACACTCATATTAACGGGTGTATTAAAGAATTCCTCTTTCGGTGTTAGAACAATCGTTTTAGGTGTTATGAAAATTTTTGGCCCGCCCGCATCTTCCAGATCGCGGGGCGGTTCCGTGGGTACCGGTTCGTGTGGCTCAATCATTTCTTTCGAATTATAATATGAAAAATATTTGTTGGGTTTTTCCATTTGATATGTTAAGGCAGTATTTTCGGCGGTATCCATAATGCGCTGAATGAATTCAAGAAAAGTTTCAAAACATTATTAATTTTGGCGATTATTAATTATGAGCATAAATAATAAAATATATTCTTAATGGTATTGAATGCCATTGTTGCCATCAATGCCATCAGTTCTCGAAAACATTCCGACTTACGCGAACGGCACTTATTTTTAATTCCATCATTGTTTTCACTTCACTGGCCATGTTTTCAACAATTTTCGATCCAGATCTGGAAACAACTTGGGCCTGTTTGAAACTCTGTAAAGAGAAAAATAAAACAATAATTAGAATAAAATGGATTTTTAAACCCTCCACCATACATAATATGGAGGATATATTAAGTTCGTCATTCCGTTTGTAACTCATCGAAATAATAATATTAGACCCAACAAAGTATATATATTCTTGATCAGCGCAAAATTCTAAGACGATTTAGCCCTGTAAAGATAGGAAGGTAAAATTTTGCACCAATCTGTCTTCTGTCTGCAGGCAGATCAAGTTGCATCAAAATTTGTATTTGAAGTTCGTAATGGGTACTACAACTTATGACGGAATATTGTCTGTGCACGTCCACGTCTTAGTATAGCCCCTCCATACAACGGTACCTCCCTTGATTCGATATTTTGATGATATTAGCGACATTATTCACTGGAATTGTTTCGAGTTTCGTATTTGAAGTTCGTAATGGATACAACAGCCTGAGACAGAAAATTGTCTGTGCCGGTCCACGTCTTCGTATAGCCCCATATAACGGTACCTCCCGATATTCGGTATTTTGATGATTTTAGATACATTGTTACCGATTTTTTTCGCTTTTGAATATTGTAATAGCTTATGACAAATGTTACCTATGCAGGTCCATGTCGTCGTATAGACCCTAATATAACAGCTACATTCGGTATTTTTAAGATTTTTACAGAATTTTTAACGGATTTTATTGTTTTTGAGAATTGCCAAATTCATTCCAAAAGTTCGGCCCGGCCGAACTTACAGCTTTTTTATTTGTGTTTTTTTTTTTAATTTTATTGAATGAAAGTAAAAAATGTCGGAAATGGCATCAAATTTTAGAATAAGTTTAGATTTGTTCGAATTGGTCACCTTTGGCATGAATTATCGCCTTCAAACGGCCAATGAAACCATCACACGCTGTCCGAATGTTGCTCTACGGTATTTTGGCCCATTCCCGGCAAAGCGCTTGCTTGAGGTGATCGACACAACGAATTTTTTTTTTTTTGGTGCCAACCTTGCTTTCTAAAATACTCCAGACACAATAGTCCAACGTATTGGTATCCGGAGATTTTGGTGGCCATTGTACGCTGGAAATGAAACGAGGAACATCATTGTGTAATTATTCTTGGGTGGCGCGTGCTGAGTGCGATGGTGCTGAGTCCTGTTGGAATGCCCGAGGTCTGCGGCAAAAATGTTTGCGTGCCCAACGCTTTAATACACCCTTCAGAATATTTTCGCTATAATATTCGGCATTTATTCTGATACCACGGACGATTGTTACGAGCCGAGAGCGACCATCGGCTGTTATGGCGACTCACATCATCACCATGAACGGAGCTTGAATTCTGGTGGCCAACCGAAGGTTCACATTTTCAGCTGACCTCTTTGGCAAGTAAACACGATAATTTTATTTGTTTATAAACTGCAGGACAACGAATCTTTTCTCATCGGAGAAAACCAAATTCGGCAGATCACCACTTTCGCAAAGCGAAAGCTCTTTTGATTCTATTTTCTTTCTGTTGCGGTGTAAGTTCTTGCACTTTTTGGAATTTCAATGGTTTTACCCCTAACTCATTTTTCAATATTTGGCGAATGGAATATTACGATATTTTCACCTCACGAGCCATTTTTCGGAAACTGCGACGCGGGTTTCGACCAAGTCGCTTCTTTACTTTTCGATTTCGAAATATTGGGATGTTCTAAATTTGAAAATAATCGGATGCTTATTTCGAATTTTATGACCATCATAGTTATACAAAATTTTGACCCATTGTGGAGGAGGTACCAGAAGAAGTGGTCTGATATAATTCATCTTCACATCAGATTATGTTTTGATAGAAATATTATGATGTGTGAAATTTGAAGAGAATCGGATGCATATTTCGCAAATTATAAGAGACATAATTATTAAAAATTTTGACCCTTTGTGGGGGAGGTACCAGAAGGAATGGACCGATATATTTCATTTTCACACCACATATTTTGTTAGTAGAAATATTGTGATGTGCGAAAATTAAAGAGAATCGGAGGCTTATTGCTCATTTTATAAGAGTTATAATTATTCCAAATTGTCACCCTTTGTGTGGAAGGTACATGTTGGTGTGGACCGATATTGCCCATTTTCGCACCTAACGTAGAACTGATATCGATATTGGGTTTTGCAAAGTTTGTACAAAGTTGGATGTTGCCCACCTCCGAGCTCGATCTAGATCGACTCCAAATATCCTTAAACGGATTTGGTCCAAAGAGACCTTGGGTCTAAAACCGTTATTTTGACGAGGCACCTTTTGTCCGTATCAAATGATATATCCTCTGTGTACAAAATACTTTGTACATACTTTTGAGTGCGGTTGAGGCGCTGGGAAAATCTAGCAATAAACAATAAATAGTCTAAAATTATCTTGTACGCTGACGCATACGATAATGTGTGAGATAATAAAGGCTATGACCCACACGCACAGATATCAATGCGCTCAGCAGATGCACAAGACCACTTGAATGAAATGACAAGCAGCCCTGCAATGTTCTCCATTCAGTATTAGAATAGATAAGAATGATTGTGTGGCTGCGATTAGGTTAAGATAGATTAGTTTCAGAAGTACTTAAGGAATATACTTTTAAATAAAAATCAGAATTGAATCTACAGCCAAACCAGTCGGTTGGGTTTCTTTTCTCATTCACTCTGTATCCATATATCAATATACCCTAAAAATATCTGAAATTTGGAAGAACCGTTATCTTTACAAAATTGTGCATTGAGTCATTCTAAAATTGTGGTCGAAACTTTAAAAGTACTGAAAATTAGAAGGTACAGTAATATGAGGCCAAAATCAAATAGTGAAGTAATCTTATAAATTTTTAGCAAGGAGAGATTATATCTACTTAGAACCCTAAATGTCGAATTACACATGGTTTGGTTAAAAATTGTGATAAAAACATTCACAATACCAAAAGTCAGGAAATAACGCTATATGAGAACCATACCGAAACGTGAACCGATATATCCCATTTTTAATACCAAACATGCTAGGGGTCTGTGTAAAATTTCAAAGCTATAAAATGCTACCCTGAATTAACCTTCGTTTTAAACATCTCACCCCACTGTGCGTCGCACATAGTTATATTTATATAAAAAAAAAAAAAAAAAACAATATCGGGGGCACCTTATATGGGGGCTATACGATATCGTCGACCTGTATAGGGTGAGATGAAAAAACTGCAACCAACTTCAGACTGCTGGCATTTCTAAGCCACTCGTTCGACAGCTGTTATAATTATTCCAGTGATAGCTTATTATATTGTTTACGAGTGAACAAAAGCATTTTGGTGAGAATTTTCCAGAAAAAAATCATTCGTGATGGAATTCAAACGTGATTTCTTTATATTTCGCTGGAAAAACACAGGTGGCTATCGTTAGAGCACACCAGCATTTAAATGTGAATAAATCTTTTGTGGCTCGTACCCCCAAAAAAAAAACGCAAAAAAAAACAGCAACCTCAGCAGAAATGGTTCGAAGAGTAAAGAAGCGACTTGATCGAAACCCGCGTCGCAGTGGCCCAAAAATGGCTCGTCAGCTGAACATATCACAATATTCCATTCGGCAAATATTTAAAAATGAGCTGATTGAAATTCCAAAAAGTGCAAGAACTTACACCGCAACTAAAAGAAAATAAACTCAAAAGAGCTAAAGAGTTGCTTCGCTTGGCCGAAAGTGGTGAACTGTCGAATTTGGTTTTCTCCGATGAAAAAACATTCGTCGTCCAGCAGTTTGTAAACAAACAAAGTGATCGTGTTTACTTGCCAAAGAGGTCAGCTGAAAATGTGCACCTTCGGTTGGCCACCAGAACTCAAGCGCCGCCCATGGTGATGGTGTGGTGTGGGTCGCCATAACAGCCGATGTTCGCTCTCCGTTCGTATTAATCGACCGTGGCATCAGAATAAATGCCGAATATTATCGCGAAATTATTCTGGAGGGTGTATTACAGCCTTGGCCACGCAAACCTTTGGGCCGCAGACCAACAGCATCATCGCACTCAGCACGCGCCACCCAAGAATGGTTACAAAATGAGGTTCCTCGCTTCATTTCCAGCGCACAATGGCCACCAAAATCTCCGGATATCAATCCGTTGGCCTATTGTGTATGGAGTATTTTAGAAAACAAGGTTGGCACTAAAAAATACCAAATTATCGATCACCTCAAGCAAGAGCTTCGCCGGGAATGGACCAAAATACCACAGAGCAAAATTCGGGCAGCCATAATTCGTGCCAAAGGTGACCAATACAAACAAATCTAAACTTATTCTAAAATTTGATTCTATTTCCGATCTTTTTTTTTTTTTTGCATTCATACGATAAAATTAAAAAAAAAAAACAGTAAAGAAAGTCTTAAAGTCGGGCGGGCCCGACTTTATGATACCCTACACCACTTTACTAATTTAGTAGAGCTCCGCATAAAAAGTTTTTATGGGAGAATTCAATCATACACGCTGTGATTATAATTATAATTTAAATTTCAAAGGACTAAATATGCCGAAGCATTTGTATCTTTTAAATTCGGACTGGTATTGCCCATTTGGTGCACAATTAATTTGAAATCGGATAAAAATAATTGTGGGAGCTATATCCAAATCGGAACCGATCTCGATAAAATTTGGCAAAGATATTTCTGAACTGTATTTGATATATTTCCCTGAATATCGTTGTTACAGAGTGCATACTACGGCTGTGGGTAACAAATATAACAAATCGTATGAACAGTATATATGGGAGCTATAGCTATATCTGAAACGATCTTCACCAAATTTGACATACTAACTTCTAGACTCAATTCGGTCGTAAGTGCCAAATTTCATCCAATTTGTGCAAATATTACACATTTGGTGCGCAATAAAAGGTAAATCGGACGAAGTTATATATGGGAGCTATATCCAAATCTGAACCGATCTCGATAAAATTTAGGAAATGTGTTTCTGAGCTGTATTTGATATATTTCCCCAAATACTGTTGTTACAGAGTGCATATTACGGCTGCGGAGGACAAAAATAACAAATCGGATGAAAAATATATATGGGAGCTATAGCCATATCTGAACCGATTTCGATCAAATTTGGCATACTTATTTTCAGGTCCAATCTGATCGTACTTGCAAAATTCCATACTATTCGGACTGATATTACACGTTTGGTGCACAATAAAAGACAAATCGGGAGCTATATCTAAATGTTGACCGATTATCTCCAATTTCAATAAGTTTCGTCCTTGAGCCAAACAAATGATTTGTGCAAAATTTCATCTGGATAGGGCAATAAATGCGAACTGTACTTTGTTTACAAAAATACATGGACAGACGGACGGACGGATGGACAGACGGATATGCATAAATCGACTCAGAATGTGATTCTATGCAGATTATCAAAAGGAACTATGTGTCTATCTCGTTTCCTTTTGCCTGTTACAAACAAATGCACAAAGACATAATACCCTGACCACCTTGTGGTGTTGGGTGTAATAAAAGTTATGGCGTTTGACTTTGTTGCAGTTTTTATACCGTCCACCATAGTATGGAATGTATATTAAATTTGTAATTCCGTTTGCAACGCCTCGAAATATACATTTTAGACCCCATAAGGACATCTATTCGTGATCAGAATAAAATTCTATGTCGATTTATCTCTGTCAGTCCGTCTGTCCGGCTATCCGTCTCTCCGTCTGTCGAAGTCACTCTAGCTTCCGAACGAAATGAAGTAGATTGAAAAAATTCTACTCAAATTTATATTATGTCTATAGGAATTTTGGTATTGAAAATTGGCCATATAGGTCTATTTTTGGTATAGCCCCCATAAAGCGGTACATCCCGATATTCGATATTTTGATGATTTTAGCGACATTTTTCACCGGAATTGTTTCAAATTTGGTACTTGAAGTTCGTAATGGACTACAGCCTATGACAGAAAATTGTCTGTGCAGGTCCACGTCTTCGTATAGCCTCCATATAACGGTACCTCCCGATATTCGGTATTTTGATGATTTTAGCGACATTTTTCACCGGAATTGTTTCAAATTACGTATTTAGAGATCGTATTGGGACTACAGTCTGTGACAGAAAATTGTCTATGTAGATCCACGTCTTCGTATAGGACCCATATATCAGTACCTCCCGATATTCGGTATTTTAACGATATTAGGTGCAATACCCACCGAAATTGTTTGAGATGTCGTATTTGAAGTTCGTAATGGATGCTACAGCCTGTCTAAGCAGGTCCAAGTCTTCGCACAGCTCCGATATAACTGTACCTCCCTATATGCGGTATTTTGATGATTTTAGCGACATTATTAACCGTAATTGTTTCAAATTTGGCATTTGAAGTTCGTAATGGATACTACACCCTAAGACAGAAAATTGTTTGTGCAGGTCCACGACTTCGAATAGCCCCCATATAACGGTACCTCCCTATATACGATATTTTAATGATTTTAGCTACATTATTCACCGTTTATTTCAAGGCTTATGACAAGCAATGCCTATATTCGGTATTTCTAAAATTTTAACATAATTTTTTAAGGAGTTTATTTTTTGAAATTTTCCAACTTCATTCCAAATGGTGGGGAGTATTCAAAGTTCGGCCCGGCCGAACTTACTGCTTTTTAGCTTGCTGATTTTTTCAAACTTCACACATTTCTTTCACATTTTTGCCCATATAAGATGTGGTGTCAAAATGGAATATACGGTTAACAGCCAACTACTTTTTAAATATTTTTGTTTTATTTTTTTCTATTTCTGACATTGCACATTCAAATGCATGCAAGCCATATGATTGTGGCACACATACACATATGTGCTTCACTATGTATAAACATATGCAAAAACACTTTTAACGGGCAATAATCCGCATTTTCTCTAACATTCCGTTTATTTTTAAATGCACATTTAGCCTAGATTTCATTTCTATTTTCCATATTCACAGACGCGCTTGCATTGACATTCATTTTATTTCTGGCAAAAAAAAAAATCAATAAATTTATGTTCCAAGTGGTCGAATGAACAACCGACTGGCTGACTGACTGGCTGTCTCAGAAGCAATACCGCATTGTGTTCCCCCTGCATTCCCATACACATACACATGACACACTTTTCTGTGTGGATTAGACGAGTGTGTGTGTGTTTGTGTGAGTGTTTGCCCACATACAGTTCCTGGTCTACTTACCTCTTGGACCTCTTTGCGGCGTGTAATGAAATCACCCAAATGGAATAATTCCATGCCCAATTTATCGGCCCACGAATGAGCTCTGGAAATAGAATGGGAAATAAATTTCGATTAAATATTTGGAAAGTAATTGAGACCGTAATTCCGTAATCCTTACACATTATAATTGATTTTTTCAGCAGACGCCACTAGGTTGACACCATTTTTGGGCCAGAGCACAAACATAGAAAAGCAAAGAATTTTCCACAGAAATGTGAAATGGAATTTTCTTAGCAACATTTTGCTAAGAATATTTATTTTTTCTTTTTTTCTAAATAGAAGAGATTCTTTTATTAAATAACACTGCACAAATTTATTCGAGAAGATGACATGGATTCAATTTAGAAAACAAAATTCGACGATACCGATTTTCCGTTTTTCTTTTGCAATTTTGGTTTTTCCAACTTTCATTCGAGTATTTTCATTGTGAATTTTCAATATTCGGCCCGATTAGTTTTCCAACAAATCTAATTCACTGTGTATTTTATCAAAATATTGAACATATTTTTCCTCCGTTTGCTGGAATTTTCTTTTTCCCGTTTCTGTTTCGAGTTAAAATTTTCTTTCTGCTGCCACTGAAAATGGACTTTTCTTGTATCTATACTGGAGTTTTTTGACAATTCAGTCAAAATTACAACGCAACGATGAGTTCATCGTTTGTCTTACATGCATCCAACAGAGACCTCCAGTGCGACATGGAGAACTCAATTGCTGAACTCTTCTGGCGGTGCTGTGCGCAGAAGCCATCCTTAGCCAACGCATGCCAGATGGAATTGTTTATGTTTACATTTGTCCAGGCGACACATGTAGCGGCATTTGATGTTGGCCAACAGGTGGTTGTTTTGCTTCGTTTGATGGTGGTGCGGGTGGGCTATGGCATAAATATAAACACAAGTTGGCGTCTGCTCAGTTGCATTGTTTATGTCTGATTTCATTGACGAAATTCTGCCGCTATATTCGTTGTTGTTGTTCTTGGCGTTTTGTAATGCTCGAGCATGAATGGCGGCGCTCGCGACCGTTGACTTCGTGCAATATTCAACAGTTTGCTCTCCGGTTAATGGCACAAAGCATGTTGCTGTTGTTGTATTTGTATTTGTTGCCGTCGTTGTTTATGCTGAACTTGAAAATGTGACATTCATACATTGCCGCTAGAAGATTTCCTGCCAAAAAGTAGGTCACCGGCATTGTATTGTACAATTGTAAATGTATGTGGGTACATACGTATGTAGGTTTAGATTTTTATGCGAGTGTGTTTGTGCAATTGCTAGTGGTCATGTGCAACGTAAAAGTAATTCCGCATTTTTTTATACACACAGTTGACAAAGTATGAAGTACGATTTTCTTTTTACCGTTAGTTATGTGGGCCTATAAGGAAAGGTCGAACATGCTGGGATTAAAATGACGTCTTATGTCTTTTTATTACAGTTCTAAATAAAATTACATTTTAAGTCGATTTATGGATGTCCGTCGGTCTTTTGTACTTAAACATGGTACAATAGGTGCGTCTGGTTACCCTAAAGTTTGTAACAATTGTTACAAATTTTTACTGGAAGTCGTCTGTTAACCCAAAAGTTTTGCAAAAGAGAGCGGTTGGAGAGAGAAATTTTGACAGTTCTTTCAGTGAGAGTTTGCAAATTCTTGCTGGACAAATTTCTTCTTGCAATCACTTGCAACTCTTCTTCTTCTCATTCATCGACATTCAATCAGATGTTTTCTATTGTTTGTTTATTTATTTTTGTGCTTTCAATTTGAAAATATTTTTTTGGAATTAGCAAGACTAATAGTTTTTGGAGAAAAACTTTACAAAATGTGAAAAACGTAAATGTTAATATGTAGTATGAAAATAAAAGACTATTTCCAACATTTTTATTTAAAAAACTTGTAAAATTAGTATTGTCTCTTTTGCTGTAATTCTCCTTATGGGGGACAAATTGGTTTGTTTTGACAAATCAGCTGATTAGTTGCAAGCTTCTGCAGGAATACCGTCTGTTTACTTTTCGCATTTTCCTTGCAAAAGAGAATAAAACTATCTTTTCTCTCAGAAAGAAGTTGCTGGACAATTCCTGCTGGAAAAGTAACCAGACACACCTAATGTTATCAAGGTAATCTAATTTCAAATAATAATATGCAGCTCTACATTTTTCCCTTTATGATATCAAACCAGTAAAAAGGCTGTAAGTTCGGCCGGGCCGAACTTTGAATACCCTCCACCATTTGGAACGAATTTGGCAATTCTCAAAAAGAATAAAATCCGTTAAAAATTCTGTTAAAATCTTAAAAATACCGAATGTACGAACGACATGGACCTGCATAGGTAACTTTTGTCATAAGCCAATACAATATCCAAATGCGAAACTCGGAAAAAAATCTGTGAATAATTTCGCTATAATCAAAAATACCATTATATGGGGGCTATACGAAGACGTGAACCTGCACAGACAATTTTCTGTCATAGGCTGTAGTATCCACTCCGAACATCAAATACAAAATTTGAAACTATTCCGGTGAAAAATGTCGATAAAATCATCGAAATACCGAATAACGGGAGGTACCGTTATATGGGGGCTATACCAAAACGTGGAGCTTCATGGCTCATTGTCAATACCAAAAGTCTCGCAGACATAACATTCATTTGAGCAAAATTTTATCAATCTACTTCAATTCGTTCGGAAGCTAGAGCGATTTCCACAGACGTATAGACGGACGGACATCGACATAGAATTTTATGCTGATCAAGAATATATATGGTGGAGGGTATAAAAACTGCAAAAAAGTCAAACGCCATAATGAATTATGCCGAATTATGGCCTTCAAACGGCCAATGAAACCATCACACGCTGCCCGAATGTTGATCTGCATTATTTTGGCCCATTCCCGGCGAAGCGCTTGCTTGAGGTGATCGACACTTTGGTTTTTTTTTTAGTGCCAACCTTGCTTTCCAAAATACTCCAGACACAATAGTCCAACGGATTGGTATCCGGAGATTTTGGTGGCCATTGTGCGCTGGAAATGAAGCGAGGAACCTCATTTTGCAACCATTCTTGGGTGGCGCGTGCTGAGTCCTGTTGCAATGTCCAAGGCCTGCGGCCAAAATACGAGGCTTTAATACAACCTCCAGAATATTTTCGCGATAATATTCGGCATTTATTCTGATGCCAAGGTCGAATAATACAAGCGGAGAGTGACCATCGATTGTTATGGCGACCCACACCATCACCATGTCTGGCGCTTGTTGGCACTAAAAAATACCAAAGTGTCGATCACCTCAAGCAAACACTTCGCCGGGAATGGGCCAAAATACCGCTGAGCAACATTCGGGCAGCATGTGACGGTTTCATTCACCATTTGAAGGCCATAATTCGTGCCAAAGGTGACCAATTCGAACAAATCTAAACTTATTCTTAAATTTAATGCTATTTCTGACATTTTTCATTCAATAAAATTTAAAACAAAATGTAAAGATTATGGCGTTTGACTTTGTTGCAGTTTTTTATCCTACCCTGTATAGATGAAATCTGTCTTCTGGCCGACTTTCTAGCAGTGTTAAACAGAATCAACAAGTTAAACGTTAATTAGTTCTGAAATTGAAACTACCCACCCTGGACAATTTCTTGTTTTATTTTACAGATCTTTGAGATTAAATTGTTAGGTTTTAAATCGGTAACAGTATTTGCAAGGCCATTTGCTAATCCACATTATGTCCTCCAACATTATTCGTTACACTCAAAAGGCCAGTTAACGATCCAACTAAAATTTTCTCCGATATACTCAATAAACAATGAATAACAAATGTCAATGGCTGTAACACAATAATAACAACTTAAGTTTATATTTATTTAACACGAAATGCTTACAAACTTACCGTTAATAATAGCAACAACAAAAACACAAGTCTTTGTGCAATAACAATAAAAATTGAAAATCCTGTCAATATGCCCAACAGCGTAACAAGTGTCAACACTTCAACAAGGCGCACAGCGACCGGCATTCTTTCTCTAACTTTCATTTAATTTTATGTAAGACAAAAAAAAAACGTTGAATTTCGTATTTGTAAAATTTTGGTAAGGAAATTTTATTTACAATGCAAAAATTTAGACATTTCCAATGTACACTGAACAAATTTACAAAAATATATATATATACATCAATATAATTTAAAAAAAAAATACATTATAAAAACATAATTTTAGGTACTTATTAATGGCATAAAAGAATAGGAAGCATATGTCTTTTTGGCTCCAACTCATTTGTGCAGTTCGGATAGTAGTTTGAAATTAAATCCATTCATTCAAAGAATTTTAAAATCACTTCTAACGTCTTCGCCATGGCCGTTACCTAGAAAAAAAAAATTACACATAATTTAAATATGTATTTAATAATAAGAAAAAATATCCCAACAAACACTTTGAATCCCACCGATGTAATTCAATCTCTCGTGCAAGTGCCCTTGGTATGCATTTTTTTTCATTAATTGTTTTTATACCCTCAGCCATATGGCTACAGAAGGTATATATCACTTGATACGCCCAAAACGTGCGTCATCGAAATAACGGTTTTAGACCCTAGGTCTCTTTGGACCAAATCCATTTTAGGATATTTGGAGTCGATCTAGCCATGCCCATCCGTCCGTCTGTCTGGCTGGCTGGTGCGCACGATAACTCTCGAAGAGAGTGTCCAATTTGAACCAAACTTGGTACATCGTAATATTATTGTCAAACTTAGATCGAGTTCGGAGATGGGCAATATCGGTCCATTCCTTCTGCTACCTCCTCCACAGGATAATAATCCAATTTTACTCCTACTTTGAATTTCCTAATATCTGTGTCAGTGCTACGTCAGGTGCGAAAATAGGCAATAATCAGTCCACTCAATCAACTATTTCCTCCACAAATGGTCAAAATTTTCAATAATTACAACTCTTATAAAATGTGATGTTAGAGTCCGATTGTCTTCAAATTTCACACATCCCATTTGTTTTATTAACCCAAGGTCTACGCCTTCTGGTACCACACCCACAAAAGGTCGAAATTTTCAAAAAAAAAAAAAAATTGCACAGAAAGAGAAAGGATAATCCGATTTTGCTCCCACGTTGCAAATCCTAATATTTTCGTCAGTGCTACGTCAGGTGCGAAAATGGACAATATCGATCCACTCCATAAAGCAGCTCCCCCACAAAGGGTAAATAATTACAACTCTTATAAAATAATTGTATTAATAATAATTTATTAACCCAAGGTCTGGGACAAAAATGGAATACATCGGTCCACTTCTTTTGGTACCTCTCCCACAAAAGGTCGAAATGTTGAATATCCATTAAGCTCATAAAGCGCGATATTACCATCCAATTCCATTTAGACTTGGCACATCTGAATATTTCCATCAACACAAGATGTGTTATAATGATGGTAGAGATCGGAATACTTCTTCTGGTACCTCCCCCACAAAGGGTGAAAGTTTGAATAAACAAAACGAACATAAAATCCTAAAGAAGCATCCAGTTCTCTTCTCAAATTAGACATATCACAATATTTTTATTAGCCCAAGGTCTGGTGGGAAGATAATATATATATGGTCTACTCCTTCTGGTACCTCCCCACAACGGGTCAAAATTTTTAATATCCATGAAGATCATAAAACGCGAAACGCGATTCCATTCAGTCTTGGTATATTGCAATATTTCCATCAACATCTATTATAAAGATGATATAGATCATACGATTTCTTCTGGTACCTCCACCACATGGGGTTCAATATTTTTAAAATTTTACACATACAAACATTTTTGTTAACAAAAGATCCTTCTGGTGCCTCACCCAAAATTTAGCACAGTTGTCAATACTTTTATCTTTACAACCTGTTATTTCTAAATATTGCTTTCAACCAGAAACCTAATATAAATACGGAATTTATGAATTCACATAAAATGTGATATAAAGATTCGATTTACTTGTATTCTTTCACTCTGATATATTTATCTGTATTATATGAAGTATGAAAATGGAATGCTTCGGTCGACTATACTTGGTACCTCACGCACATTTTTACTTTTATAAAAATTATCACATATTCTCATATAAAGTAAAGGAAGTTACCAAATAAAGTTCAAACCTGCCACGTCGAAATATTTATATCATATATGTTTAAGTCTGATACGAAATGTACAATATTGACCCATTACTTCAGATCCTGCATAGAAGGTCAACAATATAATCGTATAATCGAACATTGCAATATTTCCATCTATACATCTGTCGGGTAAACCTAGAGATACTTTTTAACTTGTTTTTGATCGCCTTGGCTATGTTACCGAATGTTTTCGAGAAGTTGGCAAGGTTTTCTCTCATTTTCTTTTCATTTCATTACATGCTGTTTTGGCCTAAGTAAGGACTGGGCCCAATGGGTCTTTCAGAAGAAACTCAACCGAATAATATTTCCATGTTTTTTCATCTCTATCTAAAAGTGTAAATTTTGAACTTCAATAAATTAGAACAAAAGGCTTACAAATGTATCCGCAGCGTAGGCACACGAATGCTTTATTAGATCTATCAGTTCATCTAAATCATAGTATTGCAGCACTCGAAATACAACCTGTAACATAAGACAAACATAAATAAACATTCGAAAATAAGGCGACAGCAATGTTACACTTACAATAGCTGTGGTAATTAGGAATAGTGGCCATATAATACTAATAACAAATCTTGTCGTCCATACTATTGTGTACCAGAGAATTATAAACATGGCAATATAAGCGATAAATTTGCTTAGGTCCGACGGAATTGCAACATTCTTGTTAAGCCACTCAAAAAGTACCGTGTGAAGAGGTAGGTCCTTAATAGGAAGACAAATACAAACATAATGGCTTCCATAAGAATTAAATGCTAAACGAGCTTACCGTCCAATCTTCGGTGGTTATTTTTTGAATTTTTGACATTTTACTGGGGGAATTTTTGTGTAGGGCTGCAAATGAATGTTAAATATTATTGAATGAGATGTTCACTATATTTCAAGACATCGGATTATACTGGATAATCGGCTAAGTAATTTATTTAACCAGGGTATTCCCAAAAAAATTTAGAACACAATAAAGCCCAAAGAGCAGTGTCGTCCCAGAATGAGCTAGTTCAAGGCAAATATTCACTAAAAAGGAACAATGGGAAACAGTAACAAGTAATTTTGTTGCTTTAGAGAATTGCTTAATATCACGTTTATACGATTAAAAGTAAACTCACTTGTATTTCTAAAAATACTCCTTGATGGAAATAAATGCCGCTCTGCTAATGTTTATCTATGTATTGTAAACAGGTACCAAAAATAAATGATGACAAAATGAAAAGAAATCGAGGAGAATCGGTCCAAATTTTAGATTTAGCTCCCATATATATCTTCGTCCGATTTCAATTTTATTGTGCACCATATGTATAACATTTTTCTAAATAGGAAGCAAGTACTTCAAATTTAGTGTAAATCGGTTCAGATATAGCTATAGCCCCCATATACAGGGTGAGATGAAAAAACTGCAACCAACTCCAGACTGCTGTCATATCTAAGCCACTCTAGAGCACTCCAACATTTAAATTTGAATAAATCTTTTGTGTCTCGTACCATCGCTCGTTACAGTGATACTGGTAGTAACATCAGCAAAAATGGAAAAAGTAAAGAAGCGACTTGATCGAAACCCGCGTCGCAGTGTCCGAAAAATAGCTCGTGAGCTGAACATATCGCCATATTGCATTCGTCAAATATTAAAAAATGAGCTCGGGGTAAAGGCATTGAAATTCCAAAAAGTGCAAGAACTTCCACCGCAACAGAAAGAAAATAAAAGGAAAGGAGCTAAAGAGTTGCTTTGCTTGGCCGAAAGTGGTGAACTGCCGAATTTGAGTTTCTCCAATGAGGAAACATTCGTTGTCGTGTTTATTTGCCAAAGAGGTCAGCTGAAAATGTGCACCTTCGTTTGGCCACCAGAACTTTAGCACCGGCCTGGTGATGGTGTGGGACGCCATAACAGCCGATGGTGGCTCTCCGCTCGTATTAATCGACCGTAGCATCAGCATAAATTACGAATACTATCACGAAAATATTCTGGAGGGTGTATTAAAGCCTCGGGCACACAAACATTTTGGCCACAGACCTTGGACATTTCAGCAGGACTCAGCACCATCGCAATCTGCACGCTTCATTTCCAGCGCACCATGGCCACCAAAATCTCCGGATTCCAATACTTTGGACTATTGTATCTAGAGTATTTTGGAAAGCAAAGTTGGCACTAAAAAATACCAAAGCGTCGATCACCTCGAGCAAGCGCTTCGCCGGGAATGGGCCAAAGTACCGCAGAGCAACATTCGGGCAGCATGTGACAGTTTCATTGGCCGTTGAAGCCCTATATTTCGTGCCAAAGCACAGTGGTCGAAGTCGTATTGGAACAGCGGTCAAAGATACTTTCAGTGCAGATATCAATATGAATCTTTGGTTATGGTACCATGATGGGATAAAAATAAAAAATGTGACAAAATTTGGAACGGTCCGCCTTCAGGTAAAATGAAGCCATGATTATTATGTTTTCTAAAAAGCTTAAACCCTTAAAAGTTCATGTGTACAGATAATTCGAACAAATCTAAACTTATTCTAAAATTTGATGCTATTTCCGACATTTTTGCTTTCATTCAATAGAATTAAAAATTCTTTTAATTTATATTCCTAACTTTTGAAGCAAACTAATCTGTTCATCTTTATAAATTCCTAAATTTTTTCAAGGTAATTCAATCAGTAACAATCTCCGTTAAAATATTACAGAAACGCCCTCCGATTCTTGACACTAGCTACAACATTTTCAATAAAACACAGCTTCATTTATGATTATAATAATGGCAAATGCCTTTATTTTCACACTCATAGATTGAATTGGATTTCACGTTTGTTATATTTTATAGAAATATCTGTTTGTTCATTTAAGTATTTTTTTTTTGTTTTTAATTATAGACACACATACATATTTAAAGATTTTATTTTAATATATATAAATTTCTCTTTAATGAGAAATCGTCTAAAACATATTAACGTCGATCGATAAACATAATGCTTTCGGGAGGTTTTGATGTCTTGTAACCACATCATATAAATTATATAATATAATTATGTAACTCGTCGAAATAGTTTGTGGGAAAGTTGAAGATATGGTTGCAAGAATCCAATTGTCGAAATGTTTTACATACAATGTAGATATTTCAAACTAATATTCATGTACATATGAATGCATTATGAATGTGTGTTTCTGTTATTGACGAATACAGGATGTATGTATGTATGCATTTTCTTCATATATATATATATATATATATATTACATAAATACATAAGCATTATGTTAAGTATTTATGAACTACAAAACTGAACATAAGAATAAAACGTTAAGTGGTTTCCACAAATAGATAGATACATGATGATTGTTTAGTTACAGTTATATTCAATTCAAATGAAAATTGTATTATCCGTCTGATAATCATAGTTTTAATCATTTCATAGATCTTTCATTTTATGTATGTGTATACTGCCAATTTGTTTTAACATTTTGGTTTTGGATTTTTAAGAATAGTTTTTTTTCCATTTTATTAATTTGGTTAAATTGAAACATAAACAAGTTTTTTTTATAATTTACATACCACCTATTGGGAATCTATTACATAACAATCATATAAAGGAAAACTCAATAGATATTTCTTTCTTGGTGTAGGATCGATTTGATTGTTTCTGGTATAGAACAAATGTCACTTAAAAACTAAAAAAAATGTATATATATATATATATATATATATATATATATATATATATATATATATATATATATATATATATATATATATATATATATATATATATATATATATGTATTAAAATAATCTTAAGAATTCAAATTACATCGTCTGAAAGGAAAAAGAACGAATAGAGATGTAGTCAAGTATTCTTTTCTTCTTTAAACAAAACTCCGATTTCTTTGTCCAATTGTGGTAGTTGCTATAACTATTTTCATCCAGACGACATATTATACGGCAGCCAAATTAGGAAACAAAAACAATCTGAAAGAAAAAAATTGACGTTAATTATTAAATGATAAATCGTTTATCCGAAACAATGAAAATAATTTAGTGGTATATTACTGAGCTAAAACCCTTTTGCAAGAACTACAAAACACAACACTGAGGATGTGTCCACCTTTCAGATTAAAAATGGCTGTTCCAGAACCTGCAAGTTTTTCATTTTTTTTCGATATCATGAAGGGAAAATCGAAAATGTGCACCTTCAGTTGGCCACCAGAACGCAAGCGCCGGCCATAGTGATGGTGTGGGCCGCTATAACCGCCGATGGTCGCTCTCCGCTCGTATGAATAGGCATCAGAATATTATCTCGAAAATATTCTGGGGGTATTAAAGCATTGGGCACGCAAACATTTTGGTCTCAGACCTTGGACATTCCAACAGGACTCAGCACCATCGCATTCAGCAAGCGCCGCCCAAAATGAGGTTAATCGGTTCATTTCCAGCGCACAATGGGCACCAAAATCTGCTGATGCCAATCCGTTGGACTATTGTGTCTGGAGTATTTTGGAAAGCAAGGTTGGCACTTAAAAATACCAAAGTGTCGATCACCTCAAGCAAGTGCTTAGCCGGAAATGGGACAAAATACCGCAGAATAACATTCGGGCAGCGTGTGATGGTTTCATTGGCCGTTTGAAGGCCATAATTAGTGGCAAAGGTGACCAATTCGAACAAATCTAAACTTATTCTAAAATTTTATGCTATTTCCTAAATTTGATTTCATTCAATAAAATTAAAAAAATGTATAAATTATGTCGTTTGACTTTGTTGCAGTATTTTTATCTCACACTGTATAAGACCTTCCCGACTTCCATAAATAGTCGCACTCTTCTTCTATAAGAAGGCCTTTTCGTCGCCTATGAGAATGAGAAGGCTATTACGTAATCTATGAAAAGACCTTCTCCTCTTTTAAGAGAAAACCTTCTCCTCTTCTAGACGAAGACCTTCTAGTCTTCTATGAGAAGAACTTCCGGACTTCCATGAAATGTCCGACTCGTCTTCTATAAGAATACCTTTTCGGTGCGTATGGACAGACTTTCTCGTCGTCTATGAAAATACCTTCTCGTAGCTTATTAGAATAGCTGATCGTCAGGAGCTAGAACCCATTATGACCTACAAATACCAATTTTTAAACAAATCCGTGGAAAAAAATGACCAATATCATCAAAATACCGAATATCGGGAGGTACGTTTACATGGGGGTTATACCAAAACTTATACCTATATATCTTATTCTCATTTCCAACCATCCTAGACACAATACAAATAGTTCTGTCAAATTTTGAAGCTCTACGTCCAATAATGTGGGCTGTATCGTGATTTCAACAGACAGACGGACATCGTTAAATCGACACAGAATTTTATGCTGATCAGAATACATATGGGGTCTACGACGAATATTTAGGTATAAAAATCAAAAGCAACGATTGGGTTAAACGCGGCACATTACCTATAAATCTGACCTTATTATTTAAAAACCAGTAAAGAAAGTCTTAAAGTCGGGCGGGGCCGACTTTATGATACCCTACACCACTTTGCTAATTTAGTAGAGCTCCACATAACAATTAAAAGTTTTTATGGAATAATTCAATCATACACGCTATGATTATAATTATAATTTAAAGTTCATATATAGCTATATCTAAATTTTGACCGAATATCTCCAATTTCAATAGGGTTCGTCCTTGGGCCAAACAAATGATCTGTGCAGAATTTCATCTGGATCGGGCAATAAATGCGACCTGTACTTTGTTTACAAAAATACATGGACAGACGGACGGACGGACATGCATAAATCGACTCAGAATGTGATTCTATGCAGATCATCAAAAGGAACTATGGGTCTATCTCTTTTCCTTTTGCCTGTTACAAACAAATGCACAAAGACATAATACCCTGACCCCCTTTTGGTGTAGGGTATAAAAAATTCTTTGGCCTGTGGTTAGCTGTGCAACGCCAGTGTGGTTTGCGAATTCTAGTACTGCGAAATACGAGTTATTAGCTATTTACAATAAAATTACAACCACCCAGCACAACCAAAAATAGCCTCGGATATGTAACAATATTTTTGCACTTTGTTGATACTTACAATTACGACAATTTGCGAGTATAATTTATCGGCATCTTTAATTCCATTCATTCTGTATAATTCTACTCCAATGTCTACTCCAAACCAGCTAATTTTTACCCGCAAATCATATATCCTTCTTTTCTTAACAAATTACTCTTTATTTGTTTATTGACAGACTTTCAATGCTGGCCAACAGCTCATCGGCCGTCTGAGAAACCACCTGCTCCTGATCGTCGCGGGTGCTCAGATCTTGCAGACGTTTCTCCAGATTTGAGAGATCTTCTAATTCACGTTGCTGCTTTGCCATATATCTTAAGATGAGTGCCGTCAACATACACATATCTTCGAGAATTTTACTGGTTTCCGGTGTGGGATTCTCATAGCGTGTACGCAGCAATCGTAGTTTTGCCTCGGCCAATTCTAAGGGAGTCTTGCCACTGCGGTCGTACATATGCACGCTGGCGCCACCCTGCAGTAGCACACGTACGACTACGTTGAAGTTATTTGAACTTGCAGATATTACAGCCAAATGGAGCGGTGTGTTGCCCAGCGAATCGACCACATTGGGATTTGCTCCAAATTTCAACAATTGTTGGACTATTTGTATGTAACCACGGCAGGCGGCCAAATGCAACGGACTACGTTTGTATTCGTCCGCAGCATTGGGCAGGGCGCCTGCCTCCAGGACCTTTGTCAGCAGTTCTATGTTGTTGGTACAGGCAGCGTAACGTAATTTCCGTCCGGCGGACTCAGCGAAGATATTATTATAACTGAATCGCAATTTGCTCTTGATACAAGTGCGGGGACGCATTTTGAAATTGTGACTGCTGGAGGGCAGGGTGCTGGGATGGATGATGCTGGACATAAAGTCCGAAGACTGCGATGAAGATGAGTTCAACGGCAGTGGTGGCAAGGTAGGAAACGCAAAATGCTCTTCCGAATTTAGATGGAATGCATTAGGATTGATTGTGGGCCACTCATGTGTATTTGGCGACGATGTTGGTGTGGGCGGCATTATTGGCGGTGGCGGTGTTATCATAATACTCGCACTAGCTGTAACTCCATCGTTGCTATCATTACTTGTGTCAACACCTGAGTCAGCCATGCCGTTGCCGTGGTCGGCCTCGTCAATAGATTGTGCTGGATTGCGGTATTGCTTAATTTTGAGGTTTTTTTATTGTGTCCTGCGGCTAGGCAATTTATTGTTTATTTCTCGTGCGGATAAAGAAAAAATATCAAAAAACTTTGCAGCCCTCGATAAAAGAAAATTGGATTTGTTTTGTGTATTTTGTGTTTTCTTCTCTTTTTCGCTTCCTTGTTTTTTCTATTTATTCATTTTGTTTTTTTCATCATTCGCACTCGAACAATCGATAAATCGACTAAATGTGGACAAAATCGATTATTTATACCGTACACCCGTACGCAGTGATTAAAGCAACGTTTACATCGTTAGCATTTGGATTAAAAACATTAGTGGTATTCACGAATAAATCTCTTTTATTGCTCTGTTCCAATCATGATAGAAGAATATAAGTAGACTCATCGACACAGCTGTTGGAAAAATGAACTGTCAAACCAATTTTGGAATTGAAAATGTTGAATGAAAAATTATTTAAATTGGTAAAAATTGTTGAAAAACTCGTATTATAATAACATACGAATGATTTCGTAAAAGAAAACATATAAAAATCCACTTATATTTGAAAATACATTTAAAATTTTTTGACATATCAATGTTCCCAAGCCTTAATGCATCTACCTGTATTCTTCTACCATTCTTCTATAAGAAAGGAAAAATCGTTCATGGTAGTAAAGTAGTACCGAACTCGCCTCTCAATAAGTTCCGTTATGCGTGATGTGCGGCAGGTGGTACCGCCGTTGACACCGCATGACAAGTGCAGCTCTTGTATGAGGGCTTCTCTAAAAACAAAAATTCGGCTTATTAACTGACCCATTGAGCAAAAAATGAGCAGAACTGGTATTTTGATAATAAAATTTGGCAAAGGTATTTCTGAGATGTATTTGATATATTTCCCTAAATATCGTTCTTACGGAGTGCATAATACGGCTGTAGGGAACCAATATAACAAATCGGATGTTCGATATATATTGAAGCTGTAGCTATATCTGAAGCCATCTTCATCCAATTTGACATACTAATCCATGGTAGAAGAATATACGTAGACGCATCGTCACAGCTGCTAGGGCAGTGAACTGTCAAACCAAATTTGGAATTGAAAATGTTGAATGAAAAATTATTTAAATTTGTAAAAATTGTTGAAAAACGAGTATTATAATATCCTCCGAATGACGACGTATAAGAAAACATATAAAAATCTACTTATATTTGAAAATAAATTTAAAATTTTTTGACATATCAATGCTCTCAAGCGTTGATGCATCTACCTGTATTTTTCTACCATGTACTAATCACTCAACTTAATTTGGTCGTAAGTGCCAAATTCCATGCCATTTGTGCACAATAAAGGGCAAATCGGACGAAGTTGTATGTTGGAGCTATATCCAAATCTGAGCAGATCTCGATAAAATTTTGAAAACTTATTTTGGGAGCTGTATTTGATGTATATTTTTTTCCCCAAATATCGTTGTTAAAGAGTGTATATTACGGCTGTGAAATCGATGAACATTATATATGGGAGCTATAGCTACATTTGAACCGATTTCGATCAAATTTGGCATACTTATTTCCAGGGCAAATTTGGTTGTATGTGCAAAAATTCCATTTATTTGGGCTGATTTTACATGTTTGGTGCACGATGAAAGGCAAATCGGATGAAGATATGTGTGGGAGCTTTGTCCAAATTTTGACCGATTATCTCCATTTTCAATAGGGCTCGTCCTTGAGCCAAACAAATGATGACGGATAAAATTATTCTATTCTAAAATCCTCAAAAAATTCTAAATATCCTCAAAAGAAACTATGGGTCTATCTCGCTTCCTTTTCCATGTTACAAACAAATGCTCAAAGACATAATACCCTTACCACCATGGGTCAATAAGAAAGATTGCTCAACGTCCAAGAATCTAGAAAAATGCAGCTCTGTGCTGGAGTCTATAGTGTCAAATAGACTTTTAAATATGCAACAGTTGGTTTTGTTTATTTTTCATTTTTTAACAGAATTCTTATATTGGGGAAAACACTCGAAACAAGAATGGAATTTTGGGGATAATCTACATGATTTAATCTAAAATAGTAGGACAATACAGTCGAAAATATGATTTTATTTTGCAACCGAATTTGAAATTATTGTATTTTTTATTCAAAACAAAACATACACAAAATGTGTATATGTTTTGACAGAATAAAGGCTCCAAAAAAAAAATTGTATATAGGGGGTAACTTTGTTCTATTTTCTGTAATTGTGCCATGCTTACCACTATGTTGTGTAGGGTATAAATATTACCATGTAAGAATATAAGCATTGCCATATCGAAATATTGTTTCGGGGCAACCATTCACAATGATTGCCTCTAGCACCGAAAAAACATTCACAGTAAATGCCACCAACCTCGACATAAAGGAAATTAAAATCCTGCCAAATCGTTTGAATGACATCATAGTATGTGCTACGTTCCGGTAGATGGCGTGTACAATGTGTTTAAGCTGCTTGTATAGATGCTGAGAAGAGAATTGAAGTCGCCATTTAATTCAAGCATTTTCCAAATTCCAACACTTATTACCTGTTTTTTTTAGCAAATTATAAAAAAATGGCCATATTTTAAATCTCCGAGACTTTTTTCAATATGAGGAAAAGTTTGGTTTGAGAACATGTAAATAACAAGACTTTTAGTTATTCCACTCAGGAACTTCACGGTCCATTCCGATTGTTATAAGAATATTTTATAAAATAATCTAGAAGCTACAAAGACTGAAAAAGATATTGATGCTGTAGTTATAAAAAAGACGGTGAATATTGTAGTAGCGTTGTTTTAAGCATAAAAAGTATTGTATTTTAGCAAAATGAAAGGTAATTACTGGTTTATGTTGGATAATGGCGAGTATGTGACGGTGACATAAAGACCGCCCAGTATATTCCCAAGAACTATAGTCCCAAAATTAATTTCCTTTTAACCAGTCCTTGGGCATTATTATACTTTTTATATAGCCATATTCTCGATATTCAAACTAACTGAAAGGAGTATGATTCTTCGGATTTTTCGTCGCCAGGTTGCATTTTAGCATGACGTTAAGAACTACTAGATTTCTACGCTTCTGTGACGAGAATTGATTCTGCTCGGCAGGCACTTGGGGATTTTGTCCTGTTCACTTTGTATTTTTTTTTTCATGGCCACTATTTAATTTCAATTGTCTGAATCTGATTTTAGAGTTTTAAAAATAAAATTATAAAGTGTTTACTCATAGAGAGTCTTTATTGCGTCTATTTGTTTTTAACAATACATTTTTCTTCAATTTTAACATGGTTTCATTTTTTTCGGTATCTGTATATGTATTTAGACACTAATTTATACGAGTTTTTTTTTTTGTTGTGGTAGGGATGTGTTACTGCACTCGATTTTCTAATACATTTTATGCGTTTGGAAAATGGGGGATATTTATATGTGGGGATATTATTTCCATTCTGTTCTGTCATGTCTAAGTGTGAAGACATTCATGTTGTTTGATACTAGAGTATATATCAGTTTATTGTAATAATACATTAAAAAAAATATTGTAAATAATCTAAAAAAACTTGTTGCTAAAATTAGTTTGTCTATATTTTAATTGGTTGTTTCATGATGTTTTTTTGTTTTCTGTGAATATGTCGAAAAAAGGCAATATATGTTTTGTATTTTTTTTATTGTTATATATTTATATGTATGTAAAAAAATAAAGGGTTTTATTTTTAAGTTTTATTAAACACACAGCTGTAATTTATGTTTTTTATGCAAGAAATTTCTTGTTTTGTTTTGTTTTCTTCAATAAACACATAATAAATATTTATTGTATTTATAAATATACATCCTATATAAATCACAAAGTACTTGGATTTTCGAAATTATAAAAAAAAAACAAGTGAGAAATAGTAAAAAAAAAAACAAAAATTCTTTGGAGATTTGAAAACTAAATATGTTTGTTTTTCGCTTGTTGTGGAAACATATCGAAGGCAAATCAATAGAAAAATGAGTTTTACGTGAAATGGAATTCTGTTGGTGATGGCAAGTAATGGAAATTGTTAGGATTTGTTAAAATTTCCATGATAATGTCATCATTGTGTGTAAATATAACTTATAACTTTTTTGCAATACGAAAAATATAAGTCATATATATATATGTGTATGAAAATATTTGAAATTAGATATACGGACCCATTTTGGCAGGTAAATTGCCTAAAAGAAATGTTGTAAGTTTCCTTCATGTAATCCATTTGGATTTTCTATATGCAATATACCGCCACATCTTTTTGTTGTTGTCTTCAATATATAAATAAATGATTTATTTTCATTTTTGTGTTTGTATATAATTATGTAATAACAATGAGTATGTGTTGGGTTGTGTATCTACTACGTCAAAATAAATAAAATATTTATCATCATCACAGGATCGAAAAAATAAATCATGTAATTTTGTTTTGTTTGTTTGTGTTTGTTATTTAAATTGTTGTTAATGGTGCTATTGTTGCAGTTGAGGCAATTAAGTTGTTAGTTGCCTGCTGCAATATGTTGTCTCCACCAGATTCAATTTCATCATTGTCATCTATTTCTGCGGCCGTGAATGAATATTGGGTTGCTGCACTGCAACTAAATGTTTGTCATTGTCGTGGTTGTATTGTTGGTCCTTGCTCTCGGTAGGTCTTCAATTTTGTTTCGATTGCCTGTAAATAAATTAATGCAGCAAATGTAATTTGTATTGTATAACAATATGTATTATACGTAGCTAGTCATACATAGAAATTTGTTTTCAGATCTTAACCTTCTAGAATATATTTTTATGTAGTAAATTAAAATATTCCTTATATGTAACAAAGCTAAATAATTTTAACTCAATATTATGGTGTGCATCGGGGTAATGATTTAAAGGAAATCAAATGTGAATTTTCAGCTGGGCAAATCCTTCAGGCTAAATGTTAACTTTGAGCTTGTTTAATTGGGCATAACCTCCCATTACCTTAATGATTGATTTGATTGAATTATGAATAAGTCGTGAAACATCCGATATTTTCTTCAACATTTCAACTGATTCCTCGAATGCCAAACACTCGTTCAAGAACATTCCTTTTGGGTTGTTAGAAAACAAAATATCCAGTATCCCGGCACATGTTTTCAACTACCATATCAAAAAAGGGTGATTTTTGAGCTATTTTTTTTTGAAACACTAGTTAAAACAGCTCACGTATTTTTCATTGTTGTTGTTGTAGCAGTGTTTGCTTTTGCTAATCTGGTTTAAACTTCAGGCTACTTTAATGGGCTGTAGTCAGATATCTTCTGGAGTGAGTTTGGTAGGTTTGGCTGTGCAATTAAAGAGGTGCAGCGTATTGTGCGGGTCAGTATCACACGCCGGGCAGACGTCAAGCACATCTTCGTCAATTCGTGCCCAATACGAATTGAGACGACTTCACTATCCTGAATGTAATTGCGTCAAAAAAACCCTGGTTTGTCTAGGCAGCTGGCGTTGTTCAGCTGCAATGGATTGGGGGTGGACTCCGAGGACGGGATTCATCTTATAACTGCTAATAGCATCCGCGATTGCGTCGGTATGAATGCCACTCAGGCCTGCCTGATAGGCTCTTTGATCCAGAGGTTCTTTTTATAGCGTTGGACCTCTCTCTCCAGATCGTGTAAGTCCTTCCTGTCACGCCTGGGTGGTGGAGTTGTATTCACCATATGATGGTTGGGATGACTCTCTCGGTAACACCCAAGCAGGTACTGCAACGAAAGCATATTATTGTGCTGACGTAAGGGAAGGACTTTAACCTCATGTAGATGGTCTACATGAGAAGGCACCCTTTCGCAGTTCTCAGGGCAGCATTCTGGCAGGTGTGGATGTGCTTACACTAGTATTCGCAGACCACTCTGGAGCCGCATAGCTGACCACAGACCGACCTATCGCTTTATAAGAGGTCAACAAGGTTTCCTTGTCCGCACTCCAAGTGTTGCCGGCTAGCGCCTTGAGGATCTTGTTCCTAATTTTCATATTGTCGCAGATAGTTGAGGCTTGCGCGGATGACATGAACATGCTGTCGAAAATGATACTTAGAAATTTGAGGTAATTTGTGGTCGGAATTAACTCTGAAAAAAGAGTGTGGCCGTTGATTTAGTGGCGGATATTTTCATATTTCTCGCATAGAAATAAGCGGCAAGCTCCGCGAGATAGGTATTGAACCTTACACATACGTCATGTCATCAACATCGTGACCCGACGCTAATCATACGCATATGTTATGATGATAGGTGAGGAATGCCGGAAAGGTGGAGATTAAACAGTTTCGGGATTATGACCACACCTTGGGGAACTCCCTGTTTCATTCTACGCTGTTTAGACTTCTTGTTCCAGAGTTGATAATCCAACGTTTAAAACATTACCGGAGGGTAGTTCTCTCTACATCCTCATACATTGTGGCGTGGTTGACTGTATCAAATGCCTTTGCCTACGTCAAGGGCTACCGACACTGTTCTATGACACGCCTTATTCTGGATTGATCCTCGACTAAAATGTGTGAATATAGCCTTTAGTACCATTGTGGTGCTATGTTGTGAACGGAATCCGTGTTGATGTTCTCCAACTGAATAGCTTAATCTGATGCTGGGGAGGAGTAAAATCTCTAAATTCTTCGCTACTGTCGACATAAGCAGGCGACTTATTCAGTTGTTTCAACATTGCCATCGAGATTCCATCTGGGCCCAACGCTTTAGATGACTTAGAGTTTCGAATGTCATTTGCAGCATCAACCATCGTAAACTGTGGTGGTGCCTCCTCGGCGGGAAGAGATGTGATACGACGCAGTACTCTATGCTTCTCCCGATCGAACGCGGAATGCTCGAAGTGCTCAAATTATCGGTTAAAATATCTAGCGCACCTCTTTGGATAAATTACCTTACGTCGTTTAACGTGACTGAGATCCTATCATAATTTTTCCCATAGCTTACGAATATCGGTTCGAATTTTGAAACACTTTAGATGGTCTAGCCCCTTTTTCATCTTGTATATTAACCGGTTGACTTCCACTATCAATTCACTGAATCTGGAATTAATAGGTTTGGAACGATGGAGATCATCAAGTTCGTTGGCTAGTTCCGCTACCTCTGTTGGGAAATTTCGGGCACTATGGAGACCATTATCGGGAGATGGTCCGACCCAAGACGAAATTACGGGTTGCCAAGTCACGTTGAGTTGAGTCTGGCGAACTGTGACACTTTACTCTCAGTGACGAAGATAATTTTCGGCTCAATGAATACGCTAATAATGATATTTTGAGCTTAATATCAGCCAGAAGCAATTTTTGGGCTGCGTAAAGTAACTGTGAATAGTGAACGCTACCGTGAGATGATATCCAAATTTTTTTGCCCAAAATGCTAGGGCCGACGTGCGGTTTCAAGAATGCGATATTGAGAGACGAGTTCGGTGAACATTATATTTCACGAACGGGACCGGTCAATTAACCACCTAGATCGTGCAATTAACCACCTCTAGACCATTTTTTGTTGGGTTATGTTAAAGCTCATGTCTATATAGGCTTGCAAGTCGAATCTCAAATCCTGATTCCTATCAAAGACGAATGAAATGATATCAATTCGACTCAAGCCGGTGTCTATATATACAAACGAATCCTTCCAGGCCACCTACCAATGTATAACAATTTATTTGCTAGCTGTGATAATTATTGGCCAAATGGCTTTTTAATTGTGACGTATAATAAAATATATGAAATGAATTTCATACAAGACAAGGGTCCGAAAATGTCACCAAAGAAAGGATTCATCCAGAATATTTTTTCATATCTTGGAATTGCATATCTCATCTCGTATATTCTGAGAGGAGAATATATTACCCACATAAATTATAGCACAAAGTGGGCATTTTTTGGGAAAAAGAATTTCCTATTTTTGACGCAGGGGTGTAAACGTTTCTCAATTGATTTATGTCAGAAACAATAGCAAACACAAAACACTAAACACAATAACAAAAGGAAGAAAAATATACAAAAAATAAATACATAAATTTATTAAAATAGCACAAGTTATACATATTATTTTATGTAATTTGAAGCAAAATTAATTAAACTTAAAAAGTAAAATTAAAAAATAAACTAAACACAAACGTCTACATCTACCTAAGACTATATCCTCGGTTTGTTTACACAACATGTGTTACAACATGTATTAGCATCAGTCCTTTTGTATGTAATTGAAACATTTTACAATTATCGTGGATCGCTTTGAATATCGTTAATCGATGATGATGACGATTTCAAAGTTGTGGTGAAAAAATTATTATTGGCACTCATGCGTTCGGCGAAACGTTTAAAAATATTTGTGCCAAAATTCAAACTTGTATTACTGCGACTGGCCGAACGTCTCAGTAGGACGTTATTGTTGTCCGTCGTAGAATCTTCTGTCGCATTTTGCACAGTCGTATTATAATTTATGTTATCGATGGATGACTTCCGGCTAATATTATGGTCAGACAGTGTTACGTTTGTTGCCACATCACTGGACATTCGTTCACATACACAACGAAATCTCTCACATTGATGACACAAAAGTGCTTTATCCAACTGAAATATAGTTTATAATGTATTTTTTATTGACATAAACAACTTTAATTAACAACTTTAATATCTTTTAACTAGGGTTTGTCATGGGTTAATAGTTAGTCCTCGATGAGAATGCATTTAAATGTGGTTTGAGAAAAAAAAAAAGAGAAAATGGTTATTGTGTAGCTTATTCTCTAATTAAATATGCGATTTTCGATTGCAAAATGCATATGATTTTCATTTGATTTTAAAAATGATGTATTTGAGACTTATTTCATGATCATCGCAGAAGTGAATTTGTTTTTGGATTAAAAAGTAAAATAGTGTATACCCCCAGCCTTGAGTTATGATTACTCAAATTGTTGACTCTTAATGGGGGAGGTTCCGAAGCAGTTGGACCAATCCATATCTGACGTAAGACTGATATAATTATTAAAACGTGCCAGATTTGGACTATATCGATTACTTCATATGCTTTATATGAGATATGCGCAAATTTTTGGAAAATGTGGAAACATGAGTGAGGTAACAGATACAGGGTGAGATGAAAAAAATGCAACCAACTTCAGACTGTTGTCATTTCTAAGCCACTCGTCCAAAAGCATTTTGGTGAGAATTTTCAAAAAAAAAGAAGTTATTCGTGATGGAATTCAAGCGAGATAGCGTGATTTCTTTATATTTGGCTTGAAAACCGCAAGTGGCTATCGTTAGAGCACTCCAGCATTTAAATGTCAATAAATCTTTTGTGTCTCGTACCATTGCTCGTTATCGTGATGCTGGTAGCATAGCCCGACGTCAAAGAAGTGGACGGAAGAAAACAGCAACATCAGCTGAAATAGTTCGAAAAGTAAAGGAGCACCTTGATCGAAACCCGCGTCGCAATGGCCGAAAAATGGCTCGTGAGCTGAACATATCGCAATATTCTATTAGGCAAATATTTAAAAATGAGCTCGGGGTAAAGCCATTAAAATTCCAAAAAGTGCAAAAACGTACACCGCAATAGAAAGAAAATAGATTCAAAGAGCTAAAAAGTTGTTTCGCTTGGCCGAAAGTGGTGAACTGCCGAATTTGGTTTTTTCCGATGAGAAAACATTCGTTGTCCAGCAGTTTGCAAACAAAATGATCGTGTTTACTTGCCAAAGAGGTGAGCAGAAAATGTGCACCTTCGGTTGACCACCAGAACTCAAGCGCCGGCCAATGGTCGCACTCCGCTCGTATTAATCGACCGTAGTATCAGAATAGATGCCGAATATTATCATCTTGGACATTCCAGCACTACTTAGCACCAGCACGCGCCACCCAAGAATGGTTACAAAATTAGGTTCTTCGTTTCATTTCCAGCGCACAATGGCCACCAAAATCTCCCGATACCAATCCTTTGGACTATTGTGTCTGGAGTATTTTGGAAAGCAAGGTTGGCACTGAAAAATACCAAAGTTTCAATCACCACAAGCAAGCGCTTCGCCGGGAATGGGCCTAAATACCGCAGAGCAACATTCGGACAGGTTTTAATGGCCGTTTAAAGGCCATAATTGGAACAAATCTTAACTTACTCTAAAAGTTGATGTTATTTTCGACATTTTTTGATTTCATTCAATAAAATTTAAAAAAATGTAAAAATTATAGAGTTTGACTTTGTTGCAGTTTTTTTATCTCACACTGTATATATTAACTTTGTCATTCCGTTTGTATAATCCCTAAGTATTCACCGTAGCCCCATAAATTGTATATATTTATAATCAGCATAAAATTCTAATTCGATTTAGCGATGGCCGTTTGTCTCTTGAAATCACGATACAGTCCACATTATTTGACGTAGAGCGTCAAAATTTACCAGAACAATTTGTATTGTGTCTAGGATGGTTGGAATTGAAAATGAGATATATCGGTGCACGTTTCACTATAGTTCCCAAATAAGGGTAACTCTCGATATTGGGTATTTTGATGATTTTTGCAACATTTTTCCACGGATTGGTCTAAAAATTGGTATATGTTGGTAATAATGGGAACAAGCTCCGGTGGCGAAACATTGTATGTATAGGTCCATGTTTTAGCATAGCCCCCATATAACGGTATAGCCCCCGATCCTCGGTAATACTTGTCAATTTATAGTCAATTTATAGAACTATAAGATTTGTATAAAATATTTCATTTGACACACCTTTCAATATACAAACATTTCCCTTGTATTTAATTGAAATGGCAAAATTTCAATTTTTTTACAAAAAATTACATCTTCAATAGATTTTTTTTTTTTTTTTTAAATTGGATAAAACACTTTTGGGTTAGCACAATAATTTTACATACACAAGACATGCAAAATCAATTAAAAAAATAAATTAAATTAAATATCTATGGAAAACACACACCAATACGCAAACACAAGTAGAAACTAAATTAACTAAAAAGATAGACAGAACACGGTATTTTCATCTACTTACATTGATTTTTCTGAGCATATCGGCGACAATATTTAATGCAGTTGTACGTGAAGAAGCGGTCATTGCTGCATTGCCATTAAGTAAATTATCCGGATCGACAAATGGTTTTCCTAAACAAAAGAATATAAAACAAAAAACACACATAATTACCAATTAAGAAATTTTCAGGGCAAACGGGTAAAAACGAACGAATACAAAATTAAGCTAGAAGCTATTGAGTTAGATTAATATTGATTTTGGGTGAATAAATATGATAAGCAAAAAGTAGGAATAAGAAGTTTTACAAAAATCAAATCAAAGGACACACACACAACAACAACACATTACAATTTTATATGGGATTACTCTAATAATATAATCTATGATAACAGATGAAACTCTTTTGCTTTTGAAATTGATGTATTTTGCTTTTAAAAATTTATTAGCTGAAGATGAGACTTGAGTATTTTTACAATTTAAAACTATACAAAAATAAATAAAACATAATATTTCATAAACTTAAAACGAAACATAAATAGCTCTTGTTAAACAAATAAAAAAGATGAATTCCTCTTCAAAATGATTCGAGTTTAAATTATTGGCAATTAAAGAATACGGAAATGATGCTTAACATTACCAATTGCCAAACTCTATTCTAAATGGAAACATATTATAAAACAATATTATTGTCTATGTACTAAAAAATAATAAGTGAAGCATAACTAAAAATAAAGTAACTGATAAATGTACACAAGAACAAAAAATGAAAAATAAACAAAATTATGTGACAAATCTTTTTAACATTTAAATGACTTTGTTTTCTATTGATGGACGCAGATGTAAAACAAAATGATTTTAGAACCATGAAGCATTAAAGCTTATAAATTTATGGAAGCGTAAATTAATGTTATAAATAAAATGTGCTTGATTTTATGATGTATGACAGCAATGTTTCAAGTGTGTAAAAAAAGAAATACATACAAAAAAACCAAATGATTGCCATGAATAAATAAATGTACATATAATAATAAACAGCATATAAATTAAAAAAAAACTTATGTTTATGGAACCAATGTATATCTTATTATTTTAAAGCCAAAATAATTGCGTAACTATTTTCTAATGTGGATATAATACAATGTTTTCAGTGGTGTTGTTGTGCAGGTCCCTAATGACTTTTGTGTTGTTCATAAATACATAATACATAAAAAAAAAATGTAGCACGAATTCAATCAATCACGATTTCTATATTTTTTTGTTAATTTTAATACGCCTTGTGTTTTCTTTAACGAACGACAAATCTTACTTTTTAATGAACGCTGCTGTAACTGATAATCATTTATGTTTGCTGTCTGTGGATTTGTGTTATTGGTATTGTTTAGTATAACATTATTGGCTGATGTAGCTGTGGCCGTCTCAGCATGTGACATTATATCACCATTAATACCGTTCGGTGTATTCAGTTCCGAACCCGGACTGAGGCCATTCTGTTGTGTGCCATTGGGTGTGGTATAACGGGTTTTCACATTAAGTTCCTGTTTCAGATCTAAAATACAAATCAAATCAAACAATGTTTTATTTGCTTTTGAGTCAAACTTTTTGTCGTATACCTACCTCTTGTTTCATCCATTAGACGTTGTAGTTTTTCCTGTAAAACTTCTTTCTCATCTACCTCCATTTCGAGTAGGGCATTCTTTTCATAAGCTTTGTCCAGCATTCGTTCAAAATCAACAATGCTTTCATTCAGAATGCGATGTGCTCTTTCTAGGTCGTCGTTTTTCTGTTCCAATTGTCGCAGGTAATCTTTCATTGAGTCTCGTTCTAGCTTTACATTTTCCAATTGTTTTTCAACATTGGCAAATTCTATGTTATGTGATTCGAGTTTGCGCTATTAAATAAATCAAAAGGAAATGTTAGTACCGTAATTCGAAAGTTAATCCTAAATCCAAAGCAGAACTTTTAAAACATGTTTTTTTTTTTAGATAATTTTGAGTCCTAATATATTTCCTTGGTATGATTAGTACGATCCCAAATAGATTTTTTTTGCGCTTACAATTGAAGTTTATCGTGGATATGTTTCCCGCAAATGAATAATTGACAAGTTTGACAGATCTTTATTCTTTTTCCAGAAATAATTCCAATTGTTATGGTATTGAGAATCAAAAGGAAATATACAGGGCGTGCCCAAAAAGTGCAAGAACTTACGGAAAGAAAATAGATTCAAAAGGGCTAAAGAGTTGCTTCGCTTTGCCGAAAGTGGTTGTTGTTGTTGTAGCAGTAGTACATGTGTGTGTTTGTGTTCTGCTAATCTGGTTCCAGCTCCAGGTTTAGAAATTCGGCTACTTTAACGGGCTGTAGCCAGAGATCCTCTGGAGTGAGTTGGGTAGGTTTGGCTGAGCAATTAAAAAGGTGTAGCGTATTGTGCGGGCCTGTATCACACGCCGGGCAGGCGTCACGCACATCTTCATCAATTCGTGCCCAATACGAATTGAGGCGACTACACCATCCTGAACGTAATTGCGCCAAAACTACCCTGGTTTGTCTGGGCAGCTGACGTTCTTCGGCTGCAATGGATGGGGGGTGGACTCCGAGGACGGCATTCACTTTATAACTGCTAATAGCATCCGCGACTGCATCGGTGTGAATGCCACTCAGACCTGCCTGATAGGCTTCTTGATCTAGAGGCTCTCTCTTGTAGCGCTGGACCTCCCTCTCTAGATCATGTATGTCCTTCCTGACACGCCTGGGTGGGGGAGAGTTATCCACCATATGATGGTTGGGATGGCTCTCACGGTAACACCCAAGCAGGTACTGCAACGAAAGCATATGATTATGCTGACGTAAGGGAAGGACTTTCGCCTCCTCATGTAGATGGTCCACTGGTGTCATGAGGAGGCACCCTGTCGCAGTTCTCAGGGCAGCGTTCTGGCAGGTCTGGATATTCTTCCACTGCGTAGCACTAGTATTCGCAGACCACACTGGAGCCGCATAGTTGACCACAGACCGACCTATCGCGTTATAAGAGGTCAACAAGATTTCTTTGTCCGCACCCCAAGAGCTGCCGGCTAGCGCCTTGAGGACCTTGTTCCTACTTTTCATCTTGTCGCAGATAGCTGTGGCTTGCGCGGACGACTTGAACATGCTGTCGAACGTTACCCCAAGAATCTTGGGGTAGTTCGTGGTCGGTATTAAATTCCCCTCGACCTGAACATTCAGCTGTGTTCTCATCTCCGCAGACCATGTGGTAAAGAGTGTGGCCGTTGATTTCGTGGCGGATATTTTCATATTCCTCGCGTGGAAGTATGCGGCAAGCTCCGCGAGATAGGGGTTCAACCTTTCGCATATGTCATCGACCACTGGACCCGACGCCATGATCGTACAATCATCCGCATACGTTACGATCTCAATGCCGTCTGGAGGGCGAGGAATTCCGGAAAGGTAGAGGTTAAACAGTTCCGGAGATATCACCCCACCTTGGGGAACTCCCTGTTTCACTCTACGGGCTTTGGACTTCTTGTTCCGGAATTCCACGTACGACTGGCGTCCACACATATAGTTGATTATCCAACGTTTCAAACTTGGCCGGAGGGTAGTTCTCTGTACGTCCTCAAACAGTGTGGCATGATTGACCGTATCAAATGCCTTTGATAGGTCAAGGGCTACCAACACTGTTCTGTCACACGGCCTGTTCTGGTTTAGTCCTCTACTAATATGTGTGGAAATGGCGTGTAATGCTGTTGTGGTACTATGTTGTGGACGGAATCCATGCTGGTGGTTGGCAACTGCATAGCTTCCTCTAATGCTGGGGAGGAGTAAAGCCTCAAGAGTCTTTGCTACTGGCGACAAAAGCGAAATCGGCCTGTACGATTCGCCTTTACTGGCATCCTTGCCTGGCTTCAGTAGCGGGACCACCCGGCCCATTTTCCAGGTTTCAGGGACTATGTGGGTGGCTAGCGACAAATTGAGAACTTTTGTTAAGTACTCGACTCCCGGCGTATCCAGCTGCTTCAACATTACCATTGAGATTCCGTCCGGGCCCAACGCTTTGGATGACTTAGCGTTACGGATGACATTTGCAACATCACCCATCGTAAACTGTGGTGGTTCCTCCTCGGCGGGAAGAGATCTGATACGACGTAGTACTCTTCGCTTCGCCCTATCACTCTCGGGGTGCTCGACAAATTGTCGGTTAAAATATTCCGCGCACCTCTTCGGATCAGTCACCGTTACGTCGTTAAAAGTGACTGAGGTCCTATCATCCTTTTTTCCAGGGTTCGAGAGCGACTTAACCGTTACCCACAGCTTACTCATATCGGTTCCAATGTTGCAGCACTTCAGATGGTCTAGCCACTTTTTCCTCTTATGCTCCTGTACCAACCGGTTGACTTCCACTGTCAAATCACTGATTCTAGGATCAGTAGGGTTGGTACGACGGAGATCATCACGCTCGTTTGCTAATCCCGCTGCCTCTGCTGGGAAGTTTGGTCTTATCTCGGGTATTCGACCAGCAGGTATATAGCGAGCGGCTGCAGCTCTGATGATGTTTCGGAAAATCCTTTCTGCTACCCGAACATCAGAAGGGTTGGGCAGTTCTCTGAAGCGGCGGTTGGTGAATTCTCTGAACTCTGGCCAGTGAGCTTTCCCATGGTTAAGGAAAGTGCGGCGTTCAGAGGTTATAAAATCGGGCGACCTGCTTATGGAGACGATTATCGGGAGATGGTCTGAGCCAAGAGAAATGACGGGTTGCCAAGTCACGTCATTTATCAGACCGGGTGACACTATGGTTAAATCTGGCGAACTGTGACACTCTCCTCTTATTCGGGTGGGGCATCCTCGTTAACCGTGCAGAATGTGGAGCAGTCAATCTGCTCTGCCAGCGCTGATCCCCTCTGGTCATTACCTAGGACGGAATGCCACAACTCATGGTGGGCATTAAAATCCCCTAGTACCAGGCGGTTATTGCCTACCAATAATGGGCTAATATCAGGCAAATAACGTGGTTCACAGCTATTAATCGGCGGGATATACACATTAAGCACCTCTACCTCGGCAGTTCCACACTTGACTGCTACCCCCATACATTCCATGTATGGGTCACTAGAGACTAGCTCAAGCGAGATAGGTCTGTACTGAACAGAATGGTGTAACAGGAACGCTAATCCCCCACCTCCACTTCTGGTGCGATCCTTCCTTAGTACGTTGTAACCATAACAACGTTGTAGGCTGCAATTTTCATTCAGCTTGGTTTCCTGCACCGCTGCGATCTTAATATTCCTCCGACTCATAAATTCCACTATCTCATCTATTTTGCCTCGAAGTCCGTTGCAATTGAATTGCAAGAATGATGCACAATCCGGAGTTGGAACAGCAACATGTGGCGTTAGGTGCTGCGGTGTTGGTTGCTGTTCTGGAGACTGCGGTGGAGTGCCATACTCCGACGACGTCTCTGACGAGGACGACGAAAAAGAGGACTCGCTGGGGACTACGTTACTGCAGCAAGTCGCAACATAGTCCCTTTCGCTGTAGTCTCGCAAACGCCTTAATCCGGAACAGTTCTTGAAGTGCACCCACTCTCTGCATCCATTACATCGCACCGAGACAGATCTGTGGTGGATGACGTTCTGACAAACCGAGCAGAACCAAGGTCCGGGGTTTTCCTCAATCCCGGCACGGACCAATAAAATCCGGAGCAAGCATTCCGGGATATGCTGCTCCCAATGCAGAAAAATAAACAAACACAAACATGTACATACTGGGTTGGCAGCCGCTGGCCGAAACTGGAATCTTGTTGTTTCGGGTCAATCCGGTATCGTAGAACCCGCTGCCGTGGGATTGTTGCCGAAAGTGGTGGTTTTCTCCGATGAGAAAACATTCGTTGTCCAGCAGTTTGTAAACAAACTAAATGATCGTGTTTACTTGCCAAAGAGGTCAGCTGAAAATGTGAACCTTCGTTTGGCCACCAGAACTTAAGCGCCGGCCATAGTGATGGTGTGGGTCGCCATAACAGGCGATGTTGCTCTCCGCTCTATTAATCGACCGTGGCATTAGAATAAATGCCGAATATTATTGCGAAAATATTCTGGAGGGTGTATTAAAGTCTTGAGCACGCAAACATTTTTGGCCGCAGACCTTGGACATTCCAACAGGACTCAGCACCATCGCACTCAACACGCGCCACCCAAGAATGGTTACCAAATGAGGTTCCTCGCTTCATTTCTTGCGCATAATGGCCACCAAAATCTCCCGATACCAATGCGTTGGACTATTGTGTCTGGAGTACTTTGGAAAACAAGGTAGGCACTAAAAAATACCAAAGTTTCGATCACCTCAAGCAAGCGCTTCGCCGGGAACGGGCCAAAATACCGCAGAGCAACATTCGAGCAGTGTGTGACGGTTTCATATGCCATAATTGGTGCCAAAGATGACCAATTCGAACGAATCAAAACTTATTCTAAAATTTTATGCTATTTCCGACATTTTTGCTTTCATTCAATAAAATTTAAAAAAAAATGTAAAACTTATGGCTTTGGTTTTTGTTGCAGCTTTTCTATCTCACCCTGTAAGTATGACACTTCAAAATTAACTTTACAAACAAAAAACAAAAGCAAGATATTTTTATTTACCTAATTTTAAATCGTTTGTCCTATAAGAAAATCCTAAAAGAGGCGACTTGGAGCATACAAGTATAAACACATAAGAAGCATATCTTGGAAGCTTTTCCAGTTAAAAAATGATGGACAAGTCAGACTGGTCTTTACTTGTTTACCAAAACTAATTTAATGCCGCCTTGTCAGGTCATAACATTTTCGTCTTATTTCACCCATTAACTTTTAATAATGCATATTTTATGGCACCTAAAAATGTCCTATACTTACTTTAAGTGATTCATTTTCTTTTTCCAATGAGGTTAATTTAAACCTGAGATCTTTTATTGTTGCTGTTTTTTGATCAATTGTAGCATCCATTTCGGCTTCCATTTCCCGAGATTGTTCTACATATTCGTCATACTCTTGCTTAACATCTGTCCACCTGCAAATTCAAGTCAGATTAGTCAAGAACCAAAGAAATGAACTTTCAAATATTAAAATAATACTTACTCTTTGTGGTAAAGTTTAGCTCGTTCCTTCCAGTAACGACACTCATCTTCAACACTATTGAAAAGGGGAGGGGACTCCATCATTGTTGCACTGTTGCAGGTATATCTCTGTATTTATTTTTTTTATTTATGTAGAGTTGGTATCAATCGGTGGTGGTTGTGCTTGTGTGGTCGGTCGTTCGATCGTTCGAAGGATACAGTAAACTCTTACAAAAGAGTTCAGTGAGCAAAAGTTTCGTTTAAAAAATTTTTGTTTTTTATTATCCACGATAGTTTCTAGTATTAGAGGGAGTTGGGGTCGGTTCTATCTTTAATAGTCAATTTTTTAAGATTCGCAGAATTTTACCGGAAAAATTGCTTAAAGATACCTTAGTTTTTGTAATGTTTATAGTTTTTCTGTGTCTTTTCCTTTTCCCTGTATACTTTCTTTAATAGTTGTTACTAACGTAGTCGTCGTTCGTTTCGCTCTTGCGTCTTTTCTGTTTTCTATGAGAAAAAAAAAAACAAAAACAAAAGAAATCTTAAATTATCACTTTTATTGTTGCTGCCCGTTGTTGTCGGAGAGAAGTTGTCATTTATCTGTCGCACTTTGTTTTGTGTGAAAAATCAATTCAAACGTTTTGTTGTTGGGAAGAAAATTGGAAAATCCCACACAACCACATTTTCTCTTTTTCTTTCAAAGCAGGGAATTAAGTGATCCCTTTTTATTGGATCTTTAATTCTATACGCGTTTCTAATCTCTTTATCTGTTGCTCTTCTTCAACAAATTTAGTTGTTCACTATAAGATTAATGCTCGTTTATTTCCTATTGTTTGTCCATAGACAAAACGTCAATAGAAAAAAACTTGTCTACAGACAGAAATCAGCAGCTAGCTTCTTCTTCCTCAAGGCAAAATGAAATCATCGTTTGGTTAAAATATTTCGGATGAATTTGATACAATAAACCACTTGTCGCGTAATTTGTTCCACACCTTCGGTTATTTCTATTGCACAACTTACTTTTTCTAATAGCTTTTACGTTTCTTTTTATAAATTGTAAAAATCTGTTAAATAAAAAATTAGAACGAAACTATTATTGTGTTTGGTATGGAGAAAACGCAGTTGTATAATTGTGTAGTACATTTTAATAATGCTTGCAGAGATGTAAAAATTGAGTTCCACGTATGGTATTGATCAGAGGCAAACCACAATGACGGCGTGTAATGCTAAGTTCACATGGCACGTGATTTGCTCTCTATTCCTTGTTCGATATTAATTAATAGCATGTTTCCATTGGAAACCGAACAACGTCGTTCGCTCCATGGTACAATGAAGAGAAGGTAGGTCAACTTTGAAAAAATTGCAAGTATAGAGGTCTACCTGTTTGGCTTGTAATGTCAGAATTAGTATCAAAACAATAAAAAATCAAACAACTTGTTGCATTTATTTTGAATAAATAATTGAAAACCGCGATAACTGAATGAAAGGTCAACACTTCTTTTCAAAATCATGTACTATATATCTCTAAAGGATTATTTCGCTACAAAAACTCTAGATTTTGTCGATGCATACGTTGAAAAAAACATTTTGAAAACACCCGAATTTGAAGTTTTCTGAACAATTTTTTTGTTTTTGAAAAGAAAACACATACATAAACAAATAAAGATGACATATTAAGCCAAGAAAATAAAAAAAAATTAAAATCATATGGTATCATAGCCCTACCTTGATATCATTGTACCATGGTTCGCTCTCAGAATTAGGTACACGAATTAACCCGTTGTTCAAATCAAATCATTCTCAGAACAACGAAAAAATATGTCCCATGAAATTAAAAATAGAAAAATACAAAAATATGTTCAAAATGTCAACATTTACACAAAAAGTTGAAAACATGAATGAAAATTGTAATTTTTTTTATTTTTATTTATTTATTCAATTTCCATTCCATAATACCAAAATATTCCTGAGAAAACTTAAAACTAATAACATTATCCATAACAAAATCTCATATATATTAATGATATAATAATAATAATTAATGATATAATAAATCTTTGGAAGAAAAACAATTATTTCTTCTATTCGTATTATAGAGAATTTCACTTATTTTCGTATAAATTTCCATTAAAATCAACAATGTTTTTGAAAAAGGGAATTTTTTACTATGAATTACGAATCGTGCCGTATGAATGGGTCAATTCGTGTACCTAATTCTGAGAGCGAACAGCATGATTGAAAGTGAGAATGAGAACATAGCATAATAGTATTTTTCCAAGCATGACGTTTTTCAACAATTTTTACAGATTTAAATAATTTTTTCATTCAACATTGTCAATTCCAAACTTGGTTTGACAGTTCATTGTTCCAGCAGCTGTGTCGATGCGTCTATCTATATTCTTCTACCATAGTTTCCAAGGCTTTCAAAAACGTTGTTCGCTACCACAATTACGTATACCACGTAACATGGTAGAAGAGCCATTGATTACATTTTGTATTTGAATAAAGAACTTAAAATTGTATTTGTTCATTATAAATCATGCGAAAATGCAGCAATGTATAAACACTTTTTTCGAAAATTCCCAATCTGGTAACATTTCCTGCAGGAATTGTTCTACAAGTTTTTCATAAGAGACTGAGGTAGTTTTATGCTCTATTGCAAGAATACTGTGAAAAAGTATATAGAATGTTACGACAAAAATAAGTAGATTTTTACATTTTTTCTTATACGACACAAATCGTGGGTGTTATGATATACATTTTTCTTTAAAAAAAATTAAATAATTTTTCATTCAACATTTTCAATTCCATAACTAGTTTGAAAGTTCTTTGTCCCAACAGCTTAACATTCTGGTTCTGGTTAACATTCTATATTGTAGACGTGCGATCAATTGGCTGGAAAACATGATCGACAGTGTATACACTACTTTTGAATATTTGACAGTACTACTACGTACTAATATAAGTACTACATATGAAGACTACTACTACTATCTGCAACTGTTCAACAATGAAAAATGACATTCTGTGCAAATCGTCCTTCATTCGGAGAATCAATTTGTAGAATTTGCAGTGCTGAATTTGTGCAGAAAAAAAAAATTAAATTGCAATAATTATAACGAAACGGGAAAACGTTATATTATATACGATCAAGGTAAACAAAAATTTTCTGAAGTTGGTGGAAACAATAAAATCTAAAAACCAATTTCGGTAAAGTGCTCCTTTTGGCCGAAAATGCAAATCCTCCTCTCTTGACAAAGCCCATCCGCAAACGCCGTTCAATTTGTTGTTGTTGAAAGTAAATGGACGCCTTTGTTCAACGGCCGCAGTCGGCCTTTATTTAATTCGCCAAAATATTCCAAAATCAATTTGGCATTTCCCTAAACTTAATGTGTTTGTATAGCCTTCCATTCAATAGTTTTTTTTTGCATCATTTTCCTACATCTAAATATGTAGTAGAGTCTAGTTAAATAATAACAGCACTTGTGAATCGCCCATAGTTTTAATTTTCTGCCGCCGTCATTTTTACGCAGCTGCGGTCTTTGGAGGCAATAGTCAGCGATAAATGAAAAATAGAGAAACAGATTTATTGAAGAAGTAATGCATATTATTCATATTAATTGAGTTGAGTTTGAAGTGGGTATGCAACGAATCGAAGTTCAAACTTGTAATATTGTGAAAATATGCAAATCGAACATGAAAAATTGTGAATAAAGTTGCTGAATAAAAAAACTCCCATAGAAAGAGGAAACAAAGGAACTGCAATTTTATTTGTGAAGTGCAAGTGAATTATATGAGATGATGGACACCATCATCTAAGTTTTGCTGTTTTCAATTTGTCACATTCTCTTTCTTATAGGCATTCTTCTCCAATCAAACAAAAACACAATTAAAATACATAATATTAGATAAAACGCAAAAAAAAACAATAGAAAGAACAAAGTGGAATAAACCCAAACTGTGACGTGTATACAATAACAACAAAGCCAAAGAAGAACAAATAAACCAAAAAAGGAAGAAAAACTACAAAATTACAAAAGAAATTTTGATTGGTTTTTATATTATTCCTTGCAAGCAAAGAAGAGCAGAACAGCAAAATGGGTGATTCCGAAAGACAAAGTCTATTGAAGAACGAGGAAAACACTTCGATGTACACCTCTGCAGCGGGTGCCGGTCCCCAAACCCAGGCTAGCGGCGATGCGGGTGTAGCACCTTCCCAGCAACAACCGCAGCAGACAGATGGTAAGTAGAGGTTCAATAACCGTATATGGTTGTTGGTGTAAAAATTACAGTTTATTACCTATTTTTCCTGTTTTTTTTTCTTATTTTTTTCAATCATTGAATGTGGTTGAAACCACAAAAGTGCATCGATTGTAGTAGTTATATTCATTCATCTGTCAACCAAGACACATTTTTTCATTCAATCTCGTCAAGTTACACCCAGCTGACTAGATAAAATTACTGCTATCACCGCTTACTTGCCATTGCTTTTAACTATTCTCTCTGCATAGGATTTGTTATTCATTTTATTTTGAAAACTGTTATTTTATCAGTTTAATTTTTAGGAAACTGTTATTTTATCAGTTTAAATTTTTGAAAATTGTCATTTTATCAGTTAAAATTTGTTTACATTTGCCTAATCTTTGTTGGACAAGTTGTTTCCATGCGATAACAGCATTAAAAGACAAACAATATGTGTTCCATGTTCTGTAGTAAAATATTGCAAATGAGCTTGTAGGTGATTTCAAACAATAGTAGTACACTTAAAAAATCATCTATCTTGTCAAGGACTGATTTTAACACCTTCTATTGCAGGGGAGTTGTTTTTTCTATTATTATAATTTTAATGCAAGTAATGTGAATGTTTGTGTACCTCCAATATGTACCCAGTACAATGTTACAAATTGATTTCGAACCTCATTCTTTCGCAAGCAAGGGCGTTGTACTGTTTGGGTGTAGTGCATCTTCACTATACCCTTATTTTTATAATATGAAATTATATGTGTCGTAAAATTCAAGATTCGATTTGTGATAAATCGCCAAAAAATGTCATTATCTCACAATTTAATCATATAAGTTATGGCTTAAGTTGAGATTAGGAGATGTACTCGGATTGGCCTGGAATTTTTTATCATAGGTAGTTTTTTTTTTACCCTGATTCGTTGGGAGATACCCGGTAATTCTACACCAAAGTTCAGATACATGATCCGGATAGGGGCAATATAATTTTATAAAAATATTATTATATAAATTATAAAAAAAAATCCGAATATCCAGTTCTATTGTTATAGAAGAAAATTATTTTTTTACTGGAAGCCACCAGAATTCGAATATCTGGCCATTTTGCGGTAATAAGTTATATAGGGTGAGATGAAAAAACTGAAACCAACTTCAGACTGCTGTCATTTCTTAGCCACTCGTCCGACAGCTATTAAAATTATTCCACTGATTATATTGTTTACAAGCGTACAAGAGCATTTTGGTGAAATTTTCCAGAAAAAAAGTTATTCGTGATGGAATTCAAGCTTGATAGTGTGATTTCTTTATATTTGGCTGGAAAACCACAAGTGGCTGTCGTTAGAGCACTCCAGCATTTAAATGTGAATAAATCTTTTGTGTCTCGTACCATCGCTCGTTACCATGATACTGGTAGCGTAGCCCGACGTCAAGGAAGTGGACGGAAGAAAACGCGCCACCCATGAATGGCTACAAAATGAGGTTCCTCGCTTCATTTCCAGCGCACAATGGCCACCACAATCTCCGGATACCAATCCGTTGGACTATTGTGTCTGGAGTACTTTGGAAAACAAGGTTGGCACAGAAAACTACTTAAGTGTCGACCACTCCAAGCAAGCGCTTCGCCGGGTATGGGCCGAAATAACGCAGACCAACATTCGGGAAGCGTGTGATGGTTTCATTGGCCGTTTGAAGGCCATTATTCTTGCCAAAGGTGAACAATTCGAACAAATCTAAACTTATTCTAAAATTAGTGCTATTTCCGAAATTTTTTGCTTTCATTCAATAACATTTTTAAAAAAATGTAAAAATTATGGCGTTTGACTTTGTTGCAGTTTTTTTTATCTCACCCTGTAGATACCAAATTATAGTCCACACTTGCCTCTGTAAATTAATGCATAAAATGTTGTTAGCTCTTGTAGTTCTTAAAGTATTGCTTATAGAAATCATGATATTCATATTAAAATTGCTCCCAATTTTGATTCTTCAAATTGATTCTAATAGGCTTCCATCACAAATCTGATAAATAAAGTACATTGCACCGTTTTTGGAATTCAATCCCATTTTCTTGCCCAAAAACTTCTGTGATTTTACACTTCCTCTTCTTCGTGGTTAAAAACTGTCACTCCAAAACATTTCATGTATATCCCTTATAAAATGGTATTCCCCAAACTACATGTTTTTAATATCGTACTTGCATATACCGACCTTCCGAACCGGCTTTGCATTTTCATTGCTGATTTTTAGGTTGCCAAAAAGGTTTATTTAAATTTATTAATTGATTAGCAAATTAAACCAATCATATTTGAATACCTACACGCACTTACGCATATTAATTGCTATTGCATTTAACCGTTCGAGAAACAACTCTTATTTTTCTTTACCTACATAAAACACTCTGCATTCTGCCGCATATCACAACAATAACATTGTAACAATTGTTGTTTTTGTGAGTGATACAACACCAACATGCACACATTTATGTGTATAAATAACACAGTGCTTGCACTTATGACTCATTCATTGAGTTATCACGTTTCGAAGCTGTTATGGGCCAAACAACAGACACTCGAATTCATTTTTTTCTTTTTTGTTTATAATCATGTGTGTACCAATATACTCACACTGGGCCCTATCAGTCAGGCCAAATAATCAACTCTTTAATAAAACCCTTTGTTCGTTGAATATTATTTGGAGTAAAAATGATGACAAGGAGCACGTATAATATAAAATGGGACTCTCCATATATAAATATATCGAAATATCTAAATAGTTTGATTTATATATAAGTTGCATAGCATAAAACAATAGATCTCTGCTCAAGATTTTATTTAACTGTTCAAGTGACGTTTATTCCTCTACCAGTTTCTTGCAAGTCATTCAATCAAGCCTTGCTGTCTATGCTATTTATTTGTTGTTATAAATTCCATAATGAAAACCGTTATTCAACTTAGCACAAGATTTACACATACAACATAGCCGGTTATTTCATTAATAAAATATTTATGCCATTTAGAATATTTGTAAGAATATAATGCAAATATTTGTTATTTATATGAAGGCATCAATTGTTTTATGTAAACAATTTTTTTCCAGATATGCTGCTAAATTATGAAAAGTAAAAAAATAAAAGAAAATCAGTAAAAAAATCTTAAAGTCGGGCGGGGCCGACTTTGTGATACCCTACACCACTTTGCTAATTTAGTAGAGCTCCGCATAACAATTAAAAGTTTTTATGGGAGAATTCAATCACACAAGTTATGATTATAATTATAATTTAAAGATCAAAGGACTAAATATGCCGAAGCATATATATCTTTTAAATTCGGACATGTGTTGCCCATTTGGTGCACAAATAATTTAAAATCGGATAAAAATATTTATGGGAGCAATATCCAAATCTGAACCGATCTCGATATAATTTGGCAAAGATATTTCTTAGCCGTATTTGATTTATTTCCTTGAATATCGTTGTTACGGAGTGCATATTACGGTTGTGGGTAACAAATTTAACAAATCGGATGAACAATATATATGGAAGCTATAGCTATATCTGAACCAATCTTCACCAAATTTGACACACTAGTTTCTAGACTTAATTCGGTTGTAAGTGCCAAATTCCATCCCATTTAGACAAATATTAGACGTTTGGTGCACAATAAAAGGTAAATCGGACGAAGTTATATATGGGAGCTATATCCAAATCTGAACCGATCTCGATAAAATTTCACAAAGATATTTCTGAGCTGTATTTGATATATTTCCCCAAATATTGTTGTTGGAGAGTGCATATTACGGCTGCGGTGGAAAAAAATAACAAATCGGATGAACAATATATATGGAAGCTATAGCTATATCTGAACCGATTTCGATCAAATTTAGCATACTTATTTTGGCCTAATTTGGGTGTATATGCAAAATTCCATACTATTCCGGCTGATATTACACATTTGGTGCACAATAAAAGGTAAATCGGACGAAGATATATATGGGAGCTATATCTAAATTTTGACCGATTATAAAAATGTCAGTCCGTCTGTCCACATATTCTTGTGAACAAAATGCAGGTCGCATTTATTATCCGATTGAGATGTAATTTTCCAAATTGCCGTAATTGAAATTGGCTAGAATCGCTTAAAATTTTGATATAGCTCCCCGATTTCGAGTTAATTGTGCACCAAATAGCCTATATAAGTCCAAATGATCTGGATTTTGGCACACCCAACCGAATTCAGTCCAGAAGCAAGCACAGGGTGAGATAAAGATCTGAAACAACGTTAAACGCTTTAATTTTTATTTTTTTTTTAATTTTATTGAATAAAAGCAAAAAATGTCGGAAAAAGCATCAACTTTTAGAATAAGTTTAGATTTGCTCGAATTGGTCACCTTTGGCACGAATTATGGCCTTCAAATGGCCAATGAAACCGTCACACGCTGCCCGAATGATGCTCTGCGGTATTTTGGCCCATTCCCGGCGATGCGCTTGCTTGGTATTTTTTAGTGTCAACCTTGCTTTCCAAAATACTCCAGACACAATAGTCCAGCGGATAGGTATCCGGAGATTTTGGTGGTCATCGTGCGCTGGAAATGAAGCGAGGAACCTCATTTTGTAGCCATTCTTGGATGGCGCGTGCTGAGTGCGATGGTGCAGTCCTGTTGGAATGTCCAAGGTCTGCGGCCAAAATGTTTGCGTGCCCAAGTCTTTAATACGCCTTCCAGAATATTTTCGTAATAATATTCGGCATTTATTCTGATAACATGGTCGATTAATACGAGCGTAGAGCGACCATTGGCTGTTATGACGGTCCACACCATCGCCATGGCCGGCGCTTGAGTTCTGTTGGCCAACCGAAGGTGCACATTTTCATCTGACCACTTTGGCAAGTAAACACGATCATTTTGTTTGTTTACAACGACGGTTTTCTCATCGGAGAAAACCAAATTCGACAGTTCACCACTATCGGCCAAGCGAATTAACTCTTTAGCTCTTTTGAGTCTATTTTCTGACTGTTGTGGTGTAAGTTCTTGGATTTTTTGGAATACAATGGCCTTACCCCGCGGACGAGTGGGTAATGGCTTAACAGTTGTCGGACGAGTGGCTTAGAAATGACAGCAGTCTGAAGTTGGTTGCAGTTTTTTTATCTCAACCTGTAGATAACATTTTGTGGAAATCGGTTCAGGTATAGCTATAGCTCCTATATATATGTTTCAATCGATTTGGTGTTTATGTCCCTAACATTCGTAATATGCATTCGACAACATTGATATTTGGTACCAGATATTTTATAGAGCCTTTGCCAAATTTTATCGAGATCGAATAAGATGTCGATATAGCTCCCACCTACTTCCACGTGAGGAATATGAAAATATGCGCCACCTATGCAGAGATGAGAGCAGAGCTGAATGTGCCGGTCGAGGGGCACATATATCCGACCACAAGATCTTAGGGGTCACATTCGACAGCATGTTCACATCATCCGCTAGGCCACAGCTGTCTGCGACAAAATAAATTGGAGAAACCAGGATACATTGTTGGCCTCTTATAACGCAATATGTCCGTGGTCAGCTATGCGGCCTCAGTGTGGTCTACTAATATAAGTGCTACGCAGTGGAAAAATATCCAGACCTGCCAGAATTCTGTCCTGAGAACTGCGACAGGGTGCCTCCTCTTGCCACCAGTGTGCCATCTGCATGAAGTGGGGATGGTCCTTCTCGTACCTCAGCATAACCATATGCTTTTGTTGCAGTACATGCTTGGGTGTTATCGTCGGAGTCACTCAAACAAGATAAGCAACCGATTCTCTTCAAATCTCACATATCCCAATATTTTTACAAACATAAGATCTGTTTCGAAGATGTTAGATATTGGTCCACTAATTCTGTTACCTCCACCACAAAGGTTCACTGTTTTCTCTAAGAATATGCGAAATAAGTCAGCGATTCGTTTCAAACTTGGTTTTTCAAAATATTTCTCTCAACAGGGTCTCTGATGTAAATATGAAATTTTTCGGTCCACTGCTTCTGTTACCTCCACCACAAAGGTTCACTGTTTTCTCTTAGAACATGCGAAATAAGTCTGTGATTCGTTTCAAACTTGGCTTATCAAAATATTTCTCTCAACAGGGTCTCCGATGTAAATATGAAATTTTTCGGTCCACTGCTTCTGTTACCTCCTCCTCAAGGGGTCAAAATTTAGATTAAGCTTCTTAAATATGGGATATGTTGGTTGACTCTTGATTAAAAATTGACTAATAAAATTAAAAATGAATCCAAATAACGCAAGCCGTTTTCTAGAAATGATCATAAGTGAAGAAAATATAATTCAAATCTCATGTAAAATAAGTTTTCAGCTTTGTTTTTCAGTATAAGGTCATTTACCAGCTTCCTATATTACATATTCGAAAATAATAACATAATTGTTTTTCTAGGAGTTCCACAGTCGAATGTGCCTTTCATTGGCCCCGATGAAGTGCCACCACCATACCAACAGGGTACCGCTGGTGGTGTACCTATGGTCACCTGTCGTGTTTGCCAAAGTATGATTGATATAACATCAAAACGTGATCAACATGTTGTCAAGTGTCTTCAGTGTAACGAAGCTACAGTAAGAGAAAAAGTACTTTTCAATCCAAACCAAAAGATTAATAATTATTTATATTTTACAGCCAATACGTAATGCACCACCTGGTAAAAAATATGTACGTTGCCCATGTAATTGTTTGCTTATTTGCAAGAGTTCATCTCAACGCATTGCATGTCCACGTCCCAATTGTAAGCGCATAATCAATTTGGCACCCAGTCCAGTAACACCACCCGTACCCACAATGCCGGGTATGTGTCGTGTAACTTGTGGACATTGCTCTGATACATTTTTGGTAAGTTGCTCTACATGCCAGTTAGTAGTTGAAATGGTTCTCATTCGATATTTTTGTATTGTTATTTCCAGTTTAACACATTTCACAATTCGTTGGCCCGCTGTCCACACTGCAGAAAAGTGTCATCGGTGGGCTCACGTTTCGCCTTTGGTCGTGGCATTATTTTCATTATTATAGGTTTAATTGTTTTGATTACTGCTATTGGTATTACCGTTGGTACCCACAGATATGCTCAAGTAAGTATAAAGAAGTATATTTAATAGAATTGCATGCAAAAGTTCAGATAGTTGATACAAAAACTAAAAAAAGGGCAGTTACCAAAGAATATTTAAAAAATTATATTTTTATACCCTACACCACATATTATGTATTTGTGCACTTGTTTGTAACATGGAGAAGGAAGCAAGATAGTCTTATAGTTACTTCTGAGGATCTTGAAAGAATCACTTTCTGGGTCGTTTAATGCATGTCAGTCCGTCCGTTCGTCTGTCCATGTATTCTTGTGAACAAAATGCAAATTATCCGATTGAGCTGAAATTTTCCAAAAAAATATTTGTTTGGCCAAAGGACGAACCCTATTGAAACCGGTGATAATCGGATTAGATTTAGAAAAAATCTTCCATATATCTTGAACCGATGTCGGGTTAATTGTGCACCAAATGATCAATATAAGTCGAGATGTCCTGAATTTTGGTACATCCCACCGAATTCAGTCTAGAAGCAAGTACATCAAATTTGGAAAAAAAAATCAGTTCATCAGATACTGCTCGGATGTACCTCTGTCAAATTTTATCAAGATCGGTTCAGATTAGGATATAGCTCCCATATATATCTTTATACAATATCAGGTTTATTGTGCACCAAATGGCTAATATCAGCTCGAATGGAGTGAATTTCGGGACGTACGTTTCCATTTTGTGGAACTCGGCTCCGATATATATTTTTTAATATAATTCTTCTCGAAGTGATATCACACAAACTCTATAGCAATGTTATTTGGTATAAAAGATTAAAATGTCCCCGTCAAATTTAGTGAAAATCGATTCAGAAATGGATTTGCCTCCCATACCCATAGACTGCTGTCATTTCTAAGCAACTCGTCCGGCAGCTGTTAAAATTATTCCAGTGACAGCTCATTATATTGTTTACAAGCGTTCAAAAGCATTTTGGTGAGAATTTTCCAGAAAAGAAGTTATTCGTAATGGAATTCAAGCGTGATAGTGTGATTTCTTTATATTTGGCTGGAAACCCACAAGTGGCTGTCGTTAGAGCACTCCAGCATTTAAATGTGAATAAATCTTTTGTGCCCGGTACCATCGCTCGTTACCGCGATACTGTTAGCCTAGCTCGTCGTCAAGAAAGTGGACGGAAGAAAACAGCAACGTCAGCAGAAATGGTCGAAAAGTAAAGAAGCGACATGATTGAAACCCGCGTCGCAGTGGCCGAAAAATGTCTCTTAAGCTGAGCATATCGCAATATTCCATTCAGCAAATATTGAAAAATGAGCTCGGGGTGGTATATCAATTGAAATTCCAAAAAGTGCAAGAACTTACACCGCAACAGAAAGAAAATAGACTAAAAAGAGCTAAAGAGTTGATTCGCTTGGTCGAAAGTGGTGAACTGCCGAATTTGGTTTTCTCCAATGAGAAAACATTCGTTGTCCAGCAATTTGTAAACGAACAAAATGATCGTGTTTACTTGCCAAAGAAATCAGCTGAAAATGTGCACCTTCGGTTGGCCACCAGAACTGAAGCGCCGACCATAGTGATGGTGTGGGCCGCCATAACAGCCGATGGTCGACCATCATATCATCAGAATATATGCCGAATATTATCACGAAAATATTCTGGAGGGCGTATTAAAGCCTTGGGTACGCAAACATTTTGACCGCAGACCTTGGACATTCCAACAGGACTAGCACGCCCAACCCGAGAATAGTTTAAAAATTGAGGTTCCTCGCTTCATTTCCAGCGCACAATGGCCCTTAAAATCTCCGGATACCAATCCGTTTGACTATTGTGTTTGGATTATTTTGGAAAGCAAGGTTGGTACTAAAAAATACCAAAGTTTCGATCACCTCGAGCAAGCGCTTCGCCGGGATTGGGTCAACATACCGCAGAGCAACATTCGAGCAGCGTGTGACGGTTTCATTGGCCGCTTGAAGGCCACAATTCGTGCCACAGTTGACCAATTCGTACAAATCTAAACATATTCGAAATTTTGATGCTATTTCCGACATTTTCTTGCTTCCATTCAATAAAATTAAAAAAAAAATGTAAAAATTATGGCATTTGACTTTTTGCGGATTTTTTTCTCATCCTGTATATTATTTGCCTCTGAAACGAGACTGTAACTTCTCTAAAGCCAAATGTTGATAGGTGGTATGATCTACTTCAAAATAAATGCTCTTGTTACGGAGCTCTACTAAATATGCATAGTGGTGTAGGGTATCACATAGTCGGCCCCGCCCGACTTTTGACTTTTCCTTAGTGGTTTTCGAATAAATGTTTATATTTTACTTTAACATTTTTCCATAATTACAGGATCATGCGGGCATTTATGTAGCATATATTGGAATATTTTTAATTGGCGCCTTCTTATGCGGCCGCTCGCTTTATTACTTCCGCTTGAAAGTAAGCCATGTCGATGGACCTATGTAAGAACGTATTCAACCAGCTTTTTGTAGCAGCATTCCTTTTGATATTATATTGAAAAGTAAAAAAAAAAAAAACAACCAAAACACATAAAATTTACATGTTTTCTACACTTAAAATATGAGAAAAAACAGCAACAACATCAGCAACCACAAATGCAATTGTGTAATTACAAAAGAACAAACAAAATGTTATGTAAAACAGAAGAAGAATATACAGTACGGAATACATACAAAGAAAGATCCGCGCATAAACATCATACACCCCATATTCTTATATACATTAAAAATTTAATTTAATTGAAGCAAATAAACAAAAAAAAGTATTTAATATACTCTGTTATAAAAATAGAAGTCGAAGCAACTAATTAATGAGTAGCAACAGCTGCAGCATTATTGAATACAACATCTAGATGATGCTGGTGATAGTAGCATAAATAAATAAAATGGTATGACACAATAAAAGCAGTGATCATCTATCATTCTCGATTAAAACAAAAATGCCATATGTGTGTATTATGTACGTTATCTTGCAAAACAAAAAAAAAAAGTGAGGAATCTCTAACTCTATCCCTTCCTTTCTTCCTTAAAACAAAACATCAGCCACTCTTTAACACACATAAATACACAGACAATTAAAAAAATTAGTATATTTCCAATTTTCAATAAAAAAATCTAAATTGAAATTACCCTGGTTATTTTCTATTTTACATTGTAATGGAACAATATTCAAATACCAATTCATAAAAGTGACCATGTTCATTTCGGCCTATTTAATTCAAGTATACACTTTCTATATTCTTTCAGCTTTTAAGCGACTAGCAATTACATTAAAGTTTCGCGTATAGTTTCAATCTTGCTTGCAATACTTGTTCAAAACATCTTCATTTAGACATGTTTTTCCTCCCTAATTCCGTTTGGCTTTTATTTATTTAAGTTCTTCTTCCCCAAAAAACAAACCTCAATTTTGGCGTCCAATCGTTTATTTAAAAGTTTTTTTGTTTGTTACATTTAAAAATAAAATCAAAATTTATAGAAATAAATACAATCATCTCCCTCCCCCCGTTCTCTCGTAAAGGTTTATTTTAGCATTTTATATATACACCTAAAAAATACATTTATCAATATTTATAAATACATTATTATATCTTTGTACTTTCTTTTTATATGCGCATATATTAAAACGTTATATTTTTCTTTGGCTCTCAACAGTTGAAGAAGGAAGCATCAAACATGTAATTTATCTCAATTTACGATTTTATTTTTCTTTTCTTTCTTTTTTTTTTTTTTGCTATAAACAAAACAAACAGAAAAATAATTTCGATAACAACATTTAATATTAAACGAAAATTATAATTATATATAAATTGATTCTTATAATTACGATACCATTTATTGTAAATAAAACGTAAAATAAATAAGTTTAAACCCTCTATTAATGTTTGTGTATTGTTATTTTTTTTTTCGACGCCTACGCGGAATGGAAGGTTATGACTTGTGGTTTATTGTACATAATAGGTGTGTCTGGTTACTTTTCCTGCAGGAAATGTCCAGCAACTACTTTCTGAGAGAGTAAGGTAGCTTTATTCTCTTTTACAAGGAAAATGTGAAAAGTAAACAGACTGTATTCCTGCAACTAATCGGCTGATTTGTCAAAACAAACCAATTTACAAGAAAGAAAGCACCACCAATTGTAAAAGTTTTATGAATAAAAAGGAAATTAGCAATATAATAAAAATGTGAGCAATAAAAGAAAGATTGATTTGATGTGTTCCCCGGAATCCTTTAAACGTGTTGCTAATGACGCTTGTCTAAAAATGTTATTAAACTCTCTGTGAATAAACTGTCAAAATTGTTCTCTCAAATCGCTCTCGTTTGCAAATCTTTGGTATTAACAGACGAGATTCATTTACAATTTGCAACAATTGTTACCAATTTTAGTCAAATTTTATTGAGGTCGGTTTCAGATTTTTGACATTTCTTTGCTGGATTTATTTTGCCAAACGCAAAATGGCAGAATTCTGACACATACTATACCTTTACATTATACTTGTCTCCAATTCTCATTATGCGAGTTTATAGGAGAGAAAGGTAAAGGGCCCCGTACACGATCAAAATAAATAACATCAAAACGTGTACATAAATCTTTCAGCACACATGGTTCATGCAACCATTAAAAAAAAAGAGAATGAAAACAATAAGAGAAATAAAAGCATCTGGATAAAAAAGTGGTACAACAATGAAAATGAATTCACGTATGAAAATTTATTAGTTGAATTAAGTGTCATTGACAAACGTTTTTAAATAGTTCCACTTACGAGAAATTACTAAGCCTTGTTGAGCCTTTAACTAAAAAAGAGATACCAACATACGTGAAGTTATTCCCTCAAGTCTTTGATTATCAACTAAACTGCGATATACTGTCACAGGATGTCATTTTATATTGAGATATAAAATTTTCAAGTGCTTTATCCGCCCGTTCTGTTTTAAACTTTTGCTGTGTTTCAGTAACTGCAAGAATCCAATAGTTCTGCAATTTTTTCCATATCATAAAGGGAAACTCGGTTATCGTAGTAAAATTTTTAACATACTTGCAGTTGTGGAACATGCAAGCTATTATTACATATTTAAAGGAATATATAAGGTAAGATTTGTTTGTATATTATTTATTTACATCTTTATTTATTTATGATTACAAACTATCTTCTTCCTCGTAACTTTTGATTGGAGGAGTTGAAGAACGGCTTTCGTCCGAAAAGGCAATTGTATTGGTTAACCCAGTATTAAAATTTAGAAGACCCAACTCGCCATGGAAAATAACGTCGTTTATTAATTTTTCGGCAAAAATTCGCTGAATGTGGTCAATTTTCGAAAGCTTCTCTGCCCATACACTCGCAATGCTATGATTGGAAACTTCTGCTTTTTTCAAACGTTTTGTTGCAAGGATAACTAGCTCGTTGGTGGCAGAAGTCTTCTTTTTCTTTGGTACAGATCCTTTGCCAGGCTAAATTAGAAATACAAAAAATGATTAGAGACAATGAAGTAAATATTTTATAATTACCGATCCCAGAGACTCAAGAATAATGGTGAAATGTGGAATTTTTACCATTTTCTAGGCGCCGTGTACTGTAAACATTTCGCCATAACAAAGCCATAAAGATCTGATTCATTTTATTATAACTATAAAAAGTTCTTCAGCGTTTGCTGCTGTAAATGCCAACTATAGTTGGCATAATGGTAGAATTTCTGATGGAGATGCCTTTCTTCTTACTTCTATTATAAAGATTTTTTTTGAAAATCGAGATGCAAGTCCTGAATTAGCTCTTTGTGCCTTCCATACGTCATTGTTGGGGACGATGCATTCCAACTAACTGACAACTTCATAAAACCATTTGCTCAGATTGCGGAAGAGCAGAAAATATGTAATTACTGCCTGAGCTGGACACGTCGAGTTGTCGAAAATGCTAAAAGAGTTGCTTCGCTTGGCCGAAAGTGGCGAACTGCCAAATTTGGTTTTCTTCGATGAGAAAACATTCGTTGCCCACCAGTTTGTAAACAAACAAAATGATCGTGTTTACTTGCCAAAGAGGTGAGCTAAAAATGCGCACCTTCGGTTGGCCACCAGAACTCAAGCGCCGGCTATGGTGATGGTGTGGGCCGCCATAACAGCCAATGGTCGCTCTCCGCTCGTATTAATCGACCGTGGCATTATAATAAATACCGAATATGATCACGAAAATATTCTGGAGGGTGTATTAAAGCCTTGGGCACGCAAACATTTTGGCCGCAGACCTTCGAAATTTCAACAGGACTCAGCACCATCGCACTCAGCACGCGCCACCCAAGAATGAGGATCCTCGCTTCATTTCCAGCGCACAATGGCCACCAAAATCTCCGGATACCAATCCGTTTAGAAAGCAGGGTTGGCGCTAAAAATACCAAAGTGCCGATCACCTCAAGCATGCACTTCACCGGGAATGGGCCAAAATACCGCAGAACATCATTCTGGCAGCGAGTGGCGGTTTCATTGGCCGTTTGAAGGACATAATTCGTGCCAAAGGTGACCAAGTCAAACAAATCTAAACTTATGCTAAAAATATTCGAAATTTTTTGCTCTCATTCAATACAATTTAAAAAAATGTAAAAATTAAGGCGTTTGACTTTGTTGCAGTTTTTATCTCACCCTGTATGTAATAACATTTCTCATAATAATACGTGTACTTACTCGAAATGATCGGGGTTTACTAAATTTCCTTGGGGTTTCAATTTCATCAATTTCATCTAAAAATCTCAATGCATCGAAGTAGTAGAGAGAAGTTTTAAATGCTCCACCTGTTCCACTTTTCTCCAAATCCTTTTTTCGCTTTAATTCGCGTCTATAATTAGTACGCAACGTATTTATTTTTCTTGTCAAGTCTTTCTTCTCGGCATTTGGGTATTGTTCACGGTATTTCGACATCAAAACTTCATATTGATTTTCTTTAATAGCCCGCTTGCTATATTCTTCAGATTTAACATCCCAAAGTGCTGGCAACGACCGGTAAACTTCCAATAACTCAATAATATGTTTTTTCTCCGTATCCGACATCTCTATACACCCAAGCGTCACAAATGAGAAAGAATATGCATGATCTCTCAACCGCACACACGTCAAAGTAAGTTGAACGTCAAGCACGAGAAAAATAAAAACAAATGGTGATTTTGCTTCAAGCATCGTAGGTGTGACGCATACAAATTTTTCACTAACACCACAAAATGCATGTCATGCATTTTGACAGACTTAGGCAATCCATAAAAAATACGTTCCAAGATAGTGGTAATACGCAATAAGACAACAAAATTATCATCAAAAACAATTTAAAATAATTGTTATAGTCTAAACATTAATTATTTTTTAATTTTTGAGAAAAATTTCGAAGGTTGACACACTCCCAGTTGGACAAAATACACAGGTTTTAAGAAGAATAGAGTATAGTCTCTTTGCATAGTCCTTCAACCGTTCAAATTGTAAATCGTATTCAATTCCAATTTTACATGTTTTCGTAAATATTAGAAATAAAATATTGTAATTCTTGTCATTATTTTCAACATCGTCTCTAAATTGTTCGTCCAATTAAAATTATGGCAGATGACGATGATAAACCTAAGAAACATACATTGGAATCCCTATTTCATCTGTATGCCAACAATATTGTTGTAACCATGGACCTGGACAATGAAGATTACGATTGCATTTTGTTGTCACAAATTGATTATTGGTTGGAACAGGCAAAATTATTGCGAACAACATTTACTGTAACAGAAACGGGTTTGGTATACATGGAATTTAGGTGAATTGTTTTAATAAAATCGTATTGGGAGTATTATTAAAATTATTAATTTTTTTAGAAAATGGCGTTTAGATTATGAAGAGTTTTTAGATTTTCTAGAAAAAATCTGTGAGGGGAAAAATGTCACTGTCGAAGAAGTTAAGACATTTCTCTTGGAGGCTGGAGTGCCTGGTACGGGTTCCAGTGACGTTGTGGTCGTGAAATAAATTGACGATTACAAACAAAATACCAAAACAGATTAAAAGAAAATTAAAACAATTTTGGATGGATTTTAACTTTAACATGCGATATTTAGACATTTTCATCGAATTTTTTTGTAAACAAGTTAAAATCGACAATATTTCGATGTCGAATGCGGGAATTTAGCCAATGATCTAAAACTGACATTCCCCATTACCCAAAATTAATAAAATAAATTAGGTAATTTCCTAAGTCCAAATGATGCAATAGTTTTTTTTAGAAATTTTAAATAAAAATTGCACAAAATTTCTTTAAGTGTGGAAATATTTAAATTTATTGAAATCCAAATGGTTGATAATACAAATGTTCAATCTCTAGTAATCATCAGAACGGAAAATTATAGACATTTTATTTGGATTTTCATTGATAGAGAATTTAGAATGAGCCTCCGCGAAGACGAAGTACAAGATGTAGGGTCGATTCCTTTTGAATATTGTAATCGGACAAGGTGCGGCCATCTTCTAATTGTTTGCCAGCGAAAATCAAACGCTGTTGGTCTGGGGGAATACCTTCCTTATCCTGGATTTTGGCCTTGACATTTTCTATGGTATCTGATGGCTCAACTTCCAAGGTAATAGTTTTACCTGTCAAAGTCTTGACGAAAATTTGCATTCCACCACGGAGACGCAGGACCAAATGCAAAGTTGACTCCTTCTGAATGTTGTAATCAGATAAGGTACGACCATCTTCTAGCTGTTTGCCAGCGAAAATCAAACGCTGCTGGTCTGGGGGAATTCCTTCCTTATCTTGGATTTTGGCCTTAACATTTTCAATGGTATCTGAAGGCTCCACTTCCAAAGTGATCGTCTTTCCTGTCAATGTCTTAACGAATATTTGCATTCCACCACGAAGACGTAGGACCAAATGCAAAGTTGACTCCTTCTGAATGTTGTAATCAGATAAGGTACGACCATCTTCTAGCTGTTTGCCAGCGAAAATCAAACGCTGCTGGTCTGGGGGAATTCCTTCCTTATCTTGGATTTTGGCCTTAACATTTTCAATGGTATCTGAAGGCTCCACTTCCAAAGTGATGGTTTTTCCTGTCAAAGTCTTAACGAAAATTTGCATTCCACCACGAAGACGTAGGACCAAATGCAAAGTTGACTCCTTCTGAATGTTGTAATCAGATAAGGTACGACCATCTTCTAGCTGTTTGCCAGCGAAAATCAAACGCTGCTGGTCTGGGGGAATTCCTTCCTTATCTTGGATTTTGGCCTTAACATTTTCAATGGTATCTGAAGGCTCCACTTCCAAAGTGATCGTCTTTCCTGTCAATGTCTTAACGAATATTTGCATTCCACCACGAAGACGTAGGACCAAATGCAAAGTTGACTCCTTCTGAATGTTGTAATCAGATAAGGTACGACCATCTTCTAGCTGTTTGCCAGCGAAAATCAAACGCTGCTGGTCTGGGGGAATTCCTTCCTTATCCTGGATTTTGGCCTTGACATTTTCAATTGTATCCGAAGGCTCCACTTCCAAAGTGATGGTCTTTCCAGTCAAAGTCTTGACGAAAATTTGCATTCCTCCACGAAGACGTAGGACCAAATGCAAAGTTGACTCCTTTTGGATATTATAATCCGACAACGTACGACCATCTTCTAGCTGTTTGCCAGCGAAAATCAAACGCTGCTGGTCAGGGGGAATACCTTCCTTATCTTGGATCTTGGCCTTAACATTTTCTATGGTATCTGAGGGCTCCACTTCCAAAGTGATGGTCTTTCCAGTCAAAGTCTTGACGAAAATTTGCATTCCTCCACGGAGACGTAGAACCAAATGCAAAGTTGACTCCTTTTGAATATTGTAATCGGATAAGGTGCGGCCATCTTCTAATTGTTTGCCAGCGAAAATCAAACGCTGCTGGTCTGGGGGAATACCTTCCTTATCTTGGATTTTGGCCTTGACATTTTCAATGGTATCTGAAGGCTCTACTTCCAAGGTAATAGTTTTACCTGTCAAAGTCTTAACGAAAATTTGCATTCCACCACGAAGACGTAGGACCAAATGCAGAGTTGATTCCTTCTGAATATTGTAATCGGATAAGGTGCGGCCATCTTCTAATTGTTTTCCAGCGAAAATCAAACGCTGCTGGTCTGGGGGAATACCTTCCTTATCTTGGATTTTGGCCTTGACATTTTCTATGGTATCTGATGGCTCCACTTCCAAAGTGATGGTCTTTCCAGTCAATGTTTTAACGAAAATTTGCATTCCACCACGAAGACGTAGAACCAAATGCAAAGTTGACTCCTTTTGAATATTGTAATCGGATAAGGTACGACCATCTTCTAGCTGTTTGCCAGCGAAAATCAAACGCTGCTGGTCTGGGGGAATTCCTTCTTTATCCTGGATTTTGGCCTTGACATTTTCTATGGTATCTGATGGCTCCACTTCCAAAGTGATGGTCTTTCCAGTCAAAGTCTTGACGAAAATTTGCATTCCACCACGAAGACGGAGAACCAAATGCAAAGTTGACTCCTTTTGAATATTGTAATCAGATAAGGTGCGGCCATCTTCTAATTGTTTGCCAGCGAAAATCAAACGCTGCTGGTCTGGGGGAATACCTTCCTTATCTTGGATTTTTGCCTTGACATTTTCTATGGTATCTGATGGCTCTACTTCCAAGGTAATAGTTTTACCTGTCAAAGTCTTGACGAAAATTTGCATTCCACCACGGAGACGCAGGACCAAATGCAAAGTTGACTCCTTTTGAATGTTGTAATCAGATAAGGTACGACCATCTTCCAATTGTTTTCCGGCGAAAATTAAACGCTGTTGGTCTGGAGGAATGCCTTCCTTGTCCTGAATTTTAGCTTTTACATTTTCAATTGTATCCGAAGGTTCCACCTCCAATGTAATTGTCTTGCCGGTCAAGGTCTTCACGAAGATCTGCATTTTCTAGCTGCATAAATCAGATATAAATCGGAATTAGTTTGATTTTTTAAAAATCAATTTTAATAAAATTAAAAAAGAATAGCTTACTCACAGATATTTCAATATTAATAATTTCAGTTGTAAAGAACGTCTTGTAATAACGCCAACTTGTGAAATTGTGTATACTGGTGAAAAAATGCTGACTCATTGTATAAATGTTCACCGAGCCGTTGTAAAATTGATAACGGCGACACTTTTTGTTGAGATGTAATCATGGAAAGTCACTTTACAGTAGGCAAGTTTACTTGCGGCAAGTCCCAGTGTGTTCTCAGAGGGGAAATGGTGAATTTAAACTAATGAAGATTAACCTTTGGGTTTATTTACACCCTAAAGAGATAATATAAATGCCGCTAAGTTGATGTTTGTTTAATGTATACATACATACACAACTCAAACATGATGTAACAAAAAACCTCATATAAACACCATAAGTGTTGAAAAATAACTGTTTATTCGCCTTGGTGACATTCTGCTAGAAAAACATTATCCCAATGCGAAATATAAAAGTACCTTCCGCAATATATTTATGTTACAATATTTATGTCTGTCTTTTGGTTATTTTAACACTCAACAAAGATATTTGGTAGTGAAGTGCAAGTGCAAGAATGTACAAGTTTTAACTACGATAACCGATGTTTCCTTTATGATATCTCAAAATCTCAAAAGTAGTACATTCTTGCAGTTCTGGTACATACCAAATATATTTGTTGAATGTTAAAAGAGTGGTCAAGAGAACAAAGTTAGCTTGTGAGACAAAATCTAAAAGCCAACTGCTAAGGGTTTTTTCAGACGGGATGTTCTTTTACATATGTGCTGTCAATTTTGTGTAAGGTTTGAAGCATGGTAGAAGAATACAGGTAGTCGTATCGACACAGCTGCTGGGACAATGAACTGTAAAACCGATTTTGGAATTAAAAATGTTGAATGAAAAATTATTGAAATTAGTAAAAATTGTTGAAAATAGCATATCATAACAACCTCCGGTTTGCGTCGTGTAATAAAATATATAAAAATCTACTTGTTTTTGACAAAACATTTTAAAAATTTTGACGCGTCAATGTTCATTAGCATTGATGACTGCATTTTTCTACCATGGTTTGAAGATAAAATTGCAATACCCAAGGATTTGATTCCATTATCTAATGTCGGAAAGAAATGTGCACTTGGGAATGAGATAATTAAAAATATGGCAACTCGAATTATGGATCTCAGTTCTTGTAGCAAAGAAAGAAGAAGCTTACCATTTGTTTTGTTTTGGTGGTGACGCCGACATAAAATCGTCTCGCTTCGTTGTCTGGATATGTTGTGTACATTGATGGTTTTCCTGGATTAGTTCGGAATCACAGGACACACAATGGAACCAGAACTTGATCTCAAAGTTAAGGAGCAACCGGCGAGACCATTTAAATTATAAGTATTTCCTACTGCAGTCTGAAGAAAAGTTAATTTTCAATGAGATTTCTTTTCGTTTCAGCACGGCTCACCAAATTGTTAGTTTAACCGGAATTAGTTTCGAAAGAAAAAGTATAATTGTAAGTGATCAAAGTAAAGAGATTTGCCTTATACGTTATTTGCACATATTAATACTTCCAGGGAGCTGTGGAATTAACAATTGTTCCCACAAAGGAAAATTTAAGAATCATACGTTTGAATGCCAAACAGTGCCGTGTGTACCGGGTGTTGCTGAACGATGTCTGTGAAGCAGATTTTGTTTATTTCGATCCATTTTTGGATATATGCCAGGGAGATGCCAAAACGTATGTTCATATAAGTAACATGCAGAATAGGAGCATAATATTTATACATTTCTTTTCAACAGCCGTTCATTGGAGACTTTTTCCAAGTTCCATTTAACAGCGGCACAGAAAACAGATCCCGATGCAAATTGTGGAGAATTGCTGATCCAGGTGCCACCCGAAGGCTACCATATGATACAAGAGGGACGTGGGCTACGAATTGGCATTGAATTCTCTTTGGAGAATCCTCAGGGCGGCATACATTTTGTCATACCGCCCACGAATGACGACGATCCCCAACCCAACAGTGCCCATATGTACACACATTCCTATGAGAACTCGTCACGTTTGTGGTTTCCATGCGTTGATAGTTTTGCAGATCCGTGTACATGGAAATTGGAGTTTACTGTGGACAAGCATTTAACTGCTGTTTCTTGTGGCGAACTAATGGAAGTGGTGATGACGCCCGACTTGCGTAGGAAAACTTTTCACTATTCCCTAAATGTGCCAGTGTGTGCTCCAAATATTGCATTAGCCGTGGGACCCTTTGAAATCTATGTCGATCCACATATGCATGAAGTAACACACTTTTGTTTGCCACAGCTGTTGCCGTTGCTCAAGAACACTGTGCGCTACTTGCACGAAGCTTTTGAGTTTTTCGAAGAGACCTTATCTACCCGCTATCCGTTCTCATGCTACAAACAGGTATTTGTAGATCACGCAGATGCAGATATAAGTGCCTATGCCACAATGAGCATAGCTTCGGTACATCTTTTGCATAGCATAGCTATAATTGATCAAACTTATGTTTCGCGAACTCTCATGTCTAGAGCTGTGGCGGAACAGTTTTTTGGATGTTTTATAACGTCACATCATTGGTCAGATACTTGGCTGGCCAAGGGCATTGCGGAGTACTTATGTGGCCTCTATTCACGCAAATGTTTTGGCAACAATGAGTACCGCGAATGGATACAAAAAGAGCTGGACAGGGTGGTGAAGTATGAGGAGCAGTATGGCGGTATTATTTTGGATTGTAGCCAGCCTCCTGCACCGCTGCCTGTGAGTAGCACTAATCCGGCGGCTTCCTCAGCCAAACATCAGGAAATTATTCACTATTTCCCCATAAAAAGTTTACACACGGTTTCTCCAAAATATGTGGACGCCATGAGGAGGAAAGCCCATTTGGTTATACGAATGGTGGAGAATCGTATAGGCCAAGAATTGCTAATACAGGTTGAAAATAGGAAAAAAGTTGGCCAATAATTTGCATATTTTAATTGTTTTGCTTTTTAAGGTATTCAACAAACAACTGGCCTTGGCAACAAATGCGGCTGGGACAAAAATCGGTTCGGGACTTTGGCATCATTTGCTCATATCCACAAATATTTTTATAAAAGCTATTTTCACGGTTACCGGCAAAGATATGTCGGTATTTATGGATCAATGGGTACGCACTGGTGGCCATGCGAAATTCTCGCTTACATCCGTTTTCAATCGCAAACGTAATACAATTGAGCTGGAAATTCGTCAAGATTTTGTTAATCAACGGGGTGTACGAAAATATAATGGGCCACTTTTGGTTCAACTACAAGAGTTGGATGGTACTTTCAAGCATATGCTCCAAATCGAAAATGTTGTGGTCAAGGCGGACATAACATGTCACTCGAAGAGCCGGCGAAACAAGAAAAAGAAAATTCCATTATGTACGGGAGAGGAAGTCGATATGGATCTATCGCCCATGGAGTAAGTTTTTTATACCCTGCACCATAGTATGGAGGGTATATTAAGTTTGTCATTCCGTTTATTATTCCTCGAAATATACATTTTAGATCCCACAAAGTATATATATATATATATATATATATATATATATATATATATATATATATATATATATATATATATATATATATATATATATATATATATATATATATATATTCTTGATCCGTCCGTCCGTCTGACCGTCTGTGGAAATCACTCTAGCTTCCGAACGATATGAAGTAGATTAAAAAAATTTTACTCAAATGTGTATAATGTCTGCAGGACTTTTGGTATTGAAAATGGGTGATGTAGGTCCAGGTTTTGGTATAGCCCCAGGATTTGGTATAGCCCCCATATAATGGTACCTCCCTTTTTTCGGCATTTTGGTGATTTAAGCGACATTTTTCACCGGAAATGTTTGAAATTTGGTATTTGAAGTTCGTAATGGATACTACAGCCTAAGACAGAAAATTGTCTGTGCAAGTCCACGTCTTCGTATAGCCCCCATATAACGGTACCCCCGATATTCGGTATTTTGATGAGTTTAGTGACATTATTCACCGGAATTGTTTCAAATTTGGAGTTTGAAGCTCCTAATGGATACTTAAGACTATGCATGTCCACGTCTTCGTATAGACCCTAATATAACGGCTACATTCGGTATTTTTATGATTTTAACAGAATTTTTAACGGATTTTATTATTTTTATTTGAAAATTGCCAAAATCGTTCCGAATGGTGAAGGGTATTCAAAGATCGGCCCGGCAGCTTATTTACTTGTTTTTAGTTAAATCACTAGAGGTCGAGAAATCCTTTACTTGAAATTGTCTTGCAAATGTTTCCTGGACATAATTCTTTTCCAAGCTAACAATAATTCCTAATTCGGTCCGAATCTCTGTTGAAAATTTTGAAAACAATATAGTTTTGTATAATTATTTTTAATTTCTACTTTTTACTAATGATAGTGACTCACCTGTACTGTGGATACGATTAGATCCGGAGATGATTTTGATAAGAGATTTAAATATCGAGCAACCCGATTTCCAGTGGCAATTTCAACTGAGGCATGAACGTGATGTCACCGCTCAATTTGAGGCTATCAAAGCCTTGGAGAAATATCCCACGAATGCAACCCGATCAGCTTTGACTGATGCCATTGAAAATGAGCAGTTTTTCTATAAAGTTCGTTGCGAGGCAGCAAATTGTTTAACAAAGGTAGGTGGCGTACGATACAATCATATTTTCAATGGCGTTATTTAATACTTTCCTATTTAGGTGGCCAATCAAATGGTTACTCAGTGGAGTGGTCCACCTGCTATGTTGAATATATTCCGGAAATTCTTTGGTTCATTTAGTGCACCGCACATTATAAAACAAAATAATTTCTCGAATTTTCAATTGTATTTTTTGCAAAAAGTTATACCCGTCGCAATGGCTGGTAGGTTTTCCGTTTGTTTTACGTAAAAGTTGAATAATCAATTGCTTGATTCTTTCAGGTCTTCGCACATCTCATGGTATCTGTCCACCGGAAGTCTTGCGTTTTCTATTCGATCTATTCAAATACAATGACAATACACGTAATCATTACAGTGATGTCTACTATAGGTCTGCTTTGGTAAATGCTTTAGGTCATTCAATTACACCAGTTGTATCAGTGGTTTTGAGAGGCACACCCATCACTTCGGATAGTCTTTCAGCAGATGCAAAGTAAGTAGCTGACGTAGATTGTTTATTTTTAATTCATATTGATAATTTAATGACCACTCCAAAAGGCTTGTTCTGGAAGAGGTTACACGTCTATTGAATTTGGAAAAACATTTACCTTCATACAAGTACATGGTATCGGTGTCGTGTTTAAAAGTCATAAGAAAGCTCCAGAAATGTGGCCATTTGCCCTCATTACCCAATATTTATCGCTGCTATGCCGCTTATGGCCAGTATCTGGATCTAAGAGTTGCTGCCATGGAATGTTTGGTAGATTTTGTTAAAGTCGATGGTCGTTGGGAAGATTTGGATCATTTAATAACTCTGCTGGAGACAGATCCGGATCCGGCAGCTCGCCATGCATTGGCTCAGCTATTAATTGATAATCCTCCCTTTACCAGAGAGTCAAAGAGCCGTTTGGACCGTCCCGAGTTGGTGGAGAGGCTTTGGAGCAATATGAAGTAATGCTAAAACTACCGGAATTATTCAGCATACCTTAACATTTCTTTTGCTCTCATTTTAGTAACAAGTTGGCATTTGATACAAAGCTACGCTGTGACATGGTCGATCTTTATTATGCCTTATATGGTACGAGACGCCCACTTTGCTTACAATCGGCCGAAATGAATAGTATGTATAAGGATTTCATACGCGAAGGAACATCAAAGAAAACTTCCAGTGCGGCATCATCCTCCATACCCAAAGTCCTGCCGGAAGTTAAAACAGAGATACGACGTGATGAACCGGATATATTAGAAAGCAAGTCCAATGTTATGACAGCTATAAAACGTACAGCAAGCGAAGCATTTGAAGATACCGATGTTGGAAGTATCAAAATGGAAACTCACGAAGAAATCGCCGTTGTTAATGAAATAATAAAAGATGAAATTTACGAAGATGGCGTTAAAAAATTGGAAGTTTCCCATGTTGAAAGTGAAACATATGTTTCGGAGACGAAAAAACTTAAAAGCGAAGCATTCGATGAAGATGATAATTCAGTTACAATTATTGATATATCTGAGACTACAATTACACGAATGGACAGTAGTTTTGATTCCTCTAGGGCAGACGGAGACCTGAGACAGAAAATGGATGCCTCTTCAAAGGTTTGTGGATGTCAAGGGGTTTTAGATGAAATTTATTATTTTTTATTTCAATTTTGCAGAAGAAAAAGAAAAAGGACAAAAAGAAGCACAAACACAAGCATAAGCATAAGCACAATCGTGAAAAGGACAAAGATCGTGAACGCCGTGAAAAGCGAGATCCCAATATTTCACGTCTACAGACTAAGGAGGCGGCCACTCCAGAAACCTTAAGTTCGGCTGACAGCAGCAACAGCAATAGCAATCCCCCATTTAATTTTCATACATAGCATCGGCTTTTGAATCACTCCATTAAGTTTGAATCATTTCTGATGAAGAGATAGATAAATAATTGCAAATTTAGAGATAAGGATTTTATATACATATTGAGGTTAACTGTAAGTTATACACCGTATCAATGATAATTGAAATCAGACTTATAGTCTGTCCATGTACAAAATCAAATCAAATAAATAGACATTTCAGATTTATTTTTTCCAATATGAAGGAATTTTCAATTTAAAGAGGTTATATGTTAACCTATACATTGTGACATGAAAAAACTGCAACCAACTTCAGACTGCTGTCATTTCTAAGCAACTCGTCTGAAAGCTGTTAAAATTATTCCAGTGACAGCTCATTATATTGTTTACAAGCGTACAAAAGCATTTTGGTGAGAATTTTCCAGAAAAAAAGTTATTCGTGATGGAATTCAAGCGTGATAGTGTGATTTATTTATATTTTTCTGGAAAACCAGAAGTGGCTATCGTTAGAGCACTCCACCATTAAAATGTGAATAAATCTTTTGTGTCTCTCTCTGGTAGCGTAGCCAAATTCCAAAAAGTGCAAGAACTTACACCGCAACAGAAAGAAAATAGACTCAGAAGAGCTAAAGAGTTGCTTCGCTAGGCCGAAAGTGTTGAACTGCCGAAATTGGTTTTCTCCGATGAGGATACATTCGTTGTCCAGCTGTTTGTAAACAAACAAAATGATCGTGTTTACTTGACAAAGAGGTCAGCTGAAAATGTGCACCTTCGGTTGGCCACCAGAACTCAAGCGCCGGCATGGTGATGGTATGGGCCGCAATAACAGTCGATGGTCACTCTCCGCTCGTATTACTCGACCGTGGCATCAGAATAAATGCCGAATATATTATCGCGAAAATATTCTGGAGCGTGTATTAAAGCCTTAGGCACGCAAACATTTTGGTCGCAGACCTTGGACATTCCAACAGCACTCAGCACGCGCCACCCAAGAATGGTTACAAAATGAGGTTCTTCACTTCATTTCCAGCGCACAATGGCCACCAAAATCCCCGGATACCATTCCGTTGGACTATTGTGTCTGGAATATTTGGGAAATCAAGATTGGCACTAAAAAATACCAAAGTGTCGATCACCTCAACCAAGCGGTTCGCCGGGAATGGACCAAAATAGCACTGACCAACATTTGGGCAGCGTGTGACGGATTGAATTCGTTTGAAGGCCATAATTCGTGCCAAAGGTGACCAATTCGAACAAATCTAAACTTATTCTAAAAGTTGATGGTATTTCCGAAATTTTTTGCTTTCATGCAAAAAAAAAAATGTAAAAATTATGGCGTTTGACTTTGTTGCAGTTTTTTATCTCACCCAGTATTTGTTTGGCATTTGTAATAGAATTGTTTCAACAGAGAAGCGATTATTATGGTCCAATACCATGGTGGAAGAATATAGGTAGACACATCGACACAGCTGCTGGGACAATGAACTGTTAAACCAATTTCGGAATTGAAAATGTTGAATGAAAAATCATTTAAATTTGTAAAAATTAACCTCCGAATGACGTCGTATAAGAAAACATATAAACATCTACTTATATTTTTTGACAGATCAATGTTCCCAAGTGAAGATGCATCTACCTGTATTCTTCTACTATGTCCATTTCCAACAATAATACTTCTATTAAATAAAAGTCCAAACTACAATTTAGTGTTATAAAATAATAATTAATTTTTTTTCGCTATGTACTTGTATTTTGTACAAAAAATAATAACATTATTGGAGCTTCCGTAAACAAAATATAAAATAACTATAATTTAATGAAAAAGGAAAAGAACAAACACAAAATACAATTCTTAACTACGTTGGTTGTTTAATACTTTAGGAATTAAATAAGTTTTAAAGAATATAGAATATGTTTTTTTTTATTTAAATACAATTCAACATTATGTCGTTTTTTTGTTGTTCTACTTTTAACTAGTTGGTTTTCTCCGCTACTGTATCGTCTTCTACAGGGTGTTTTTCTGTGTCCTCCTTGGCTCCCAAGACTTTAGTGTTGCTCTCATCTCGAGGACGTCGTTTTGAGTTTTCAGGAATTGCTCTTAGATAGGTTACACTTCCACCACCAATAGCCGATACTGTTTCTCCTTGTGGTTCTGATGGAGATGATATAATTTTGACAGATGGCTCTGATGGCCGGGCCAATAATGATCGTGGATGGGCCCGTTGTGCACTTATATACTGGGGATGGGGAACTTGATGTTGTTGTAGCTGGGCGAAACGCATTAGTTGTTCATAGTTGACAGGGAGGGCTGGGGGTTGTGGAGGAGGTTGATTACGATATTCGGGATGATCCTTAACATATTGTTCATAGGGTACCGGAACTGGAACGGGTACTGCGGTTACAGGATAGCCTGCATCGACCAAGGCCTGGAATTCGGCTTGTGTCAATGGCTTACCGCCGGGTGGGGGCAAATGTAATTGTTTTAAATCTTCTATCGTTTTTTGTTTAACTGGGCGAGAGGGTGTGGCAATACCTGTTCCTTGGGAGACATAAATGCTAGACTGAGATGGTGATGAGGCGGGAAGGGGCAATTGCCGCAAATCAGATGGAGTTTGATGTGAATACTTGGTTGTAACAGCTGGGGTGGGAGGCGCTGTGGGTGGTGAGGCTATGTTTCGATGAGGATCTGGTGGACTGGGATAGAAATGTGTGGGTTCGGCCGGTGCTGTTGATGGAGTAGGCCTCTCGGGCTCATACAGTATTGGCTGAGCATACTTGCTTGGAGCAGGATAATTTACTTCGTTTTGGTGAGTTTTCACTGGAGTGGGTGTCGTAGAAAATTTGGTACCGTATTTGTGGCGAACCGCCTTGGGCCGGGGTGAGGGCAAAGCCTCTTGATAATAAAATTGCGACGCTTGTACAGGTGGTTGGGCAGATGGCGGATAAACCACCGGTCCCAGCTTTTTGGCATCAATAACATGTTGCGGTATTGGATAATTACCAACAGGTTGGGGGTAGTTACCAAGTCGAAATAGCGAGGGAATAAATGGTTGACTGTTGGCATCGGTTAGGCTGTTGGGTGCAGACGTGCTGGGTACATAGGCTTTCGGCCGTGGTGCATGTGTTTGTGCAGTTGGTGCCGGTGCTGGAGGTGGGGGCGCAGCCGTATGTCGGTGCTGGGGATGATTAATGAGCACGGATGGCTCGTTCGAGTTGTCCACTATCTGAACCGGGGACACATGGGCTTTGTTCGAGGCAAAAAGATTTTCGATCTCCTTTTCCAGTGAAGATTTTGCCAGCGGATGATTGGCCAGTGTTTTGTAATTAATTTGGGGTCGATAGTAGGCAATTTGAGGGGGTAGAGATGGCGGTGCAGGAGGTTGTGGTGATGCAGCAGCCTCCTGTTCGAGCAATAGTTGCTGATGTCGTTGTTCCTGTAAAGGATTTTGGGGAAGTGGCAGATATTTTGGGCCACCTCGTGATCGTGGTATTTGATATTGTACGTATTCGGGGGGTAGTTGTTGCTCATCCTCAGACGCTTCCACACGTTGACGATAATGACCAAGGCCTTGGGATTGTTGAGGGGCTTTTTGTTGAGCATGGGCTTGAGCTTGTGACTGAGCTTGGGCTTGTGCCTGTGCATGTTGTTGTTGCTGCTGGCGTCTAACTTGATCTTCATGATATGCCCGCGCTTGAAGTTCTTCTTCTAAAAGTTTTAAAAATTGCTCTTCGGGTATAATTTGATATGGTTGATTGGCCGCCCCATTATTCCCTTGTTGTTGTTGCTGTTGTTGCAATGCAACGTTGTAGGGAATTTGTGGTCTATAGACTTGTCCTCGTGGATGCAAATGAGCTGGTACCGGTTGCTCCACTGCCACCGAGTAACGTTGTTCGGCTTCTTCTACCTGGCTATTTGCAGCCGATTCGGATTGATGATTACGCGCCGATGATTTTTTATTGTGGGCAGCTCGAGATTTACCATGGTTTTGTGACTTATGCTGCTGCTGTTGTTGTTGTTGCTGTCGATTTAAGTCTTGAAGATAGGCATAATGTTGGATCTGTAAATATGGAAAGGGAATTTTAAATGTCAGTAGGGGTTATAGTAAATAATCAACTAGTAAATATTCCAGTGAAAATAATATTCACTGCGACAATTGTCAGTTTTTAGGCGCGAGAGGTTGTTGATAAGAGAGAAGTCTCAATTTTCCTTACCACTCTCACCCACAAAATGACGATTGAGACAATTATAATTGCCTAGTGTTTACACATCAGAAGTAAGGTAAATAAAGAGTTTTCGTCATTCCTCATCCCACGTCATTTCATGAATAGCCCTGCATAGTTTGTACAGTTTTTTTTTACGAAGAAATGTTTGATAAATCAAATTTCTTGGTATAAGGAACTAAATTGTTGCAGCCATGCGGTATTGTGGAAGCAATGTAGAAAGATTATTTTTTTAGTTCTTAAAATAATAAACGTTTATATAACGGTATATTAAATTAACTGTCGGTGTAGCCATATTTACTTAAAATTTGACAACAAATTACGTCAAGTTCGTTTCCCGAGTCTTTCGTTCTATTTCCTTTTTGAAAAATTTAAAAAAAGAAATTATTACGAAGAAATTCTCACAGAAATATTGTTTTACAAATAACTTATAATTAACTCATTTCCCACTAGATAATCTAATTGTTGCTTCTATTACATTCAACGCAATTTGTCGAAATCCGTGCAATTTTATGACAAGACAACAGCAAAACATTGCAAGCAAAAAAAAAATAAATCTTATACATTTTTAAAGACAACATTAGTTCAATTAACCAAGTAAGGCTAATAAGCCCAGTGTAATTTGTATAAACCTTGACCGGATTATGAATGAAAATGAAATTTTCTTAGTGAGACGACAAATAAGACACAAACTTTATAAATTATGCAATTAATTGTGGGCTGCAAAGAATAAAATAAACAAAATAATTAGTAAATAAAAAAAGACAAACACAAACAGTTAAATGATGATTTGTGTGATTTGCTTAAAATAATCCATGCGATAATTTAATTATGGTATTTACACACAAACACACATTCGTACCCCTTTAACCTGTGGCCCTTTGCTGGTCTTTGTTTTAACAAAGACTTGCAATTATAAAGGAAAACTCGCGTGGGAAGAAAGTCAATGTTGCTTAATTTTTTGGTATTTCCAATGTGTGTGTGTGTGTGGTTTTCCATTGTTTGCAGTTGCCCTCAAGCAATTTTGAGGCCCTTTTGTCTTTATGCTATTCTCAAAAGGTGTGTTGAATTTAGTGTGTGAATCTGTTCGTTTAGTTAAAAAACAAGTTGTTTAGCATCTTAAACTTGGGTTATACCCTACACTTCTATTGTAAATATGTTAATTTACAATAGAGATGTTTTAAAAGGTCAGTCTAGGGTTGTATGGGTCTGGTTACTCTATTTTCACAGTCTGTAAAATTGGGACAATTATAAAAGGTCTGCCTGGTTACTTTTCTTGCGGGAATTGTCGAGAGAAAAGTAATTTTTTTTTGTTCTATTTTAAAAATGGAATCCCTGAAAAAAACTTGCATGCAATCAAAAGTATTGTCAAAACATAATATTTTCCCCACCATAAAAAGAAAGTAATGGTCTGTTCCAGAACTGCAAGAATCTTAAGTTTTTTATTGCGATAACCGATTTTGCCTTTATGATATCGAAGAAAATTGTAAAAGTAGTAGATTCTTGCAGGTTCTGGAACAGACCAAAAGCAATCGATGTTTTTTTGTATTTTTTACAAAAAAAAAAAAAAAAAAAAAAAATAGAAAATGAATAAAAACAAAGAATTTTAGATTTTGCGACTTTGTTTTCCAAAAAAAAAAAAATAAAAATGCTTTCAAATTGCTTGCACAAAAACCAATTATTGGATACTAAAAAAAGGAAGTAAGATGAAGAATACGATTTGCAGGAAGCTATTTATCAGGCAAGAATTTGCAAACTCTCAGCAAAGAACTGTTAAAATGTCTATAACGAATCGCTCTCCTCCGGAGAACTGTTAGGTTTACAGATGACTTCCAGTACCACTTTTTATACCCTCCACCATACGTAGTGGGGAGGGTATTTTAAGTTTGTCATTCCATTTGTAACTCATCGAAATAATAATTTTAGGCCTAACAAAGTATACACAGGGTGAGATAAACAATACAACAAAGTCAAAGGCCATAATGTTTACTTTTTTTTAATTATATTGAATGAAAGTAAACAACGTCGGAAATAGCAACAAATTTTAGAATACGTTTAGATTTGTTCGAATTAGTCACCTTTGGCACGAATTATGCCCTTCGCACGGCCAATGAAACCGTCACACGCTGATCGAATGTTACTTTGCGGTATTTTGGCCCATTCCCGGCGAAGCGCTTGCTTGAGGTGATCGACAGTTTGGTATTTTTAGTTCTAACCTTACTTTCCAAAATACTCCAGACACAATAGTCCAACAGATTGGTATCCGGAGATTTTGGTGGCCATTGTGCGCTGGAAATGAGGCGAGGAACCTCATTTTATAACCATTCTTGGATGGCGCGTGTAGAGTGCGATTGTGCTGAGTCCTGTTGGAATGTCCAAGGCCTGTGGCCAAAATGTTTGCTTGCCCAAGGCTTTAAACACCACCACCACACCAAGGCTTAAACACCATCGCGAATATTTTTGCGATAAAATTCGGCATTAATTCTGATGCCACGGTCGATTAATAGGAGCTGAGAGCGACCATCGGCTGTTATGGCGGCCCACACCATCACAAAGGCCGGCTCTTGAGTTCTGGTGGCCAACCGAAGGTGCACATTTTCAACTGACCACTTTGGCAAGTAAACACGATCATTTTGTTTGTTTACAAATTGCTGGACAACTAATGTTTTCTCCTCGGAGAAATCCAAATTCGGCAGTTTACCACTTTCGGCCAAGCGAAGCATCTCTTTAGCTCTTTTGAGTCTATTTTCTTTCTTTTGCGGTGTAAGTTCTTGCACTTTTTTGAATTTCAATGGCTTTACCCCGAGCTCATTTTTCAATATTTGCCGAATCGAATATTGCGATATGTTCAGATCACGAGCCATTTTTCGGCCGCTGCGACGCGGGTTTCGATCAAGACGTTTCTTTACTTTTCGATTTCGAACCATTCCTGCTGATGTTGCTGTTTTCTTCCGTCCACTTCCTTGACGTCGGGCTACACTACCAGTATCACGGTATCGAGCGATAGTACGAGACACAAAAGATTTATTCAAATTTAAATGCTGAAGTGCTCTAACGATAGCTACTTGTGGTTTTCCAGCCAAATATAAAAAAATCTTTTTTTCTGGAAAATTCTCACCAAAATGCTTTTGTACGCCTGTAAACAATATCATGAGCTGTCACTGGAATAATTTTAACAGCTGTCGAACGAGTAGCTTAGAAATAAGTGATCAAATGCTAAGGATATATATCAGTCGAATTCAAATTGAACTTTCACACTAGTTTTTTATTTAGGTTAGATTGAAACACCGTCAATTCCTTTCGTCATATTCCATTTGCCACTACTGTACTGGGATCATTATTCTTTATCAACAACAAACAACTTCTTCGATTCATAATTCTTTACTATTGCTCTCTGGGATACTTACTGCTATATTTCCGCTCTCTCTCTCTCTCTCTCTCTCTCTCTCTCTCTTGCTATTATTTTAACGTATTCTCCAACTCCCCATTTACTCCCATATTATTATAATAACTCATTTAATAATATTCTAATTTTCATTTGCTTCCTTTTTCTAATTTTTTCTTTTATAAAATAATGTATTTTGTTTAAAGAGCTAACTCTTAAATAGATCTCAAGCAGAGAGCTGTTAAAAATATGTATGGGTTAAATAAAAAGTCTTTAACCCAAATATGAATTTTGAATCAATTTTAAAATAAAATTTAATGTGTTTAATTGAAAAATCATAAAACATAACTCTTTGTGTATACGTAATTTAAGTAATTTTTACTTGAAAAGTTATCGTACAAATGTATTTCTTCTTTTTTGTTGTTACAGAAAATCATTAAAAAAATACCAAAACATTTAAGCGTTTAACATGTGATTAACATTTGATTTCAATGCAACTAGTTTGAGAATGGTGGTCCGTAGCTCAAAGATGCCACACAATTCTCATGAACTGTTTAGTTGGTAGTTAAATTTCAAACACTTCAAATCACACACACATTCTCACACTGAAAAGGCGTTAAAGGGTGCAGTTGCAAACGATGATGAGTTTCAGCTGACTTTGGCAACACAATTAACCGTCTTTATCTACAGAAAGGTGTTTTTCTCTGTGTGTGTACGTGTTTGTTTACATGTGGGTCTTGAGAGTGCCGTTTAATGGGGTCTTTACTTGGGTTTCACATAAATTGTTGCAACTGTTCGTCGTCGTCTTTTATGTTCGCTGGGACGATTATTTATTGTTGTTAGTTGATTGTTCCGTTTTATAATTTGTGGTTTTTGTGGTGGTTGTAAGTATTCACTTTGATGTCAGCAGAAGTCATGTCTGTCAGACAGGTAGCAATTGCAAGTATTCACAACACATGGGTTACACAAAAAAAAAGTAAAAACAATTATTTTTGTGTATGTGTGCGCATAAATACTTTTATGACAGATATACACAGTGGGCGAAAATAATTTTCTGTAATGTAGAAATTTAGATATATACAGATATATACCCTCAGCCAATGTTCGATTATTTACATATATTTTGACTTGTGGTATGATTATTCAAATTGTTGACCCTCTATGGAAATGGATTTTATTTTTTTTTATTAATTTATTAGCGAAATGGATATTCCGGATGTTTTTTTTTCGGATTTTATGATCGCTTCGGTTATTCAAAACTCTAAACCTTTGTGGGGTAGGTACCAGAAGGAATGGTCCGATCTCAACCATTTTTATAATAGATCTTGTGTTGATGGAAATATTGAGATGTACCAAGTCTGAATTGAATGGGATATAAATTTCGCGTTATATGAGCTTCATGGATATTCAAAATTTGACCCTTTGTAGGAAAGGCACCAAAAGGAGTTGACT